AGGTTTCAGCAACAACTGCAACCCGGACACGGACAAGACAGCCTCGATGCAATGAAAGACATTTACGCATATTTATATAAGTCAGGCATCTCACGCTTCGGCTTAATGAATGCTGCAAGTGAACTCGGGACCTGGCTCAAGGAGAGGAAAGATGTATAGATCGAGGGCCTGGCGGTATGAGTTCGTTATCGGCTTTGATCACCAAGACTGGACATCGTGCCGATGTGCAAATAATGGGCAAATACGGCCACTTGTACTTCGCAACGGCCATGATATATATGGGCCAAGCAGGTTTTCATTTCAGTAGAAAACATTGTGCTCTTCGCCTGCCGTTGTGCTCTCCGTGAAGCCGCTGACATGTTTGCAGTCGTTTCAACACGTTGGTCGTAATCGGTAAGGCATAGACAGACCTTATCCCAGTTTGTCTCCAAAGTATGCTTCAAGAGGATTCTAGCTAATGACCTTTACCGATTCCGCTTTCTAACGGTCTCATAGCCTCCAGATCTCGCTCCGTCTATAAGGCAATAGCCCGGAATATCTAGAAGACAAATGTACGTCGGCGACTGGATACTTCGCAACAGAGCTGCCCAAGGTGGTATTACAAGATCCAGCTGTCCTACAGCCCTCTTCCAACGACACTTCTCAGCCAGGGTGGGAAAATGATGAAGGTGGTCGTTATCAGAAAGATCTGCGGATGCCAGGATACACAGTAGTAAGGTCCATGTGAAGTAGAAACCCACGCAAGATACACTTCATTACACTAGAGCCAGCCGTTCTAGAGATCCAACGGGGAAATTGTAACAAAACTCACCTCGATAAACATTGTTCGTCAACTACAAGAGCTCGAATGATTCACCCCATTCCACACTCCTCTATTGACCCAACTGAAACAAAGGCGGTTGCTGATTTGGTATTCTGGAGCTCACAAGTGCAAGTCTGGAGAAAGCATCAAAGGCAGATGCCGCCAACCTCTGGCGGTACACCTTCAGTGACGCTCGCTGGGAAGCCGAGAACGAAGTTGGACCTGCGCAGTGAGACGAAAAAGCCCTACCGAGTTACAGTACCAAGCATTGCCATGCAGACATCACAATCGGAGGTATCATAGGAGGCGCTCTAATTACTAGCGGAGTCTACATAACTTATCCCTGGACTTTGCCAGTTGTTGAGACGCTCGAAGAAACCGTGACCCGTGATGTATTTCGCAGTCCTCAACTCAGTCATGTAAACTTTAAGCGCTCATCCCCAAAGCAAAGTTATCTATGCTGTAGCGAATCCGATGGAGATTCAAGTTATCAAGAACCCATGACGACATCTTTCCCACAACGTCTGTGCCCCAAGATCAAAGTCTGCCTAACGCAAGGTCAGTTACCTACTTCGCTCAACATCGATTTGCCGGAAAGGTCCGTACTGTTCTTAACCACCATACCTTGCTCCCGACACTTCAGAGTTCACCACTACACCAAGCTAAGCCACACGGCCCGTCGTCTCGGAAAAGTGCAGGGTCACTGCCAGTCTGATCTGGGCCGGGCGGGTCGACCGATTGACTGGCTGGATTGCCGACTTCTCACTTTTTGCCTTCATCCTTACATATGATCCGATCCATTCATCGCATCCTCTGCAAGTAGTGTCAAGCAGATTCGACACTATATTTCCAAGGACGGGGCCCAGGCGCGCAGGGTCCTTGGTTCATCTCCTCAGTCGTCCCACTTCCGTACCCATTCTTGACATGCGTGGCTGCGTCAAGCATCTGGTGATGCTGATACTCTCCAGGCTCCCGCCAAATCAAAATGCCACAGTCAAACGGCATTGACGCCAAATACCGCCAAAGAGAAGACGGGCGCGAAAGGGGGGGTAAAAGAAGACAAGCCACCGAATGCGAATCGCAAAGCTAAGGTCTATGACGCTAATGCTGAACTCAGGTAAGTCAACAGGAGTGGCGGCCTGTTGAATTTACCTTGCTTCCAGTTGAACGGAGGCCTCGCTACAGTGCCCTCCGAAGCTTCACATGCTTACCTTAGTATCATCGCGCCGCCTATTTAGTCCCCTTGAGACATTTTCGGACTTTTCAACTGCAGTAATGCGGCCATCTTTCCGACGCGGTCCAGCGTTTGAACCAAAGCTGGGAGAGACTGGATGACTGGCTGGGTGATTTCTCCGTGATCTCGGGCCTCCTGCAGCCCCGAGGCAGCCACGAAGCCAAAGTTTTGAGAGATTATCAAAGCTATTGGTGTGCTATACGCTGAAGCTCACGCGTGGTTCTCAAGCTAGCATCTCCACTTGGTTGCCTTGGCCTGATTTTCCAAACGCCAATCGATTGAGCTTTCGAGAGGTGAGTTTCGTGGAAGAGGGGAAATGAGAATTGTAAAAGACGCTCGACCAGTCGATGCTGGTATCCGTGAAAAAGAAGAAAAGAAAAAGAACAGAAAGCATGTGAGAGATCGACAGCGGCTCGAATCTCACTCACACTCACCAGAAGACGATCGTTCCCCACGTTCCAGCCCCATCACCAGCCAGATCCCTTCCCCGCGTGGATGAGGACCCCCCCGTTGCAACCGCCATCCAACTTCCCAATCGTACTCGGCCTTCGTTCCTAATTCGTCCATCGCGAAACTCTATCTTTCTTCTTTCCATTCCCATGTAACCACCGCACATGTCAAAAGTATTTCGATGCTAGACGGAAATAGCCAAACGCCTGTGTCTTCGTTAATTCGCTTGGGTTGTATCGCCTACAGAAGCGCGGCCGTCGCATCGAAGAAATGCATATACCACCGCGTCGTCTTAGCCCCTAGGTACCGTTGAGGATGAGGGTCCCAGAGTTTACTCTACTTGTTTGCCCCTTGTTAACCAAGCCACCGAACAGGAAATACCGTGGTGACCAGTTGTCCAGAGAAAGACACGCTCGTGATGTAGCAGCACCTGTTGAATGCGGCGGCCACATCATGGGCCCATAGTCGCAGTGCATAACTACCGGCAATCCAGCCTCTCGCAACCATCCACTTCGCCGATACAAACAACGTTTCCAAGCATATATGTCCTTCTTGCTATCCATAATGGTTAGATCAGGTTGTGAGACCGTCAGCATGCGACTCCAAATATGAGCCACGAGGCATAGTCCATGGCCGTCTTATCTCTGCTTTGTTCAAATTAGTCAGAGGCCGTATTGAGCCCAAGATGTAGCCCGAAACCTCAATCATTGCCTTCACTTGCGTGCCAACGGTTACGAGAAAAGAAGCACCTGCGCACCCGTTGCCCTCCACACTGTCAGGCCATACATCTCACCAAGCCTGGTCGCCATCCCTTGTCACCTCCGCTGGTGGGCCGCAGGTGGACACTCGGAGGTCCCTAGAGTCGTTGCTGCAAGAAATCCTGCATCATGTACGCCCAGACAGGCCTTGCCTGACAATCTGGCTTATTTGCAAGCTCGCAGCGTACAGCCACGCAGCCTCCTCTTCTCCATCGTTGAGAGACGGCAAGACATGACCTCGTCTTTCAAGATTCGACGACCAACCTCACCACTCCACTTCCTTGGAGGTGGTGGGGGAGGGGTTATGTGTGTGTGTGTGTGTGTGTGTGATGTGCGCGCGTTTTCATCGGGTGATAGGTTCACGCCCAATGGCTTTGGGGCTGGGTACGACGGCCGGGGCGTGGATCCATCCGCTTGGACGCACTGGCAGGGTCCTGTCAGTCCCGCAGCCTGCTCTTCCTTTTGGTCAATTCTTCAGCACAGGTTGATTCCGCCCTGCTCGGCGAGGCCTCGGCCGGTCCTTGACGCCAGTTGTGGCTCCTCTGGGGTGTGTTTGTTTCAACAATCCCTCATCCCCGTTCCCTGATGGTGCGGAAGTGACAGAGTTCATGTTCATGACCCATTTGTTTGGCTTCATTTAACCCCTCAAGGGGGGGGGATATAAGCGGCGGACGCCGCAGCCGCGATGGAAAACCCGCACCGGGCCGGATTATCGCTCGCTCGGACCGCGCTGGGGATATGCCATGAACGCTGATGATCTTGGTCGTTCTCATGATAACACAAATCCATTATATCCAAGCTGAGGCGTTGTAGGCTGTGCGAAACGGGGCCAACTCCATTCGGCCCCGATTTGCCAGCAGATGTTACAATAGAAAACCAATTGTGGATATGGTTGTAGAATGGGTGTGAGGGTTCGGCATGGGCCTCGGATTCATGTCCATTTGCATTGAGGCTCCCGTCGAGAAATTGGTGACCGTTGACCAAATAAAGCGTGGTTGTGTGTGGGGGCCGAAAACAAAGTGTGACAGCATCCTTCGCAGTGGAATGGAAGGCCATGTTCAATTTGCAACTGGATCAGGTCGATGGTCGTATCTGTAGACTTTTTCTGTGCCAATCCGTCCATTAGTCGCTTGCTGGTTTGATAAGGTTGGTGGGTTGATGACCAACTCAACAACTTCCGTGTCCAATTAGCAGCCCGTAGCCGATGATAGTTGTCGCACACTCGAGGATGGGATGCGGCAACCTTGGTGTCTGACACTGCCTGCTGATTCCCGGGGCATTCCCTGAATTAGACCACGAAGAGTACATGCCCAGTACCGCGCTTGTACCTCGAAGAGGCCGGTGTCAAAAGCCTATTCATTGGTGGCATCGGTCCTGGGCAAACCCTCCGTAAAACGGATCCTTTTCCTCTTCTTTCTCAGTGTAGCGTGTGGATAACGATGGCGCCCTTTTTCTGCAGCTAGTGACCAAGACACTCGAATAGGCTGAACCAACGGGTCAAGACATCCACCAGCTGCGCCGCTTGGCGCATTTCTCTTGGCTTTGATTGCTTTCGTACGTGATATCATCTTTCTCAACGAGGAGGCCCATTACTACGGCGTGAAGTGATGACGGGACTCTGAATCGCAATGCGCTTTCTATGTGGTCGAGACGGACCAAACAGTGTATTGCTGATGCTCACTGGACAAGATTGGACGATTTCGCCATTGCATTTTGGCATGTCATTGTACAATTGGCAAAGCACCCTTGCGGCGACATGAAATTCTTCAACGGCTCGCGAAGACCAAAGATGATTGTGTGGATCAAGGGATCGCTGATGACCTCTAAAGGGTTGGATTGCCTTTGCCATTGTTGGTTCCAAGCCTCTCGAACCTGCATGATAGTGCGCGCTGAGGTTACAGCGAACCATGAAGAGCTAGTAGGCTCCCCCTCATGGGCCGGGATATTTTCGAGATGGAGCTCTGTCAATTCCCTTATTTTCTTGGTTGACGTGTCTCTTATTCTCCATAAAATCATGGTGGACCGTGGACAGGCAGGCACATGGGTTTATTCTAGTGTACGACCCCACCCCCCCTGGTCGCTGAGGAAGAGCTGGCCCGGTCGATGTCGTGATGGAATGATGCTATCATGCGGGGTCGACTGGGCACGGAGGGGAAAGCCCACCAGCAAGTCTCCGGTCACCCCCTCCTCCAAAGCAGGCCTTTCGAATCGACGCGAGGGCGGGAAGATCGTGAGCCTGTACATCCGGGCTTGCGATGGACAAAGTTTGCGGAGAGCAGATTGCTGACAGGCAGGTGTGGCATAGTGCTGTGCACTACAGACGCGATACGCGGCCTGGATCGCACGAGGTGCTTCCCCGGCGGATCTCGGGCTACGAACATGAACGATTGCGATGCATCTTGACATCAATCATTGCTGCGCAGCCGCGGATCCATTGTCTCAGGACGAGCCCTAGCAACGAATACGGAACATAGGTTCCTTCTGAACGATGCCGCCTTTATTCCCATGTCATTTCAAGTCCAGGCCCCATGGAGCGTATCTGTAGCAAGAGAGCATATCCGTACAGTTCCTCAGAAATGATGATTTGTAGAGCACTACTAAGCACGCCCGTATCCGTACTTTGGTAGAGTATCCGTAAGTCTCCATCTACGTATCGGCAAGACGGGATAGACGGGCGGCGCGAAGACGACGCTGACCCACTTAGCCAGATCGACTCCGCCGAGCTTCAGCCATGATCAGCCTCTCTACTCTGGGCGTGCGGAGGATCGAGACGAGAGCCAGGGCTAGGGTTTTTTGTTCGCGAGATGTCCGTAGTGCGCATCCTTGTTTACTGTGCTGGGCTTGAAGATGATACCCCCGTGTGGCTACTTGTACGAGCGCAATAGTGACGCCCTTGGAGAGGAGGACATTCCTTTCCGAATATGGCTTCCTGATATGGTAGGGCTGCGAGATGTTTTGAGGCACCGAAACGTTGTCGAGGTGAGATGACGTGAAAGCAAGTTGTTCTCGGTACGGACGGGCCATTTTGGTTGAGTTGGCGAGATCTTTGCATTAGGCTTTGACGGCCTGCCGGCCAGGGTTAGTAATATTGCAATCTCGTAAATGCAGAGCGTCGCTGCTCGTCCACGCTCAATCAGTCTGCCACCGTCCCGAGGCGAAGAAGGACTTCCCGAGTATACCGTATGATGGCTATGTAGTGGTCCACTTTGTGTAGGCTCAGACGGAGCAGAGCCTCCCTTCTGCTGAGAGGTCCTTAGACCGGGAAGCAGCGGTCGTTGTTCTGGATACTTGGACGGTTCAAAGACCGAGTTGTTAGCGGCAGCGGAGGATGGCCGTGATGTGCACTGAGGCCTTGGTCCTAGTTGTGGAAAGAGATGTATCTAGCGTTATGGTGTATCGCAGTCCCCGGCGAGGACAAGTTGTGTGGGAGCGGAAGCCAAATTGATGTGGAACCGAGGGCGGGAATGGGAAGGGCGATGAGAATGAAGGGCTTTGCTGGTTGGCCGCGTCTGCCACCCCTCTGTTTTCTGGCAAGCCGCAAGCCGCAAGCCGCAAAAGAAGTGATAACCCTGGCTGGCATGGGTGTTGCAGACGCAGGTCCGACGAGAAGCGGATAAGCGCACTGGCGAGCAGGGGAGGGTTACATTGAGAAAGACCCATGTCGTCTTGGTCGTCGACTCCTGGTCCGTGTCGCTGACCCAAACGGGGATATGCACGAGAGGAGAGGAGAAGGGAAGAGACTGGATTGCAGCGCCGCAGCGGGCAGTAGCTACAAAGAGGAGAAGGGAGGCACAAGATGACATGATGTGATGGCGAGAGTTCGAGTTGTGTCGGCGAGGAGAAAGCTGAGATGTGACTGCCAGTGGAGAGGGAATTACGAGTTCCGGCTTGCCTGAAGTGCCTGGAGGTTTGCATATTGCAGATGAGCCGATGTTGCCATGTTGGAACTGTGGCTGCGACTGCGACTGCGACTGCATGTCCGTCTGGCTCTGTCTGTGCGAAGACGGGAGGCCAAAATGTCTGTGGTTATTTTGTCTTTGAGATGAAATCTTCGGATACAGTGCGGCCCTGCCTGGCTTACCTTAGCCGCTGGGGTCCGTTGGCGTTCGCGTTCGTTGGTTGTCACGTCCATTGTGGGCGAGAACAGACGAGCGCCAAGACTGACACAAGAACGGTACTTGCCCGTTCTGTAAAGGTACCGCGGCCGCCTGTGCGTCGAGGAAACTTCAAGTATCTTTTCTGTGTCTCTAGTTCCCTCCCAATTCCCTCCCCCGGCCTTGACCAAGTACCTAGGTAAGCTCCCCTGCCCGTCCCACCAGAGCTGTCTTCGACTGCTTCAAGGCACGAAAGTACATGTTTACAACCCCTAGCCTCCAATGGCGGTTGTTCTTCATCGGAACCACATTCAGCAAGTGCCCGTTCTCTCGGATGATGGCAGGCCTGTTGCGTACCCATCCATGATCTAGTACCTTACGGATAAGGCAGGACCACCTCGTGGAACTTGGGGAGGTACCTCAACGCCCGTACCGTTCGCCGTTCGTTGTCTGGCAGGAGCCACTGGACGGACTGCTTCCATTGTTGCTGCTCTGGCCACGCACCCACGCTACCTACCTACAGACTACCTTAGTGTACTGTATAGTCCGAGGGCCTCGATCGCCTCGGGCATCTTAGGTTGGAATCCACCTCAGCACGGATATCCACACCCCAAAAAAAACATCCACCCACTGGGTCTGCTATTTTACAACTCCCGAGCAACGCAACTTGGACACTATGACTACCACAGTATGTACGGATAAAGACGAGAAGCGACCCTTGCGACCTCGTCATCGACGACCAAATCGCACCCATGGCCCATAAGTTATAACACAACGCCAGTGCAGACCATGGCAGGTCAACGGCCGTGCGCATTTGAGGTGTGGTCCCATCCAACCTCGACCGTCGCCGTCGCCGTCGCCGTCTGCCTGCTCGCCCCTTCCATGCCATGCCAAGCATGCTTGGTACAATGCTCCGGCAGCTTATCATCGCACGTTCATTTCCTCTTTCTGCCATTTAACCAAGGAAAGAATGACACTAATGCCACCAAACTAGCAAGGCCGTCCCATCATCCCCGTCCTCGTCTTCGTCCTCGGTCTCAGGTCGTAGGTCGTAGAACCATAACGGCAAGCCGTCTCCATCGAATCCATCGAATCCATGCTCTCGCTTTCCCTCGCGCTGTCGGCGTTTGTTCTTTGCCAACGCAAGCCAGTTCGCCCGGTCTTGCTCCGTCGTCGACTGGCATATTCAACAGATCCAACCAAAATCGCCTTCTCTCGCCTATTCGACTTTTCATACCAGGTCGTGCACGACTTTAAACTCGCCGTATTCCCGCTGCTTTTCCCGCGGACGCTTGGTCGCCGGCATACCCATTGCGTCTTGACTCATGCCGTCGCATTGGCTCGTTCCCAATCACCTCACGCTGGAGTGTGTGGCACCATTAGTTGGAGAAGAGCACTTGAAGGACCAACAACAGTCGCCAGCACTGAAATCTTTTTACAGGAATTTTCTTCTCACGCTTCTCACGAAGCAACGTACCAAGTCATTCGCCAGAGCCAATTCTTAGCTGCCATTGGCCCTCTGTCGCATGTTGTCATTTCTCACTCTTGACGACGGATTTACCTCTGGCGAATTCCGGCATGATTCAAGGTGTTGCAGATATTGCAGACAGTTCCAATCCACTCACCAAATGCACTCGAGGCCTAGAACTATTTCATTGGCAGAATCTATGCATGTCTCTGGACGTAACTCTCGCGGTGCGACTACAATTGCTACTTACACGACTCACAATAGCGATGCATGGATGGAAACTGCCCGAGCCAACTTCGCGCAACATTTCTCAGTCCACCAAATTGACCCACAAGATTTCTGGCATCTGTAACAACTTACAAGTTCCATTGGCTTCTGTGGTCATTCGGCGTATTGAGATACAGTCAGATCCGAACGACACTAGCGAGTGCTTCCTCTCATCCTCCCCACAGTATCCTTAGTTTCCCCTCTTCCGATCTCGTGCAGGTCCAAAAGCCTCAAATCACGCGTGTCATGTCGTGATTCTCTGCGTCTGCGTCTCCTGGCCCCCATCTCGGCGTGCGGATGTCTGGCAGGCATATACTACTTCACGACCCTTATAAGAGGAGTCGAGAATAACGTTTCCCAAAAATCCCATTCACTACGGAACAGATTGAGATTTGGACGATTTCTTACCTATGTCATCAGCAAGCCTCTTTTCGTCCACCTGCAGCAATGACAAGGCCAGGGGTCTGAGGGTGAGGGAGGGGGAGGGGCTGCCTGGCAGGCCTCGTGTCAAGCATCGGAACACCAAGTGGGCTGCTCGATAACGTAAACAAGGACGCAGAACAAGATCGCAGAATAAGATCCCCAACCCATCGGAAAGGCTGTCAAACTGCACTTCTCGACCTCGCAGTTCGAGTCCGGGCGCTCTAGTTGGGTGCCAAAGCGGTCGTGCTCACCCATCCACCCATCCATCCGTCACAGCTAGACCTCCTGCCCGGAGAAGCGACTGGCAAGCGTCGGATCTTTTCTTCGATGACCAGTGATCAATGTATGTGTGCTCTGAATACCATTCGACCTCTTGCTTCTGAAAGTCCATCTTTGATCTGGGAACTCTGGTCCTGGCGGCTTTTTACGTACCCTCAAAACATCACCTGCCTCGTTGCCCCCGTTGGGTGTGGGGTGCTCGATAATCTTAGTTTGGTCTGCTAGCCACCCTAATCTAGCCAAGTCTCGAACCATTCGATGGACTAGTAGGGATGGAGGGGTGTAGGGTTCGACTGATGATGGTGGGTGTGAGATCTCATTCTTCAAGGCAACCACCACCTCGACCACCCAAAAGTGGTCGCACGTACTCCGTCTCACGAGGCAAGTCGTCCGAGCCAGTCCGGAGTGAGTCAAGATGGGGGCATCTGACGAAGCAGCCAAATGCCACTGGAGAGCACATGGACGATGTCCAAGGCTCTCGAGATATGCAGGAGAACACCACCACTACCACATCATGTAAGACAGTACCACACACCACTCTACCATGGTAGGGAGGCGCATGAACATGGCACAGCCTCTCACCAATCTCGAAATTCGATTGTTCAAAGGGAAAGAAGAGCCCATCAAGGCCAGGCCAGGCCTTTCCAGCCGGAGAATTAGTGAAAAGACAGTCATTCGCATACCTTGGCCCTGCCGTGTAACCGGGGGCCAATATCGTGGGGTCCGTCCTGATGAGAAGACACACACATCCACGCGCACACACACAGTATCGCATGTCAGATATCGCGGGTTTCCCGGAAACCGTTTATTGGGGGCCAACACCGTGGCGGGATACGAGACTACGCGTCAAATCACCCTGCCGTGTAACGAATGCCACCAGCCTTACCTCCCCCCCTCCCCCCCTGGCGTGCGCTGTGCTTGCTGCTCGTTTCTTCTTCCTGGGACCCTCCGATCCAACTACTCGATCCCCCAGTTTGTCAAGATGCAGGGACGTTGTATTCCCATTGGCTCGGTAGCCTTTTCTTTTTCCTACTCGTGCTTATTCTGCTGAAGAAAGATATGCAGCTGTCCGACATCACGCATCGCATCATAAACCACTAGCCATTAGTGGAGCGTACTTCACAAATGTCACCCATCTCATCAGCCTCGCGCTTTTCTCCGGGAAACTTGCTTTCTTTTCTTCAGTCTATGGAAAGCTGTGTCTCTTGCTCTGAGTGGAAAGAAGATGGAATAATGGTAGAGACCAACTGTCTAATGCTTTGCTCTTCTGTATCTCTGTGCCTCCCGACCTCCCATGTCTCGCAATGCATTGAATAGAATGCCTCCGATGAAGATCAAAGCTGCATACCCCCCTATGCCTGCCGCACGATGTACCTTTCCCGCCTACTATTCTTCGTCTCTGGAAAAATAGGAGAGGAAAGAAGAAACCACAAGACAAATCCTCCGCCATCGCCGTTTTTGGGTGTTGTTGATAAGGAAAAGAAAAAGAGACCAATGACTGAGAAAATCCAGGGAGGAAATTTTATCCCTGAAGCAGATAACCAATCCACCCTTCCCTGCTCTCCATGCTGATGGTTTTGATGCCGTTGATGATTATACTCTTGACACGCACATGTTTTTTTTGCTGTGCGGTGGTTCCGTTTCCCGTATTCGATTGTTCGTGGATTCATCGTAAAGAGAAAAGAACAACAAAACTTTTCCCCGCTCCAAAATCCTTTTTGGTCGGTGATTTTTGTTTTCCGGAAAGAGATGAAAGAAGATAGGAAGGGTGACGATGAACCCTCCTTCGCTTTCGACTTTCGGGAAAGAAGATAAAAGAAAGCCACCCAAGCCAGAGTCCCGTTTCACCTCTGGCAAATCAATTTGTTGCAAATTCATAATTCGTAAAACTCGTGGTCGCTCAGAATTTAGTCCGAGGGATGCTCCAAGAGCGAAAAGGTGACGTGAGGAGCCTTGATGTCCTTGGCGGGGAAGGTGTTCATCCGGACAGTCTGGGGTCGGCGCGTCTCATTGGCCGGGCGGTGCCAATCAGAGACCTTCTCGGTCATCTGACGCTCGAAGCGGTAGCGGACGAGGTCCTGGCCACCAGGGGGCGTGGTCAGACTCATGGCTCGCTTGGGACGAGGAGTCAGACGGATGTCGTCGTTGGTGTCACCATCGGCTCTGCTGCCCCAGGAAGTCTGTTTCCACGAATTTAGTCCGGTTGATCTCGAGTAACGTGCGAGGAGAAGCCACTTACCATCTTGAGTGTAGACAAAGCATAAAGCTTGATGATGCCATGGGCGTAGCCGAAGAGGATAGAGACAGGCAGGAAGAGAATGTCGCTAGGGTTGCGGCGGAACAGGTTCACGAGCTTGACGACCTTGGTGAAGCCGAAGACGAAGATGATCTGAGCCCAGAGGGCCTGACGACGGCTCTCAGTGTCCCAATCAGCAGTACCCTTCCACAGAGCGAAGATGATGAGAGGGTCGAAGAGGAAAGCCAGGGAAGTGAAGGTCGCGATGTGAAGTGCGTAAGTGCACCAAGGCTGTTGACTGTAACCATCATGGGTCAGTATCCTGTGCTATGCGGCAGAGCAGCAACGGTGTCACCGGGCAGGTGGAAGGAACCGCAAGCAAATGTGTTTGGACTTACGTGAAAACGTATTTCTCGCGAATAAGACTGGTCCAGTTACTGCGCCAGTTACTGCGAGCCCAACGGGAGCACTGGTAGAGGAACTTGGTGCTATTCTCCAGGGTAGTCTCGAGCTCGCACTCCTTCTCGTACTGGATCCATGTCTTCCACTGGTGGCTGACGAGCCAGCGGGTGACGAAGTTGTCATCGTCGGCATTGAGGATGTACTTGCCCCACTTCTCGGTCTTGAAGCCCTCAAGGAAGTCGTGGCTGGAGAGGATCTCGGATCGGTAGGCACCGGTTCTGCCAGACATGCAGGAAGTACCGCCATCGATGTTGTGGGTGGCCGAGATCTCGAAATTGCGTCTCTCAATGTAAGCAGCGCCGAGCCAGTTAAAGATGCGAGTGGACAGCGGACCTTCCCAGACGCGCTTAACTCTCTGGCAAGTGCCGACGCCGCCAATCTTGGGGTCTTCGAAGGGGGCAAGGATCCAGGGCATCATGGTAGAGGGCCAAGTGACATCATCGTCGGCCATGATGGTGAGCTTGGTGGTGACCTTGGGCAATGCCTCGCAGACCTGAAGACGCTTGTTGGCAATGGGAGTAGAGTAAACCTGAACGTTGGGGTGAGGAAGGCTGCGGGCGAGCTTCTCGAGGGCGGCGTGCTTCTCGATTGTAGTGACGAGCATCAGAACGTGGGGGTTGCAGGCAATGATGCTGAGCAGAGAAGGACGAAGCTCTTCAAAAGCGTTGTGGATCGTGGGGATTATGACAGTCACATCATCAGCAGTGAAAGTCGGCTTGGCGGGAATGGGCATGGATTTGTAGAACCAGTGGCTGACGCAGTTGCCGAGGAGACGAAGGTAACGATGAAGCCTGCCAAGTAAGGTTAGATTTACGAGATATTTCCCCTCCTCCCCCCAAAAAAGAAAATCAAGACCAAGTATTGCTACAGCGGCAGCGATAGAAGGTGATTGGTTCTGTGGGAAGAAGTAACCTACCAAAGGGTCACGAAGAGGTACATCCAGGCAGTGGGAGACCAGCCAAAGCCGAGGTTCGGCAAGAAGAGATTCATGATGTCGGCCATCGTGGAAAGCTTCCTGCGACTTGGATGTGGGCGTGTGTGTGTTTCTGAGGTGGTTCAGAAGAGGCTGTGAGAGAGGTATTGGGAGGAATTGGAAGGAAACCCCAACAAAGCCGCAATGGAAGGGGTTGTGGGTGAGGATGGTGAGGAGAGGAAGAGGTTGGGAGAAGGAGTTGGTTGGTTGTTGTCTTCTGGTCTGGAGAAATTTCTCTCAAAAGGTCCGAAGTTGGCAGGAGGTCCAGGCCTTGAGCGTGCCTTCCTTCTCAGAATCTCGTCTTGGTGAATTTGAGAGTCGAGTCCCGTGACTTTTTATTATTGCACTTTGGTGACTTTGTCTGTTGGCGCATTCAGATGAAATAGTCCACTTTTTGATTCCGACTGATGTGTAAAGCGTTTGCTGAGGTGAGGCAACCTGAGAACTTCCGGCAGTTTCAAGATGGTGCTCAAGGTGAAGTGGATGTGGGAAATCTAGATGGTGTATCCAATTTGCTCTGTTTCTTACGAGGTATCACGCTCGTAGTTCAAGAGTAGTGTCTGGGAAATGTCTGTCGAGAATCCCGGGTGAGGGGATGGGGGCTTGCTCGATCTTTGTGTCGTCGTGCAGCTTCCGAAGCCCTTTTCTCGCTCTTTCCTCGAGTCTCTTCTTCCTTTCTGTCTAGAAGGACCCTAACGATCGAGGTAGTAGATCCGACTGGCAGAGTGTCTCGTCTGCGTCCGTCGTTGGAGGTGGTATCAAAGCAAAGAATGACACGGGCAAGACGGAGGAACAACACCCAAGCCGCGTGTATGGGATGCTGGAAGCAGGGAGGGGGTTCGAGAAGGGGTCAAACAAAGTATTATACAGAGATGAAATATGGCAATGGGAACTCAAACCATTGCGCGGACCAATTGGTCTTTTAAAAAACAACAATGACCCGGGGAGAAGACGTGGTGATGAGGTCGTCCGAGGAGAGTAGGTCATCCTGGGGCGAGGGACAAGGATATATACGTAGCCAGATGTGGTGGAGGGTTGGCAGGCATGCATGGGTTGTTTAGTTTAGAGATGCGCCCATGCATGGGCACGGTAATGGTGGCTCCATCCAAACAAGGCATATGAGTACTGGATAGGTATGGATGGATGTGTCTAATATGTGGTAATGGATGTACAGACTGTCGACTGGACTTGTCTAAGATTGTGGTGCAAGAAGGCAAGTCGATGGGTCTTGGAGGTACTTCGTCTAGACTGGCACCTACTCGCGGCCTGCTTTCTTAGATACACCACACACTCTCTCTCCTCTCTCACAGATGGACATGCATCACGTTCGTCTGTGAGGGTTTTGGGGCAGACGAGGGGACGACGACGAGGGGAGGGGTGTGCGGCGGTTGTATCGGGGTTGGGAGGATGAAGGGGAGGGGCGTGGTGGTGGATGGGTGTGCAAGGGCGTGTGTGCCAGTTCCATTGCAGAAAAAAAGAGAGAGGCAAAGAGGCGTTCAATCGGGAGACCCCGGCCAGGGTTCCCAGAGTACGAGAGAGGTACTTGCGCGTACTTGGAGGGGAAGAGTCCACAACCGCAGCCCAAGTATCTTTTCCTCCCCTCTCTTTACTACCTTACACAGTACTATGAAGTGTATGGGTGAGGGTGAGTGCGCGTGTGTCTGTCTCTGGTGCAGCCACTTTGCCTGCCTCCCAGCTGCGTCTGCCGCCGCCGCTACTGCTGCAACTACTACGTCTTCGTCTGCTGCTGCCTCCTGTCTCCAACACTGGCTGGATTGACGACCGGCTCGGCATGGGCTGGGGCCCTTGTGGGTACAAACGGGGTCCAGAGGTTGGCTTTTGTGGCACCGTGTTGGGACGACGCTTCTTTAGCAAGCATCCAGATAGCCTGCAGCGGGCAGGCAATCGCCTTCCCACAAACGCATCGCACCGATTGGCATCAGCACTTGCGAAGAGTAGTGCTGCGATGTTCTCGCATTGCATTGTTTCCCATCGCACCCGAACGCACGGCTGTCCTTCGGGGCGCCGTCGACGGAGATGTGTCAACGGGCAACACAATGTTGGGGGGGGCATCCGGTCTGATACCCCTACCCTGCCCTCTCCTCGTCTTACTTCCTTGTTGATTCATATCTGGGTAGTTCCAAGAATGGAGGACGGACTGTAGTCGTCGAGGACCCCTCGAAAACCTCGACCCTTGAAGCGGAACAACACGATAGGCATAGTAGCAAGAGGCCACTGGAGTTGAAGATGCTTGCTAGCTGGTCCCTGCCCTCCCCTCCCCCCTCTTCTTGGCCCCATTGCGCGCCATGAATGGCGACTGGGGAAACACGAATCACAGGGCCGAGGCGATCTGGTGGGGAGGGGGAGCGACGCGACGGCGGCCTGTGGAGGCTGTATGAGGGCATAGCTTGAAGAAACAGAGAGGGGGACGAGGAATGTGAGAGGCGACGAAGAAGCGACGACAGAGGTTAGCATATTTTTATTTTATTCTTTTATCTTTTCGGGATGGGTAGTAACGTACCACTAGTAATACTGTACTTGCCAGAGCCTACAGTAGTGTAGCGCGCGAATAACGCCATACCCTGCACACTAGGGAGGGTCTGCTTGCCTTGGTTGGTTGCCGTACTCCATTCTCCATTGAGCGGCTAGTTGATGTGGAAAATGGCAGCACGGCGAGATTTGGAGATCCACTGTTTGGGTGGGCAGATTCCATCATTCGTTTGAGTACGACCGGGCATCTGCACATCCAGAGACAAAGGTGGAGAGCTCTAGGAGCAGCTGCTGGCGACAAGGACCAGGAACAGAGCCTTTCCGTAAATGGTGTCGATTCTTGACCTGAGAAGTCGTAGCAGACGGAGAGCGATGACCAGGGCCCGGCGGAACAGCTTTAGGCAAGATCGAATCAACGGCCAGGTAATGAGATCGCCCAACACCTGCGAGGCTGGCTGGGGGATATTGTGCAAAGAAGGATCTTGGAGACAAGAGTATGCAATTCGAAATGACCTAAGCAACCTGCTCATCAGCAGCAATCTAGAGACAGCATCTGCAGCAAGAAACCGTAACCTCATGAGCAGGGCACCGTAGCCGCAGACCGATTCTGGCAATGAATGACCGGGAGGGGTAAAATCCTGAAAAATTGGAGAAAAGCAGCCTCTAGTCGCTAGGCATGAGAAAAACGTCGGCTCGCCATCGGTACGCACTGACAAAGCGCCGGCATGGCCTGGGCCGTTGTAGAGTCCCCAGTTTTCGCATCTGACAAACGGACGACCGGCGTGGAGTCTCATTGAGCGGATGAACAAGCATTTGTGCTGCTTATTATGGATACCTGTCTCTTCTCTGGCCCATTATGAAGCAGAGACCGGACCAGACTTGGACGAGGGTACGCAGCCAGACAAAGGTGAAATCCGGCTCTGGCTGCTAATACGGCTTCTAGGTCTTCAAGTCTTGACCTTGCCTCTGCCGCTTACTGGGGCTCTCGAATGGTTCCGAGGACATTATCTCTCGGACCTGCAGGTTCCTCAACTGATCCTTCAATGATATTCGGCTCTTCTTGCTTCTTTCTTTGTCATTCTCCAGTCCGTCCGAGTTCCTTGCTCCTCCTCCTCCTCCTCCTCCTCCCCCACCCGTCGGTTGGTGGTCAAGAAGCGAGGAAGAGCATGCATGCATTTGTGTGTGTGAATAGGCATACGCCAGACTGGGTGACGCCAGGCTTGCTCGAGTGCTGCTTTCTAAAGTAGCACACACTGTAGAGTCTGACTCTTGATGGAGGGCCACGGTCGCTCTGGAGATTCTGAGATCTGATGGATCATGCAGCCACGACCGTGACAGACGCGGTGCCATCGCTTTCGCACTCACATTCTTCAGTCTGACCTGCCACATTGCGATGACCGGACCGACAGGGTTGACGTTCCATGATGCTCCTGATCCTTGCCTGACTTGGCCGGGACGGATGCTGTGGCTGTTTTCGTGGTGATAACGGCCCCGGGGTCCGTCTTCGCAAAGAGGCGCGAATATTTCCCGTAGCTTGTAGATCGCTTGGCTTGGGGTTGGATGAATTGACCAGACAGAGCGTGCGTAAGTTGGGCCGAACAAGCGAAAGAGCCACTGGCCCCCATGCTGCGTTGTCCTGTACTCTGCTGAGCTGCGGAGTGCTGGGGTGGTGGAGATTTGGCGGATAGTATCCATCAATCATCAAGCCAGCCCGTCTCCCGTCCCATTCCTGGTGGCCGACGGGAGGAGGAAGGCAAGGAACCCATTCTTTACCAGAGACCGGACCGGATGGGATGCACTGATACTGGATTGGCTCACCCACCACGACCGCTTCCGTGCCGGCCGAGTATGAGGGCGTCGCCAAACTGTTTTACGCGAAGAGCATGTGCGTTGCGGCGTGCGACGTCTATTGCAGGATTTAGAGAGGAAGGCTTCTCATGCTAAAAGGTCGAATGCGGCGTAGCATTTGGCTCGTGCCGGCCGGTGGCTCGGGGGTCCCTCTCATCCAAGTCTCGTAGAGGTCATAGGCCACACCAGGCCGGAGCGTTGTGCTGCAGGCTGCAAGCCATGAAGCCGTGAACCTGATTTCATCCCAGAATGGAGATATTTTTCATTTTTTTTTGCGAATTACTTGCATTTGCGTGAGACATTGATCAGTGCATCCGTCAAAGGTTTGGGCCTGACATCAGAAACCACTCGCATGGTGTATGTAGGAGACGACAAGGACGAGTCAGTATGTGGATGGACAAATTAGGTGTGGTGTGCGAGAGCAGCATGGAGAGACGCTGTAGGTCTGACTGTCGTGATCTCGATTGAACACGAGCCGAAGGAGACGAGACGAAGGCTAGCCGCATCAGGACGGGACGACGTCGTGCCTGTTTCCTAGAAAAGACGGGTATCCGTAATCGCATGCTATTTGGGATGGGATGGCGTGGGCCCGGAGTTGCCTCGCAGACGTGAGGGCAGACGGGCGACGGGGGCTGGAGGTGGCAGCCGGATCGGCCGTTCGGCAGCGGCTGCCACATTCGGGTGCCCTGTTTGGTGAAGCCGTTGAGGATTGTGCGGGTGCAGTGCAGCATGACCAGATCCCGACAAAAGGAACGAATATGGGAAAGGAAGAGAGAGGAAATAAAAAAATAAAAATAAAAAAGGGAGGGGGGGCAAGAGAGAGAAGATGGATTGCATGTTGGCTGAGTCGATCCTCTGTTGTGGTTGGAGGAGGCGGCGAGGCGGCGGAGCGGCGGAGAGACATTCCATGAAGGCGGGCAGGAAGATGGACACAGTGTGGTGGACGCAACTGCAAGCCGGGCCTTGGTATCAGGGTTAGCATCTCTAGTTTGCGACAAAAGAGCAGCAGACGAGTACGGATAGGTATATGAGATTTGAGATTGGCAGGCTGGGCATGGAGTGCGTGAGTGCGTGAGTGCCTCTTTACTCTTTGGAGCGACTTGCCGGGAAATGTCTCAGTCTATTTTCGCACCTCATGATTGATTGTCATGGATGGAGACGGTTGAGAGAAGGTCGCGCCTTAGCGGCTCCAGCGACGGACGACTGGAGATGCCAATGACGAACGAGTGTGAGCGCGGGACGGAACAAGGTGGAATGTGACGTGAGACAAGTGAACAGTTGACTCGGCGTACGAGGGCCTGGACCTGGACCATATCTACCTTGAGGTAAGTAGATAGTAGGTAGTAGGTAGCCCGGTTGGTCGTGTCCATATCTGAGGACTGAGGTTGGTCATTCATGATCCACGGATGGGCAAACAATCGACGCGTATACATCCATAAGGTACCTCGCTGCTCACTGCTCAGACATCACTGGGCATGCATGACTGCGTAATGATCTTTCCCATCGTGAGGTACCAAAGGTAGGTACGGAAGGCACGTAGGTAAGGTACCTACCTACCCTGGGTAAGGTAGGTAGATTCCCGAGTCGAGGCAGGTAAAGACAGGGTGGGTGAGGACCTTCGATAAGTAAGGTAAGGTAGGCAAGGAAGGAAGCTTCCACATCGAGGAGCGCAGCGTGGCTACCTTACCTCGACAATCGGATCCCAAGGTGGGCAAGTGTCTGTCCGTCTTCCCCGGTCCTGCCTTGCTTGCACCTCCCTTCCACAGTAGGTAGTACATTCCTACCCCGGATTCCGAGCCTGTTCTTGCCTCAACTTTCTCTTCAGCCCCAACGGCCTCAAGTGCATCGTGTCGCTACGATAAGGTAAGCTAAATAAATACCTGAGCTTCTCGACATTCTTCATCAACAATGGAAGTTCAGCTACTGGGGGACATGGGAACGAACATCTATCCACGGAGACCTTTGACGTATCCCAGAATACTATTTTCCTGGCCAAGCAATGCCTCAATCATCAATCGCTGGCTTTGGTGCCGCGGATGCCAACTTCTTTCGGCTGCTTCGAGGAGACATTGCGCTTGCCGCTAAATGAACGATGCATGGGCTTCCTGTCGCCCCCCCGCCCCCAGCAAGTTGATTCGATGCACACTTCATTCGTCCATGGACTACCTTACCTATCTTCAGAGCGATCTGTCACTTCCATTCTCTCAGGAGACATGCCTTGGCTGCTACTTCGCACCGAGGTACATTGTCTGTTTACACTGCTCTGGCCCTGCTTGGAGGTTCCCTAGGTGCGTCTCACAGTCTCCGAGTCTTCTTCCGCCAGGCTTGGCTTTTGCCGCTGACCTATCTCTTCCTGTCAGACAACACCGTCTGCTAAGGTATGGTCCGTCGTCCATCGACCAGGCCTGAATAAACTCGCATTTACAGTACAGATGCAAAAAGCATGGGTATCTTCAACCTCGGCTGAGATACGAATACAAGAGGCATGGATATCTTCAACCTCGCAGCATACTCTAATTCTCCAAAAGTCGGTTGCTGCTCCAATTTCCAGATCTTGCCTCGCCTTGCCTCGGCCTCCTGTCCCGTGCGCAATGGAACCGGCGGCCGCATGCGCCGTTCGGCGACATGGGCCTCGAAATGAACCACCCCCGGAACATTCCATCTTCCTCTCCTCTGGCGAGCCCGGCCGTTGACGGATGCTAGTCAATCATTGCCCGCTCCTGGCTGTCCCAATACATGAGTACTGCGACGATACTCCTCCGTACCCCGACCGCCGTGCCACAACGTGCTCCACGGTGCATCCATCGTCTGTCTGCTTATGCATTCATCATGTAATCTTCACAAACCGGCGAGCCGCGTCTTCGCCCAAGCCGCAGCTTTCGTCAGACAGAGGAGCTTGACAGAGTAGCTTGCCTTTCAACTCAATCGACAATCTACAAAGTACCCCCCATCTTTGCCTCATCGCAACAGGGCGGTTGAGCGCCAGTCTGAGCAGCACGGGCGTGTGTCAACAAAGTACCTTGCTGTGCCTCTTGGAAGCTAATGTGTCTACTCTGGATGATTACGCCCTCCGACACGCACCATCAACCAGCGTCGAGAAGGGAGTGACATGGTGCGCGCTGCATCTGGCCCCATCGGGAACTTTCTAAAAGCCCACCACAGATCACCGTCGCAGGGAAGCTCGCCGTTAGCTCGACATTACGACGTGCTTGGGCGTTGGTTCCATGGCTCGCCGCACCCTCCGGTACCATGTTCGTCGGCTGCGACGCCGTGGCTGGCATCTGATTCCACCACTTTGTCGACCACATTCCGTCACCCAATGCCTCTGGTCCCATCAACGGGTCTTTCCCTCAAGTCTTCTGCTATGCATTCCATGCACTACCGAACCAATGAATGCCATCCCGGCTTCTGTGCAGCCATGCCAGACGCCACTGCGCCAGTTGCTGTTCGTCGTCCACATTGGATTCCAGAAGCACGAAAGGGCCCGAATCTGGGCCCGAGCCTTTGGCCTTCCATCACATTCCGCCCTCAGCCAGGGCGTTTCAAATGACTGAATCTCGCATGGAAGAGCTGCCGTTATTACTTCGCAATCGTCACTGTCACTTTACTGCCGAGATTTGCCTGCAGGACCACTGTCAATCTGTCAATGAAAACCCGCAACTGTTGATTTACGTCGAACTGCATTGGCTCTTGAATCGGCAATTGAAACGACGCATCACGCAGTTAACCCACTAGCCATATTGTCGACCGCAACATAACTTGTCACAGAAAAGTCGTCAAGTAAACAGGTTGGGGCTCAGTGGTCACAACGAGTCATGGCTCTTCGTGCGATTCTGGGCAGCCTGCGGCTCCGGCTGGTGGCGGGATAAGTCCCTCGCCAACTTTTCCGCAGTCCGCACGCCTTCAGGCTGAGCCGACATGAGCGGGACCTACGTCTTCGAGACATGCGACCCAGGATCAAGTTTGTGGACGAGGGGTACCTACATCGGTGCATACATTCAGCCCCCTCTCTAATAGCCAGCTTGCCCAGCCTCGCTATCTTTTCCCGCACCGCAGCCCGGCTCTTTTCTGCAAGAAGGGCACGCTCCGGCGTAGAGCGACACAAAAATCGACTGCTTGGTCTCTAATTGCTTGAGCGGTCTGAGCGATAGATAGCATTTCGGTTCAAGCCTCTGCCTTCGGGCTACATTCATGTTAGAATATTTCTGGTTATGTCATCAGTTCTGTGCTCGAGGAAAACAACGGAGCCATGGATAAACGGATCATGGGTAACCACAAAAAGAGGCCTTACGTGCCCTGTTATACGCATCATCGCCCGCTCTTAGTCAACCTCGAGGGGTCGAGGCTCACGGAGCCGTTATGCCCGGGGCAGCAGATCGTCGCCTTCCCTTGTTAATTTAGAGCGCGAATCGCGACTGATACTCTGGGGCAGAGACCAGGGATCTCCCCAGAATGTTTTAGCTCCTTCGGACACAATCCATGTACTCCTCCTGGCGTGCTTGAAGAATGCCACGGCCGCCCGGTTCGGATGACACACGGACCTTAGCACGGTGCAGGCTACAACTGAGAAACGTCTGAAAATCGAGACCCCGGAAACTGTCCGCACGACCAGCACCGGGCGGCCGCAGCCGCTTGTAAACCTGGCAGCTATTCGAAAGCGAATTCCATGCGAAAAAATCCTTGGTCCTGGACAAGCGACGTTCTCTCTGGACACTTCGCGTCTTGTCTGAGAAGAAGGACATACTTCTGCAAAATCGAGTCTCTGGACGGACAAGTCCCCCTCGGGATTTGAGGTGGAGGAAGGATGTGACACAAACTCACTCATCTCTCTGCTCCGTCGGACGGTTTCTTCAGGGTCCACTGCCTTGCCTATGCTCACACACTCCCTCGACGGGGACTGTAACGAAGCTTGAACCCACTCGGAAAACTCTGCATAGAGTCGCGGCATGAATATGCAGACTGTCATATTGTCTGGCGACTTCATTCCGGACTCTGAGAGGGTGGCTTCTGTCACTTTGTGAGCTGTCATGTATTGACAGAACAGTCGCAGGTGCCGTCCGTATTGCAAGTGCACATCTATTTTGAACGTGCTGACAAGCTTCTCGTACAGGCTCTCAATGACGCAGCCTGGGACCGTGACTTACTCGGGGCGAGGCGAAGAGGAAGGCAAGCTAACGTACGTCCAGGCTCAGCATCGGTCGCTCCTTAGGGCTCAAACCTGTCTGTCTTATTGCCTGATTAGATCACGATCTGATGCGACCAAGACCAGGGGAAAATCAGAGTTGGTATCAACACCTCACATCTCAGCTGTTCGTAGACTCCACAGTGTCAAGGTCCCTGCACTATGCAGTGTAATACACTCGACTGCCAGGCTGGTCATCACTGATACCGGCTCTGCAGTCAACCCTAGTTGCCAACATCGGAACTGCGGGCAAGTTGCGCCGGCAGACCCGATGCTCTGCAAGCCGGCATTCGTCAATACCTGGGCCAAGAAGCCAGTTGAGGAGTCTAGAACACCGTTTCGCTCCTAGAGAGGCGCTCCAACCGCTCCCAAGCTACCGGATACCCATGACCTGATGCCCATCGGGAGAGTTGCATTTCAAGAAATTCATCTCCGTGAAACTTCTCGTAAATTGTCGGCACCTTTTTCCCCTGGGAGATAACAATCTCTCTGGGGCTGACCCAAACCCCAAATCTTCCAATCATCATTGGATGTTGTGGCGTTCGCGAACGTCTTGTGAACTATAGAAGCAGTCTTTTTATCATCCTCTTGATTATCCTGACGTCTGACACTGTCTCCTCCAAGCGACTATTGTCCCATCCCGTCATTTATTCCCAGATTTTCTGGGCCTCAGCGGCTAATTATGAGAATTATCTTAGCCGTTTCTCCGTCATCATACATCAGGCCCCATTCGCTTGGGTGCCGCAAAGGACGCTCGCGGTATGACCTTCACGGAAGGCTAGACAGGCTTCAATTCCATATCCGGATGATCCATACCACCACGCGGCCTGTGATGGATCCAGGCCCTGATGACAGCGCATGGTGGTATGGGTGGAATCGCGCGGGAAGCGTGTCCCGGGGAAGCAGGCAGACACTTTCCGGAGGAATCGATCTTGGATGATGCGCATCCAACCTCCCAGTTTCCTGCAGTCCCGTTGGTGTTTTGCCTGGATAACATCCTATTGCATGTCCAACCGTGCCTGATGAGCCACACAGACGCTGTATGGGCAAGCAGCCGCCAAGTAGCAAGAAAATTATTGTGAGCAACTTTCCCCATTCCATCTCCGCTCTGCCATGATGAACTCAACCATTTGCTACGCCAGACGCACAAGGTGCATGTATGGCAGCGTAATGAGTTGTCCAATTTCTGACGCATGTCTCACAGGTTGCAAGGTCCCGGGGTCGATGCGAGCTCATCAATTTGGCAGTTTTGAAGATGAGCTGTCGTCTTTTCTATCCCGGACAATTTCCAACCGCCTCTGGACACTCTGCCTCTGGAGAGCCTCGAAACAACTATCGAGGGGACAAAATCTTTCCTAGCATACGAAAACTTGGTAGTGTAACACGCAACGCCTCCGATGATTTCGGCCGCGCAGCGGCATGGCAGCCAGGGCCAAACCCTCGCACAAACCAAGAGCAGAAGAATCTTTGATTGGGTCCTGGAGACCTCAGATTTCGAGTCACACACGGGAGCATGCACAGTGACCTATGTGCCATCATATGGCATAGCTGTTGAGGACGATCGGACAATCGTCCATAGGGCTGCGATCTTTGATTTGTTCTTGTTGAGCATTTCGATACACTCGGGCTACTGCGGCTTTGTTTGCTCTGAACAAATTCCATGGTGATACACTGTCGAGGCTAGTTCCTGTGCCAGGGAAAAGTCATGTCTCGAGAACAGCATCGACAGGAGCTGCAAGATGGGTCTCAATCATCGACTTAGAGATGGCGAGGGGCTTACCCCTTTTGCCCCAGGTGAGTCAAGCCTCCACATGCAGGCTCTCTTTTGTCAGGAACAAGTGACTAGACTCGGCTCGGGGAGTTTTTTCCTAGTTGTGTCGGCCCATCTTCTGCGGCCCTGGATTTTGACTGTCATGGGATCTAAGCGATTCCAGTCCTGGAGGTACGAAAGGACGATTCAGCCGCTGGTAGGCTCGTTCAAGAACATGGGATACTTGTCAAGTGACTCCGGCGCCCTGCTCTTTCCTCAGCCGACCCTTCACGCTATCTCGAGCCCTGTTCGCCTCGTGAGGTGGTGCACTCAGGATCATTGCCAAACTTTACCACTCTCGCCACCTTCCCCGCAGCCGAGAGTTGTTTTCACGATGATTACTGGCGAGGTTCTCGGACCATTGACCCCGAATCCTCGAAGTGCTTACCGGATTCGTCTTGGCTGGGCAGGTGGGCATGCCGTGTATTCTGGGATGAAGGATCCAGATCTGCAAGAGCAGCATCGAAGCCGAGTCCGAAGTTACGGGAGACTACCTCGGAGGTACATCTCTCACCCTGGAGCCATCCAGTCCCGAGTCCCTCGCGAATGGCTTGGGTACTAAGAACTGGATATACGCTCCGTCTACACGGGGTGTCTTTGCAACTGTGTCCCTGTGCCGAACTGGAATCGCCAGGAGACAGCCCTGTGCCTAGGGTGGATTATCGGTCGCAAGGGACCCCGAAAGCTCCTTGTACGATGATTCTCAACCTGGTGGAAATGCCGCTGGTTCGAGTGGCCGATAACGTCCCAAGTCTACACGTGGGTCCAGTGAACGACGTTGTAAGTTGTCTTTCAAGTGAAGGTGGACCTGTCGAAAAACGGCTTTGGCGCCCTCGCCGAGAGGTCTTCCGAAGGCAATCCATGAGAGTAGCAGCAACGACCGGCTGTCACCATGGTTGGAACCTGTGGTTCTTTGCAAAAGAGGAGTCCACCGTGAGCACGACATCGGAACATGTGACCAGCACTTGCCGAGGATACGTGCCTAAGAGTCGCCCCTCTACGATGAGTGTCGACGGATCGCGGCTCTTCTTCGCACCTGACAAACAAACTCCATCGAACGGAGAGGTACGAGAAAGGGCAGTGCGGGACCTGTCATGCCGTCGGCCACTGGAGAGATCGACGCCTGAATGTGCTGTGTGCCAGTCGGATATGAGGAGGCAAAGAGAAGAAAGTGTGATATAGCGAATCAGACGGGCGGACAATAAGCTTCTTGCTTATTCCCAATAAACGGACCAAGAAGTCTCTTTGAGGGAGGCGTTGCCGATCTACGACAGGTTACCGGGAGGACGGATGTATACGGGGTCTCGGGTCAGAGGAGCGACTCAAGATGGGCCCCACGGCTTGCGGTTCGTCGTGTCTCGGGATGGGATCGGCAACGGCGATGAGAATCTGGTGCATCTAGCTGTTACCAGCGCCGAAGTCCGACGACGTGTCAAGGGAGCCAGGGCATGGCTTCGGTTCGAACGAGGTCCGTAATTCGTGGCTCTCTAAACTTAATCAATATCTGGCTTGGGTTTTTGAGTATTCTACTCGATGATGTGCTCCAAGACTAGGACTAGTCTGATATATGGCCGCGGGGATGTCTCATTTACTGTCCATAGAGGTTCGCATGGGCTATATTGAGATGGTAGACGCTAATTGAACGAGTTTTTCGTGAGATTGTGAGAGAGGAGATGGCGGAATTGCTCACGAGGAACATGGCTCAAGATCTACTTTTTGGTACGGAGGAGATTTCAAAGAAATGCAAAGTCAACCTCGAACGTCAAATTGGGCGCACCAGGGTATTTAGGTGGATAGTGCTGTCATCATTGTTCCTCGTATGTAAGGATTTCTTCCCCCCTCCTGTCCCGCTCGGTCAGCCGACGGGTTTATTATAGAAAGCAACTCACACCGGGGAGGGGGAAGGGAGGCTTTCCCTCTACATGGGCCTGACTCCATCTAGCGGGTCATTGTTTCTTGACCGGTATACTGTAATAGGTAACATCGGTGAGCCGACTACCATCGAATCACGGCGTGATGACGAGGGAAGAGGGGGGGGGGGAGGACAGCGTGGGGTTTTCTCTGACTGTTTTCCTGCTGCCGGTATCTCACTCGGTTTGCTTAGCCGAGCAACAGCCCACCCCCGCGTTTCGACCCCTACTCACCGATGTAATCCGCCCCGCCCCGCCCCTTGGTTATGGGAAACTCGAGACGATTCCTTGTGGCACATATCGTCGTCATTTCTCAGCGAACATCCAGACCGGTGTGGATCGCTTGGGTATAAGGAAGGGAGGAGAAGGACCTGTCGAGGGTGGGAATGCGGTAAGGGATATATATATCATTTAATGAGCTAGACATTTTTGTGTGTACTACTACTGCAAACTTGACCGAAGCTGCTTGATCAATGTAGAAAGTATTATCAAAGAGCCCTGTTATAAACTGCTCTAGGGCCGGGGGGATCACAGCCTCGGATACTGCAGCTTTCTCCTGTTTCCACACCTGATTTGATACAAAGTGAAAGTTTCAGCCCTTAGACCGACTTACCATGGGATATAGATGCCAATCTAGAGCATGCAACTCTCGGCCGTTGTAAGAACCCTGAAGTTCATGTTCCCCCATCTCGACCTGCATTAAATGTAGCCCGGCTGCAGTTACATGGCTTCCGGTTTGGGGTGGGGCTAAGCTAGATCATTCACAGGTCAATATAGCAATGCCTACTTTTGGCAGCCGTGTGTGCGATGAATCCATTGAAAGCATAGCGGACTATGCTTCATCATTATTCAGCAGAGCAGTGACCATAACAGCCCGCAATACTACAGATTTACACAGACTACACGCCATGAGCTGGAGAGAGCTGGAGAGAGCTAAAGACACACACACACACACACACAGAGAGAGAGAGAGAGAGAGAGAGAACCCTATGGATACAGACACTTTGGAGATCAAGATATATTGGAGATGGAATTCCAAGTAGTGAAGCAGGTGTTGCTCACCTGAAAGAGGGCGATGGGGTTCAGCAGCTCAGAAGGCCAAGCACCTAACACGTCGTCTCAAGGACGCACGGTTTCTCTGTCGAGAAAGTCAAAGAGACTATTCACTAGAAGCACACAAAATCAAGTACGACCATGGGTGTTTTTGTTTTCTTTACACTTCTTTCAAAACTCGAATGTGCTGATTGCATATTCGTCTGGTCACATCTGGCAGATCACTGGCCGAGCTGAAGATTTATGAATGGACATTAAGTCTTCTGGTCATGGAAAGGCACAGAACATTGGCATTATACGCCCATGTCTGTAAATGAAACTGTTCTCAGAATTGCACGAGTCCTGCAAGGCTGACCAGGAGACTCGAATGAAAGATATCATCTTCCACAGAAAACTACGTTGTTCAAAAGGTTGTAGAGAGGTGGCCGACTTGTCACCACTTACTTGCATATCAAACACGACCAAAGTAAGTTATGCGATCAAAATCAGCAACCGAAATTGCATAGAGCTTACTGAAAGCCAGTATCACCAAGGAAGGCTCTGATGACTTCATCAAGGCTTATGAACCAAGGAAAATCAATGCCCCCAGCATCTTTCTAATGCCTTGAAGCGCCGCATGATATTAAGCAAACTTGAAAGAAATCTACTGCAGCACTATTCTTGGTTCGCCCTACATTTCTTACGCATTAGCAATTTCCAAAGTTAGGGTTAAACACTAGAATGTAGGATAATAAAGGCATATGAATCAAACAGATGGCAATGTGTTTCGAAAAGGTCAGAGAGCTATGGGGGATCTCCATAGCGACTGTGTAATGTTGACACGGATGCTCGAGGCTCATAGAGTCAGTAAGTTTCCCCACAAACCATCTGTTGAAATAGCTGATGTTTTTGCGCATGATAGGGTATAAACTTTCTTTCCATCATTGGATCAACAGCTGAGCCGTCACCCTACATCTACGGCAGTGTTGACAAGAGACGCACTCTCCACCTCCCTGACGAAACCAAAAAGGCAATCTATGTCAGGCGAAGAGGCTTGTTAGCTGTTAATGCCAAGCAGCCTAGACTTCTAGTCTCTTTTCAGTCCGGGGAACTGATCATCAGGGACCACCAGCTAGCTGCAGAAGCAGCAGCAATAGCAGCAAGAGCGGCGTCGATCGCAACACTAAAAGAGCAAGAAACATCCCATGGAGCCGCATAGCTGAGACCAACTTTCTCACACCACACGTGTGAAGTTCTCTTCATCTCTCCCGTGCCCCTCTGCTATTCAGGGACCAACGGATCTTGCTGGCAATTAACCCCTGGTCCAAGTGCCACTACTTCATAGACATCCATTCCCACGAACCCCTTGACGACCTAATGATGTTGAAGAATAAGCGAAATTCATTCGTTTGGTCTGATTCTCGATACACAGATAAAAAGTCAGTTCGGCGGAACCGGGACCAATGCCGCCAGACATCAAGACCCGTTGGAGTAGTGACTTTGAACGGGAAGGTAACCCATGGCGGCTGGGCTATTTTCAGCTGAACGTTGGCAAATAGTCCCCATACGTTCATCGAGAAGAGGGGATGGGAGGGCCTCTAAGCAAGCCAAGGGCTATTAGACAAGAGAGGTCGTGGAACCAACAATTTGCCAATGTCTCATGCCTTGTTGATAGTCTGCAGCGTGTCATCATTGGCCAAGGAGGCTTGCAGTGACTGTTACATCCAGTGCAGACTGTCCCCTGCATTGTAGTATTTGCTTTGAATGCCAAACGTGAAATTCCGATTTAAGAGGCTGGTCGAGGCCAGATGTCACGGTCAGGATCTTTGACCACTCAGGATCTGGGGATGCTTCGAGTCCGAGCGAGCTTGGTCGCAACATCTGTGCAGTGGTCGAAACATGGTTCGAGATGCAACTCAAGATTGAGTTCAGATGGGCATTGTCGGGGAGAGGCCGGGTCGGAGGAGAGTGGGGCAAGCCAGCGCCGTAAAGTTATCAAATGGTGAGAGTGTCTGGCCACAGAAACTTGCCCGCCTTACTATTCGGCTGAACCTCTCACCCGAGGGACCTTCTAGGCTTCATGTTTTGCGCCGTAGGCGCATGAGTGACCACCTATGCCGGCCCAGGAGGGCCACTTCAATCCATACCCGTGATGACGTTGGTGAGAGCCCCGGAAGAGTCCGGTTTTCGAACTTCATTCTGGCGACGGCCAAGCGAGTAATATGCACAAAGACCGGGCGGGTCTTATTTTGGAATTCCTGGAGGATTCACCATTTGGCTGCAAGGCGTCTTGGTGGCGGGGTAAACATGCCACAGAGTCCGAGCAGGAAGGGTTGTGGTTGTTGGTGGTTCTGTAGTCGCTTCACCTTGCTGAGCTGGCCGAGCGACTTGATTCGTGCAACTGCAGGTTAGCATTGTGCGGGGAGCAGCCTGTCAGAGAGTATGGACAGCTGAAAGCAAGCAAAACAGGAATTCGTTGACGCTGGCGTTGGTGTTTTTAGAGAAAGTGGTGGCGGCGGCGGCGGCGGCGGCAGCACTATCAATGACCCAGCCCACATATCGAGATATCGAGAGATAGCGAGACGCACGCAGGCTCCTCAATCGTCACTGGTGATGACAGATGCAGCTATTTTCTGGGTGCATTCTGGCCAAGTCCTGGGCGAAAATGTATGCTGCCATCAGGCGGCCCGAGGCTCGTCATCATGATCGGATGCCTCTCGAAAGTGTGCCATGTCAGGGAAGTGCCTCTGGCAATTAGCAAGGCATGGGGTGCTGGATTGAATCCAGACTCGAGAGGAGACCAATTCTAAACTTTTGACTTTGGCCTGGCGACCATCGGTGTAGACAGCAGATATGATAAGCATGCGAGGCAAGTTTTGTCGCGCAACACAGTACGGCAAGCCACTTGGTGAGGGTGATTGGGGAAGAGCAAGCGGCGTCTTTGAAGGATGAAGGATTGTGGGGGTGGGTGAGCCTGGCATTCGGGCCGGAGATTCATGTTGATTCATCAGACTCTGGTGTTTGCAAGTGGTGGGTGAAGGTGAGTGAGTGACGGTGAGGGTGATTTGCCGGAGCCAGCACTCTGCCCCGTTCCTCCTCCTGGCCCTCGTTCGCATGTGGAGGACATCCCATGAACCGCAAACCCGACTAGGAATGGGCTGCAGACGGTGAGTGGACAGGCGCATGGGGAGGGGGCTGGGGATGCGCCGGGACGTGGGATCTGGAGCGTTTTCATTTGCAGACCGAAGGCTTTTAGCTTGATGCAGCTCTGTTTCAATTCGAGAACGATGGGGTCGACCGTCGACCTGCGTCCCAGACGGCCTGTGTCTCGCAGCATCTTCTTTGACGGACATTGTTTTCTGCTCGTCTTGTTCCCTCCGTGGCCGGGGCTGCTATGCCTTGCATCCGCAAACAGATATTCCTGGAAGCTTCTTCTTGTCTGGTTTCGCCGCGCGGGGAGGGAAAAAAAAAAAAAAAAAAAAAAGGAAATTGCAATCGGCGAATTGGGTGCTTAGATGAGACTGACCCAAAGCAGGACAAGGTGAGGGTGATCTGCCAACCGCCGTGTGTCTGTCTCTCACACTAGCCTCCATTGCTGGTGCAAGGTTGTGCCAGTGTGCGCGAGAAGCCGTTTGGTACCGTCACTGTAGAGCAAGGCCGTCGACGGGGAGACTGGGTCTCTCGTCCTTCACCCACGGCGTCCATCCCATCTCATCCCATCAATCTCTGACCGTTATTTGGTGCCGCTGTTCCATTCCTGCTTCGACCTTAGCTGGGCGTAAGGTAACGTGGGATTGCTAGACGCAGTACTGTTGTGTTTGCGCGCGCACTTGTGTGCGGCAGTGCGCCCGGAAACTGGGCGGATAGTCTTGTTCGTGTACGGATATGTAGGTCACGTTCTCTTTCGACCGCGCTCGGGGTTGAGTTGGAGCTCAGCAGAGGCAGCCCATGCCAATGCCACTGCCACTGCCCTTGCCAGTCTGCCCACGAGAACACCACTAATGCCAGTGCCGTGCTCTCTACCGTAGTTCTCTGCGCGGTGGCCGCAGATTCGCAAGCCCCCCTTCACACCATCGCTTGTACGGCTTCGCTTTGCCCTGCTTCTTCGCCTTCGCCGACGTCAACTCCCCGTCTATTCCACCCCGTTGACCCCGGGACCGGACCCAGATAATTTTCATTAGTTCTGAATCTCCAATCTCCAGTCTCGGCTCTCCAGGCCTCTCATTCGGTCACCTGAGGCCCACGAACCCGCCTTTTCTCTCACCTCACCGGTAGCACCTGTTCGGGGACAGACCCTGGGAAAAAGCCGCAACATCAACAAAACATATCCACCTTGTTGTAAACAAACCCAACCCAGCCAGCCAGCCCGAGATAGAGCGGAAAGAAACTCAACTCGGCCGCGCCCTGAGGCAATACATCCCGAGAGCAACGTATGGAACGCTGAGCCGTCTGGGCCTGTCCTGAGAGCCCGCAACCTTAAAACTCGGCGGCCTGAAGGTTCCAAAAGACGCCACACCACTGCTTCCGCTTTAGAAGGGTAACCCCTCCTTCCTCCATGTCAAAGTCTCGCGCTCCAGCTCGGTGCCCTCGATCCTTCTCCGGGCGCATTTCTTGGTCTCCCCCACGTGCTCCATGTCAGTTGGGAAAGGAATGAGGCTGATTCAGGCGTAGCCAAGCGGGTTGCGGATACTCGGCGCACTTTTTGGCGGTGGCCTGGGCTCGCTGTTTCCTGGTGCCGATGCGGACGGTCGGTGTTGGCCCTTGTACAACTAACTGCTTGGGGTGCCTTGTGTCTCGTTTCCCCATTCAGTTTTTCCCTTCCCTTTTCCTGTTTCTCCGCTGGAGTAGGTTGTCGTCCACTGCCCAGGGGCACTGCCATTTGCAGCACGACAACGACGCAGTAGCAGCAGGCAAAGAGAGTGACGACGACGATAACGGCGACGGCGACGAAAGTTGCTCTTGGCCTCGCACTCGGGTTGAGCCGACCTCTTCTTGGCTTTGCAGTCGCTGAATCAGTTCTGCGCAGGCAGTGTCTGCTGAAAACGACAAGGTGAGGCAGGCCGAGACGACCGCCACACACTCTTCTCCATTGCTCATCCTATCCCGTTCCATCCCATCCCATCCGCCTGGGGACTCCGCCCTTTCCGCTGCGTCAGCCTGTCGCTCCCACCTTTCATCTCGCCCATTTGATAACCCCCCCCGGCGCCGCTCATCTCGCTCCCCCTCCCATCTGGGTCCAACTCTCACCGTATGTTGGATGACATGACTGCCGCTTCTTCGTCTCGGTGGATTTAAAGTTGCTCACTGTCACTACCAGACACCACGCGTCGTCTTTGGCATCGAACCACAGCAGCCGTTGTCGCCGCTGCCGCCGCCTTCGTCGCCATTGCGTATCTCCATTGCCCGATCCATGCATCGCGTCCGGTGATCATAGTCGCTGTAAAGAGAGTCGTCTCTGAGACTGGGGTGCGGTCTGCGGCCCCGGCCTGCATGGTGGAGGACTCGTCCTGGTCTGGCAGTCTGCCATCGCCATCACCCATTGATCAAGAGAAAAGCTTGATCCGCCAAGCCGCCGCCGCAATCGACAGGCAGCACGCGACTGCAAGCAAAAGAGCGGTACGCTGCCACCAGTAGAGCGTAGGAAAGGACGAAGACCAAAGGAGAACATCTGTGCATGCAGCCTGCCTGTAGACGGTCCGCCACGATGACTTCGTACACTGATGTGACGGCCGGTGCCGTCTCGGGCAAATTGTCCAAGTCGCGGAGCAAACCGGTGGTGAAGCCGATACTCAAAAAGCTGTCGCACTCGGAAAAGAACTCGCTGGATCTGGATCGTGGTTGGGATGAGCAGCAGACGATGTTTGGCAACTATGGGAGCAGCTTGGGAGGTAGCAGCCTGGGGCGAGAGAGGGAAGGTTCTTTTGGAGGAAGGGACGTCAGCTTCAGCATTTCGGCTACGGAACTCCACCACAGTGGCAGTATCAACAACGGCAGGAGCAAATTCTCCCACGCCCGGTCGACCAGCGGCACCTCCCACGTCAGTGTTGCTACAAGCGGCAGTGGCCAGCGAAACGGCAGCTTCGTCCACCCTTTCCAGCAGACACCACGCACCTCATCACCGCCCCTCTCGTACGCCAATTCACTCACCAGCATCGAACACGCCAACAGCAACAGCAACAGCAATACCAACATATCGGCCAGTGTACCTGCTCCCCGCGACTACTCCCCGACGATAACAGAAGACGACGACGATCTGCTGGATCATCAGTATTTACATCATCGCAGCAATTACCACGCGCCCGCGTCTTCTTCCATCCCCATCACCAGCAATCCCTCTTCTACCTCTTACCCCAGGCGACCTTCACTGGCAAGCCGGACTTCCTCTTTATCCGATATCAACAACCAAACTAGCCCTCCATCATTGCGCATCAACACCAGTCGTACAAATTCAAACAACACATCATCTCGACTAGTCCACGTATCTAGTCACTCAGATATCAACATCCCAGCAGGCAGGCTGTCAGAGTCCGCTGCGCCCAGCACAGCACCTGTGCTTTCACCTCTATCCTCAGCCTCACCCTCAACATCAGTCACTGCCATGTCACCCCTTCGCACCTCCCTCGAGGGCTTCCGCCTTCGCTCTCGTTCTGAGCTTGACTCCAACTATCACCAGGAACGTATCAGACAGGAGCGTCGTCGCTGGGAGGAGAAGGAGCGCCTCAAGAGTGAGAAGCGAGACAAGGAGGACATGCGCAAGCGAGAGCGTGCTGATATCAAAGAGGCCCAGCGCCATGAGCGTGAGCAGCAGCAGATGCTCAAGCGAGAGGCAAAGGAGGCCGCCCGAAAGCAGAGTTTCTCTCACAGCACCCGCAACAGCTCAAGCGACATCATCCGCCCCTCCATCAGCCGCAAGAAGACCGGCCCTGATGCCGAGAAGCTGGCCATGGGAGCTCAGGGCGATGTTGGATTCGCCAGCCGCAACTACGAGAGCACCGACCAGGGCCAAGCGCCTGTTGCTGATGAGCTGATACTCGAAGGACCCCGCCGCTCCCAGACTGCCAAGCGCAAGACGCAGGGTGCCTGGACGAGCTTCGTCCTTTGGTTCCGGACTAGAATTCTGCGACTTCACAACAACATGGCCAAGAAATAAAGGGTTTGTCGAAAGAAACAAGTGAGGCACTTTTGCCTGCACTGCCCGTCTTCACCCTTTGTCCGGGCCCATCCCCAGGGCCATTGCCTGTTCACAATTCTCTCATAGCATCACAAAACATGGTGATTGTGCACGCAACTCTTAGCATGATTGAGACAGATCCTTTCATCGCGACAAAGGGCAAGCAGACCTTGTCCTATTGCATTTTACTTCCCATCATATACCCCCCTCAAAACTACCCATCAACACAACCGCACCGCCTCTTTTTACGACACCACCAGATGCCCTTGCAGAGGCCAGGGCACTTTGAACATTTGTTACGCTCTCAACAACCCACGATTATGACCAGCATTCAGACGAATTTCCGGACATGGGCAGATGAGCAAGAAGAAAAGAAAAAAGGATTTCACTTCCTTCGTTTTTACGGACTCGGATTGGCCTGGCGTTTGGGATTTTTTTTTTCTTGTATTTCATTTTTTCCCCTCTTTCTCTCTCTGGCATGACGCTCCTCAGGAAACATGGGGGAAACACTCGTTTGGCAGCCGTGGGAAACGGCATGGACATAGGATTGGGAAGAGCCTTGGGCCTGCGGGCTTCTTGGAGGAAAATTTCCGATCGAGGAACGGCGTCTTGGTTCCGAGCGAGCGAAATGGGCATCTGGCCAGGAACAGCTGCTTCCCACGGGACAGCGCGGCCGTGTGTAGAAGTACAGAGTCAAAAATAGGAATGGCTCCTTTCCTCGTTACCTACCGTTGACATGATGATGGCCGTTTATGCCGTGAGCAATCGTGTGAGGAACCGCGTGGAAAAATCGTGGGCGGCATTGATGGACCCTGCATAGACTCGATTCGAGATGTGGAGAAGCATGACAGCCTTGTCCATGCCTCGCCAATTCGAAAGTGCATGTGAAGCTCAGTTTTCTGGAAACATTTCTCAACGGCATCCTGTTAGCTTTGCCGTGGCGGGATGGCGGGGTAATGTGCCAAAACATAGTGGCTTGATGCTCCCCTTAGCGTCCCTTGGCTGGGCGATCGATCGTGCGGTCGTGGAATGTGCAAATCATGGGATCCTATGCTAAGTTTGCGGACAGGATGCGACGGCGCTTTTGATCGTTGCTGTCTATTTCTCAACGACCCTTGCGAATCAAGGCGTTTATGGACAGTCTACGTATAACATGAGTGGATATGAATATATATCCGTAAATCTCGGAACACAACCCTGCATGCGGAATGGAAAGTGACCTTTCTTTTTCGACGGAGAGAAAACCCAATCCCGTACGGATGGATTCGATAGCGCCAACGACTTTCTTCAGGTCGCGTGCGCCCGAGGTGTCTTGGCTCTTGAGCGAGCTTTGACCTTCCATTGGTGTGGGGGCGGCCCCGACGCGACTGCGACGCTGCAGGCCCCGAGCGAGGCCTTGTCTTTCTTATCGATACAGGAATAATTGGGGTACCTACTTTAGGTGCTTAGGTATCCGTAAGTTACGGATACCTATCCGCAAGCACCTTGGGTACCTGCCCGAGGTGGTGCTGACCACTCCGATAAGGAAGAGGTGAGGAACCCAGGCCCCAGACCGCTCGTTTGTGTCTCTCGTATCCGTACTGGCAGAAACAAAAACAGACGGAGAGCAATCCTGCAAAAACTCGGACCACTCTGGCAGACAGTTGTAGTAGGTAGGCAGTTTCGATGTCTATGAGCTCAGTCCTCGGCTAAATGACATAGGGCATTTCACGATCTCACGTCGTATACCTATCCGTACCGTGTACGTGATGTGCTTCAGATCCCGGCGGGTCTGGTTGGCCAGCGAATGAGAGAAGTCAATTGGACTGCGCCTCAGCGCAGCCAATAGCAACACCGACCCTCGACAGGAATGTCTCTACACCTCCACCGGGGTTTCATACGTTAGCGCAGTGAATTGACAAGGAGGGTCCACTATAAGTACTAATTCTATCTTCTTTACTTAATTTCTATAACTAATCTAAAAATAATACTTTTAAATTTAAAAGCCGATATTTTTTTTTAAATACCGAACCTTTTATTTATATATATTTTTCTATTTTCTTTATTAATTTTATAATAATTAAAATTAAATTAAATATTATTATAAAATAAAAAAAGATACTTATTTTTATTTTATTATATTATTTTTTTATAAATTTAAATATTACGATTTTATAGGGTTGTTATTAATGTTAGTAAAGTTTGTTAGTAAGTATTACGCTAACGTATGAAACCCCGGTGGAGGTGTAGCACGAGATCAGCAGTCCGCCGGCCCTTGGGACTGGAACTCGGCGAGGGATGCCGAGGCACGAAGCTGCCGTGACGTCTGCAAGTGCCTACGATGGGGGTAGGGAAGGTCGGTCGACATTCGGTACCTTTCGCGAGTTAGCCCCAAGAACTCCTGAGAAAACGGGGCTTTCAACTGCTGGGAAGTTGGAACCACTATCAGAGAGGAGAGCCTGCCCACCCCAAAAGCACAGCGCTGATCCGAGCTCCCGCGCGAGTCCCGAAAGTGAAAGGTTTTCCCGTAGGTTCGATGTTTGACGGATTCCCCCCCCTCCCCCTCTCCCAATCAATCAGCAGCACCTGGTACACCATCACCGAACCACAGATATCTGAGGTAAGACGAGCGAACGCAAGGGAGTCCACCACACCTCCTTCCTACCTTGGCCCGTAGCGATTAGGAGGAAAAGAAACACAGCAATACTTAGCTCCCCTCCGCTTGTTCGTTTCGTTTCGTTTCAACCCTGCTCACTCTCAGCCTCCAAAAATTGTCCGAGTGTCCGTTCGAAGAAGCGGATCAAGGCCAAAGCTCCCAGCTCCCTCCGTTCTTCTTCAAGTAACTGAACCCCCGCTGAAACTTTAAACACTCCCAGCCGAGCTTGACCTCTCCCAAAAAAAAAAAAAAAAAGGCCCCCAACGTCCCTCCCAACGGCTTCTGATACTGTTGCTATCCAATTTTCGAGCCGTTTCTCAGTCCCTTTTTTTTCTTCTCTGCTTCGATTTGCTCGTAGAGCCTCGTTAATTCCCTCTTCCTTCATAATACGCCGGCTGGTCCAGTAGACGACGCCATCCCAAACCAACTGCCTCGGGGTCCTTGTCAACCACGTCCGTCGACGTTTGGACACCGCAATCCTCTCTGAAGCTCAAGTTTACATACTGACAATCAAAACCATGGCTCCGAACCGTAAATATGCCAATTACCCTGGCGCCCGTGAGGGGCCGGCCCAAGGGAATACGGAGACCCAGAAGGAAGACCAGAACCCGGTCCTCCGCGGCTGGCCTCTTGTTGCGGGTGCAACAGCGTACGTCTTGAGACTAACTCACATCCTCTCATCGAACCAGCGCTCGTGAGCTAATCCGTTCCACACAGACTCGCGAACTCCGGCGTTATCCAGCGCTTCTTCTGGCGCAACGCCAAATTTGGCTCCATCAGAGACCTGCCTGGCCTCGTCGATTACAGATACCGCTTCCAGGTCTGTCCCAAGTCTCAAACCCGTTCCCCCGCCAAGCTCAAACATCAACTCACAAACCGTATTTCGTGCCGCTAACACTCACCACCAGCCCGACGTCCTCGTCCTCTCCGAGACGGGATCTCACCCGGAAACCCTCCCGCTCACCAAGGATCTGACCACCCCGGCACCACTAGACCAACCAGGTCGCTACCTCTCCAGCGCAGACTACCACGCCCTCTACGCCTCCGGCGCCGTCACCCCGCTGGACGTTGTCCAGTCTCTGCTGCCCCTGATCCGCCGCGCCGAGGGCCACCCCCCGCCCGAAACGGGACCCTACGCCAACGCCTGGGTGGCATCCCACGGCCGCGAGGACCTCGCCATCGACGCCGCCCGCGCTTCCACCGAGCGGTGGAAGCAAGGGAAACCCCTGGGACCCCTGGACGGTGTCCCCATCGGCGTCAAGGACGACTGCAATGTCAAGGGCTATGTCAGCCATAACGGCATGCAGTACCGCCCCGACTTGCCGTGGTTCAAGGCCGCCGACAAGACGATATGGCCCGTCCAGCAGCTCGAGGCCGCCGGAGCCATCGTCTTGGGAAAGAACGCCATGCATGAGCTGGGAGGAGGTACGTCTTCCTCTGCATCCTAATGATGAGAAGGAGAAAGCTGACCGTGAGGATTTCCGCAGACACCAATGGCTGCAATGTGAGTAAAGGACTGTTTCTCAAGAGAGGGCAACCTCCGCAAACAATATTTAACTGACTAACCTCTGGCGGTAGCCCCGATGGGGAACACCCACAAACTGGCACAACAAATCCTACTACCCGGGCGGCTCATCCTCCGGAGCCGGCTCCGCCCTCGGCGCCGGCATAGTCCCCATTGCAGTCGGCACCGACGCCGGCGGCTCCATCCGCATCCCGAGCTCCTTCAACTCCGTCTACGGCCTGAAACCCTCCCACCACCGCACAATGGCAATGAACTCGTCCGTCTGCGTCGTCGGCCCCCTCGCCGCCACTGTCGCCGACCTCACCATCGCCTACCGCCTCATGTCCCGCCCCAACCCGGACGATCCCATCCAGGGTCTCTATACCCCGTCGATCCCGCCCTCCCCTTCGTCGCCTTCTCCCAAAGTCATCGCCATCGATGAAGCATGGTGGTCCCGCGCAGACCCTGCCGTCGCGACAATCTGCCGCCGCGCCGTAGACCACTTCAAATCCCTGGGCTACACCGTCATCCCCATCCGCATCCCGTACCTCCGCGAGATCCAGCTCATGCACTCGGCAACCTGCGTCACCGAGATGCAAGACCTCGCCCGCCACCGCCACCCGGATCCGAACCAGTGGCAGTCCATCATCAACCATGCCAACAAGATCACAATGTCCGTCGGCACGCAGACCCCCGCCGGCGACTACATGAAGTACGCCCAGCTCCGCGACCTCCTCATGAAGCACATCGCCTGGCTGTACGAGCAGAACCCGGGCATGCTCGTTGTCACGCCCACCACACCGCTCCCCGGCTGGCCCCGCCAGCCCGGCGACGATGCCTACGGCGTGTCGGACGCGAATACCACCATCGCCAACATGAGTTATGTGTATGTCGCCAACGTCAGCGGGTGTCCCGCCGTCTCGGCGCCCGTGGGCTACGTCGATGCCGTGCAGGGCGAGGGCAAGATCCCCATTGGATTGATGGCCATGGCCGAGTGGGGATGCGAGGAGCAGCTGCTCGACTGGGCCAAGGAGGCTGAGACGTACCTGATCAAGGAGGGGAGGCAGAGGCCCGAGGGGTGGGTGGACGTCGTCGAGGTTGCCAAGAACGGCGGTCTCGAGGCGAAGAAGAATATCTGAGGGAAAGGAGCACTACCAAAAAGAGAGAGCATCGTGTGGTCCTTGTCAAAGTATCGCAAAGCAACGTAATAGTGTCTAAGTGCTTCTGGTCTGAATTCACATGCTCATGGCCAAACACGGAGCAAACAAGGGAAAACTCTTCCCCAATCGCATCCTCTCATTCCTGATCGTAACTAGGCGCGCATGCACACGACCCATTGTCTCGTTTCTCATGTCTACGTACCTAACTTCCCAATCTCTTTAATTCATAAACTTGGACGCCAAGCCCATGATACCGCCCTGTTGCTGCCCCTGGCTCTTGAAGTACATCTTGAGCGCCATCTCGCCCGCCTGTTGGATAGCCGACTCCTTGCTTGTGCCGTCAGCGACCTTGCCCTGGGACTGGCGCTGGTCAAAAAGCTATTGGAATGTGAGAATGTGTTAGTGAGTTCCATGGAACTATACTTCTCGTTTTCCCCGGGGAAAGGCAGGGGGGGTTTTGTTCATGGGGAAGAAAGACCACTGGGGAGAAAGAGTGGAGGAGACGCACCCGACTGGCCTCGGCCATTGCGAGACCGGCAAACCCGCCCTGGGACTGCTTCTGCCCGCCCGTCTGTCCGCTGGAAAACATCTTGAGGGCCTGCATCGCGGCTGCGGCACCGAGGCCCTTGTCGTCGGCCTTTTCGCCGTCGTCATCGTCGCCAAAGTATTTCTTATGTTTGTCGACGGCCTCTGCGGCGAGAACTACGAATCAGCACTGGTATCCAATGTGATGAATTACTTCTCCCTCTTTCCCCGATACCCTCTTGGTACCATCTTCAGGTGCAAGAAAGCTCCGAGAGCGAGAGGAGGAGGGTGGTGCTCAGGAGACAAAGAAATCAACGCACCATCCTCATCGATATCCTCGTTCCTCAACTGCCCCTTCTTCTGCGTCAAGGCGCCGAGCACGCTCGAGAAGAGGTCCGTATCGCCGTGTGATCCCGCATGGCGCGAGGCTTGGTTTGCAGCGTGGCGGTAGTCGTCTTCGTCGTCGTCGTCGTCAGCAAAGGCTCCAGCGCCTGCGGGGTAGTTGCCTCCGTGGGACTCTGTTTTACAATAACACGCGCGGGCAATGATTAGCAAGCCACCCTTCAACTCCATCCATCTTGGGAAAAAAAGAATCAAATTAAGTAAATGGAATCCCTTTGAAGGAAACCTCGGGCCGATTGGTCTGAAATGAGTTCAGCAACAAGAAAACTTCTGTCGCCACCGGCAAGGGGCTGGCCTAAATTTCAGTGAAGGCTTCCTATCAGTTGAAGCTTCTTTTCCACCTATTCACAATCTTGAGATGTTCAGGGGCAGGAGCGGGGTAAAGGAGCAAGGGACAGCGGGGTAGTTCAACAGAGGGGTAAGAAAGCTTGTCGAAAGAAGCACATACCGTAGCCCTGTTGCTGGTGCTGCTTGGGCTTATCGTCGTCCTTGCTGAGGTACTCCTGCGCGGCGTTCATGAGCTTGTCCATTGTGAAGAAGAGAAGTCTTGTTGTTGCTTCTTGACGACGACGATGATGATGGTGATGATGATGATGATGATGTAATGGTGGGGTTTACAGAATGGAGACGCTTATTCTTGCGAGAGAGATGAAGAAAGAGAGAAGAATAAGGGAAAGACAACGCAGACGAGGAGTGAAGAAGTTCCAGGTTGATAGCTCTTGTAAATAGATTGCAGAGCCACGTCTCCGCATCACCAGCGGGCGATCAATTGTCTCAGGAGCCCTGAGCTGGCCATGCATGCCAAAACGACGTCGAATCAGAATCGAATGGCATCCAATTGTTTGTGGCAGACGGTTGATTTGATCGGATAGGCCTCCCGGTTCACAGCCACAATCAACAACCTGAGCAGCGCAAGCCACTCGACTAGACCACACATGTATGGGGCGAGCTAGCTGTCCATGGGTAGAGGGACCACAAGCCCCGTCTCCAAAGTACACATGCCGGTAGTGCCCCAAATGACGCAGCTCAGTAGGGTATAAACAGTCGCGGAGAACGGGACCAGACGACTTCGTGAGGTGAGGTCTCTGGGCTTCCTGAGCGGTGCCTTGGCACGCGTGGCCGAGTGTCCGTCAGTTGGACCCTGAAGTAGCCCCTCACGACCTGCCAGGTACCTAAGGTGCTGGACCCCTCCACAGCTGATCCGCACCTACAGCGGGGTCCTATCTGCGAGAACCCCTTGATGAGGCAGCCCAGCCCCTCTAAGGTAGTGCCCGGATTGCACCCGCAGAAGCAAGCTCTGCACACCCCTCTTGCTTCAAAAGTCGTCGCTGCTATCCATCTGCGCTGGGATGGCCTGAGTTCTCACTTCCATGCAAGAGCAAAGCCTGCCCAGCTATTTGCAGAGCTCCAGGGCAAACAGCATGTTTCAGGAAACCTCTAGGCTCACATGTGCCAACACCAGCCCAGTCGACAGCATGGCCATGGACGCGTGAATGAGGGGACTTCAAGTCGAGAGCCGGCAGAGTACAGAATGCTCAGAAAGGTAATCAAAACAAATCCCGAGCGTGGCAGCCCAACTCTTCAAAGTTCACCCTGCATCTGCCGGCAGACACCCGCCGGGACCGGCCAGCTGTGGCCGAGGTGTCATCTGTATCCGTATGCAAATCGCGCATTCGCCGAGAAATATCACGTACAATGACTGCCGCCTGCCGACGGACAAGCTACAGCTCCTAGCTGGTGCTGTGATCGTCTGTTGACCACCAGGACCGCACGACCGGTAGGTCCCGCCCGAGCCGCCGCGGACATCAACTGCAACTGCCTCGCCCGACCCGACGGATCCCCCGTCAATTGAAGCAACATGGCTTGGAATAGACTTTGCTGTTCAAAATTGATCTTGCCAAGACTACGCCTTCTGTGCGTCCCATGACCTAATCGTCTTCAGGTATCTCGGTTGCTGCGGAAAAAACACAGCTGGAAACATGGCAAACAGTTGCATGTCTGTCAAAGTGATAACCTACGCCATGCCGTCTTCCAGACGCCAACTCCGGTGCACATGGAATTACCACGCCCAAGCACCCAAGGCAGCCCTCTTGGGCACTTGCCGACCAATGCGCCAGTGGTGATTCATTAAAACTCAGCCTCCGCCATGCTCGACTTGCAACGATCCTGAGTGGTGGGTGCTGTTATTGCCATGCCGATTCTTCTTTTCCTTCTTGGCCCATCTGAGGCCACACGCGTTGCATAGCGTTTTGGGTCCACTCGGGCCTTTGCGCCATTCCGGAGAATCCAGGGTCCCTAATCAGATCATCATCGTTAGCCGGCCTGCAACTCGCCATGCCGAGCGGACTCTAAGTCGGAGCTTACCACAGTCCGTGCAGACGTATTCCTCCGAAGTCTTGAGCTTCTTTTTCTTGTCCCCTGTCCGAGGGTCTCGATCTTGTGGAATCGCGATGCCCGCGTCGCCCTTGACCAAGGTTGGACTCGCGTTTCCCGTCGTGATGCCGCGACTCCTCTCGCCCTCAATGTATCTCAATCCCGTCAACATCTCAATAGTATCAGTGTGCGAATTCCCTTCGTATCTGGCCATCTTGTCCTTCAATGAATCCGGGCGACTTCCCGCAACACCCTCCAGGGCCTCGCGTGTAAGCGCAACGTTGAGGGCCGATGACCTGTCGCCCCCGTCACCGCCCCGAGATATGGCGCTGGGGGCAGATGCCATCGTGGTTTCCGATGGTGTTACGTCTGACCTGCCTTCCTGGCTTTGTAGCCACTGCTTCTGTGACTCCTCGTTTTCCATCTCTTCCTCCTTGCGCAGCTCAGCAATGCGCCTCCTCAAACGTTCATTCTCGATCTTGTGTTCTAGAAACGAGTCCAGCAGGCCTGCGTTCTTGGTTGGGTACGGGCGCGACATCATGAAAACGGCCTGGCAAAAGGGCGATTGATTGTGTGGGTTCGGTGCAAACTTGGAAGCGGCGATGTGGGCGTGACCAACCGACTCAAAAATAGCGTATTTACCGTCCTTTTTCTTTAGCCTGAAGAACAAGCGCAGCGGGTTTCCTGATGCTATAGATTCGTTCAACTCGGCGACGAAGACACCCACGTCGTCGGGGTGGACGAGTTCCTTGAGGAAAGTGTCGGTGATTTCGTCGGCGGCGTAACCTGTGAGGTTTAGAATGCTGGGCGAAACGAAGCGTATGCGACCATTGGCGTCGAGTATATGGAGGAAATCCTTCAGCTCTTCGACGACCTTTGCAGGCCAGTTGCGTCTCTTTGTAAATTCGGTGAGGGTGCTTCCGGCCTGCTGCAAAGCCTGAGAGTTGAAGCCGCCCGAGGGCAGAGGGCCCCCACCAACCACGCTGGAAGCATCGTCGCCATTATTCGAATAATTGTTGTTCATGGAAGGTGTATCATCGGCGAGACCGTCCGGCATTGGAGTGTTGCCGACAAAGTTGAAGGAGGACATGGCGTTGTCGTCGTTGGGATTGTCGACGCTCATTGACATGGCGTCAAAGCTTCCGTAGACTGTCGAGTCCAGGAGAGAAGACATGATGTTGGGGTCGGCTTCGGCCATCTGCATTGCGTCAGCGCGTTGTTGGGAGCGGTCTATAGCGAGTTGTATGGAGGGTTCCTATAAGCAATGCGCCGGGGGGAAAGGCGGGTCGGAGGTCGGAGGGGGTGGAGGGGAGAGGTAAGCGAGGCGGTCGAGGGAAAGTGAATTATCAGATCGAGAGGAGCAAGGAAAGCGGGCGGGACGAACAGCTTCAAAGGCAGAGTAGGCGTCTTGGGGCCCATAGCCGAAGACATTGTTCGGGGGAGGTTGAGGTGGTCCGTGAGACATGGTTGCGGTACTGTTCCGATACTGGCCCCGACGGCTTCTAACAAAGGCATTGGCGATTTGGGGGGGATGGTTTGATACCGATGCGTGGGAAGGGTTCCCGGGGGTAGAATGCGGTCACCTCGCGGCCAGTGTGCGGCGGCACTGATAGTCGGCTGGATCTGTTGGCAACTCAAAGTGCGATAAGATGGTTGCGCCTGTAGCTGGAGCGAGGTCCAAACTTGGGGCAAAGCCACTGACAAAAACAGCACTGGACGTGCGACGACGACGACGGCGACGGCGACGAGCTGCGAAGGCGGGAGAGTGAGCTCGACTGTCTATGTCGTGGATCGTATGGGGATGAGCAGATGCGGGGAGCAGGACCTGGTGATCCGGAGAGGCCTAGAACCCAAGTAGATCAAGATGGAAGGTAAGGCGCAAGCTGATACGGGGCTTTGTGCGTCGAGGAGTGCGCTTAGCCTTGCATGTCTCTTTAGCTAAAACGTCTAATTGTCGAAATGCGTGCCAAAGAAAGAGAACCGAAGACGATGTCAGAGTGCGTGCGGCCGATGCAACAGAACGAAGGAGTAGAGAAACAACAGGACGGTAAGTGGTCAAGGTCGACGGGTGTGGTGGTGGTTTCTCTATGAAATGCTTCCAAGCGACGGGGTCTCGTAGCAATTAATAATAAGACCGGATGGACTGCTGCGAATCAGTACAGAGCCTGACAATGCCTGTCTGGATCGGAGCGGCGCAAATGGAGAGCGAGAGTATGGTAGCGGCAGCAGTACCTAGCAGTACACGGCGCGAGTACTTGAGGGAGTGAGCAAGTTGATCTTTGAGTCAAGGGTCGAGATAGAAGGCCAGGTCGAGTATATGTGTGTGCGTGTGCAGCGGTGAGATGGAGTGCCCGTGGATGGGGTCCTTGTCTCGGCTGCCGTGAGACGCAAAGCAGAGGGCTGGATTGGGTTCCGTCAGGTCGGCACGCGGAGCGTGAGATCAAGTCGCGGTCTGGCCAGAGTCGCAGGGTCGCGGGAATGCGAGAGATGATCAGAAGCTGCGTCGGACGGGGGAAATGAAATGGGATGAAGTGGAATGGACGAAGAGACTGGGAGTGGGGGAAAGAAGAGGGAAAAAAAAGGTTGAGCCTTGAGAGGGCGAGGCGCACCAAAGTGCAATGCAGGAAAGGAGATGAAATAGATCAAGTCGTCACCATATAAAAATTTGGCAGGGACAGAACAGCTTGGCCGGGATGCAGAGGTGTAATAGTAGAGCATAGCAAGCTGGGGAGAAAAAGGGAAGGGGAAGCGGAAGCAGGCACGCAGGGACCTGGGCAAAGATGGGAAACTGCAAAATGGAAACGGAGCACATGGCAATTCTGGCCATGGACTTTTCGCAACCGCCGCTGCGCCCCTCCACCGTAGCGAGCAGCTAAGGTACCTTACCTCACCATCGTACCCGACCTTACCTTCCTTGCATATCCGTACCTAACTTATAAGGTAGCTTGGGATTTGGTGCCTTGGTTGCATACCTATTACCTAGGTAGTTACTCCCCCTCTTCCCCTCCCCTCTGCAATCCCCCCCCTCCCAATTCCAGACCTCCATGAAATCCTTTGAACCCCGAAAACTCTCCCGAGTCCCCCATATCTCAACTTCTCAAAACACCTCACCTTCCCTGACCTTACTTAGTCGCCAGACCTTAGCTGCATACCTTTTACACATCCAAACTTACCTTTTCCTGTGTGCCGTCATCCGGACAACATCTCACCGAGATAGTGAAGCAGAACGCTGCCGGTATTGATCCCCATGGCCTCATTGGCCTTTTCGTCACCACCTCCCTCTACCCTGCCAACCGAGGTATCTTAGCGTAACACCTATAGCTGAGCTTACCTCACCTTACCTTGCCTTGCCTTACAGCATCCCTTGGGCACCGCAGGTCATGCCTTCGGCATGCACGGCCCAAGTCCAGCTGCTCCATCAAAATAGTTAGTTCCAAGGCTGAGGTCCCCACGGTTCAGCGCAGCGATATTCCCCTCACAGCTCCAAGTGCCAACTGGGATGGCGCTGCCCGGAGCAAATGCCCCGAGGTCGAGGCATTGGTGGCCATGTCTTGCAATTTGCGCGGTCAAAGGCTTGTACCGACTGGGTGGGGCTGCCTTAGACGTTGGAGAATCGTGGCTTGTTTGGTATTGCACCATAAAGTATCTGGGATCTGTCTCACGCCTCTTTCAGGTGGGCTGACTGATACTCGGCGGTTACCTCTTGAATAGAGGATCAACTCAAATGATCCCTGATACCTTACACTCAGCTATCAAGATTGCTAGATATGCGCTTAACTTGTCGTGGCTCATTGTCATTCACCAACGAAATAATCAACGGACAAAAGCCAGCATTGCGGAGAACCCAGTTTGGATTAGGTAGCAGATCTGCCAGCCTAGCACAACCTTTTCTGCATCATTTTTCTGATGAGTTCTCGTCGAGCGGGGACGGAGCGCTTACTCCAATCTGGTGCTTGGTCGATCGCTCTAGGCCTTGACTCGAGTAATGTTCCCTGCATTTCATCAGAACTGTCTATGCGTATTCGCATTGTGCAATGTGAAGCATCGTAAAACTCCATCTGATATTCAATCTGATCCGCTCAACCCGGACACAACTCTGCTTGTATGTTGATATACCTTTTGAGTCTAGACAGTGATGTAAATGAGCAACAGCGTATACTGTGCAAATACCCCGGAGACAGGCGGTATCACAGGTAGTTGGCTGACGAGGTGTTCGCGTGTACCTCACCTACTTTGCTACAATGGAGGTGATCACTGACCCAGGAATAAAACGAAGTTGGCTTAATGACGCTGTGCATCGCGTCTAGGAGCTCTCCCAATACAGTCTGATCTTAGCGCCTCATCTGAGCCAGTGGTTACAGCAACTACAAGATGACTTTCAAAATCCACTTCGGAATGCATTGCCAGGGCGCCCACAGACAGGTCACAGAATATTGTAGATATGTTTTCCATCCCTAATGTTACTTTGTTGTCTCTAATCTCCCCATAGTCATCGCTGGGGCCTTGCAAATATCGCGAACTGTACCCATCCCGAAGCACTCATATCCAGGAAAAGGAAGGCAAGCGACCATGTTGAGGATGTCATCAAGGGACTAGAGCAGTTGCTTTCATTGGCTGGGTCTGGGACAGCTTACATAAACATGGATGCGAGGTCACGCTTTTTCGCACCTCCATCAACGCGTGCCTCGCTGCGGGTAAGGCGCGTATCACTCAGCGCACGTCCCCTACATCCCACCAAGGCACCGATCCGCTTCTGTGCCGATCTCACTGCAGCCTGGAGCAGGGCGACGACGACCTAGCCTCAGAAGCACCCTTCCAACCGCAAGGGCAAAAAGGGTTGCTCTCCTCGACATTCTCATCTAACCTTCTACCTTCCGTGTCATCGTATCCTCAGACTGCAGCAACTCGCCGAACCGCACAATCTCACCTCATCGAATGGCATTTGGCCTCCTGAGGTGCCGTCGCCATGTCCAAGATCGACAAGCTGTCCGTCCATGGCATTCGCTCCTTTGGCGGCAGCCGGGAGACAATATCATTTTACACTCCCTTGACCCTCATCGTCGGATACAACGGCTCGGGCAAGACAACCATTATCGAATGTCTCAAGTATGCAACCACCGGTGAACAGCCTCCGAACAGCAAAGGCGGTGCTTTCGTTCATGACCCCAAGGTTCGTGCCTCGTGTGACACCCAACCCCGACTTTCTCTGCATCCTCTCATGTGGCGAGGCTAACACTTCCTAGCTATGCGGAGAGAAGGAAGTGTTGGCCCAGGTCAAGCTTGCATTCACATCGACCAGCGGCCACAAGTGTGTTGCGACACGAAGCCTTCAATTAACCGTCAAGAAAGCCTCTCGATCGCTCAAGACCCTCGAAGGATCGTTAGTGTACAACAATAATGGAGAGCGCACTGTCATCTCATCCAGGGTCGCCCAGATGGACGAGTTCATTCCAAGAGAATTGGGTGTCTCTAGAGCTATCCTCGACTACGTCATCTTCTGCCATCAGGACGAATCTCTATGGCCCATGAGTGAGCCTTCGGCACTGAAGAAGCAATTCGACCAGATCTTCGAAGCGATGCGATACACCAAAGCTATTGACAACCTGAAGGTTCTCAGAAAGAAGCAGGGCGAAGAGCTGGCGAAGCTCAAGATCTTCGAGGAGCAAGACCGAATCAACAAGGAGAAGGGTGACCGTGCTGAGAAACGATCTATGGCATTGCAGAACGATATTGAGAGCTCCAGAGACAGGTGTAATACCCTCACGGAGGAGATGGAGGAGCTTCAGGAGCAAATTCGCGAGAAACACGAGCAGGCCAACAGCTACTTGAGCATCGTCAATGACCTCAAGTTCAAGAGGGATCAGCTCAGCTACCGCGAAGGATCTATCGCGGATATCAAGATGACCCTTGAGGAGCTTCCTGAAGACGACGGATACCTGGAGAACGCACTTGCGCAGTACGAGGAGCGCATGACTCGGTACCAGGAAGAAGCAGACCAAAACAAGACACAATACGCGGAGCTGCAAAGGGATCTCACCAAATCTCGCCAAGAACATTCCGCGAAGCTCGCTGAGAGGGGAAAACACCAATCTGATAAGGACAAGTATGAACGACAACTCCAGTCCCGCATGCAATTGGTTCGTGACGCTGCGGAACTTCATAATTTCCGCGGCTACGACGGCGACTTGAAGGACAGCCAAATCAAGACTTTCAATGAGCGCATCCAGACATTACTGACCGACAAGAAGCGTGATCTTGATCGTCTGCAAAAAGAGAATGCGCGTGAGCTAGATGAGGCGACCAAGACCATTACAGAGCTGGAGGGTCGTAAAGCAACCACGACGCAAAACCGTGTGTTCGCCAAGCAGCGAACGGGCGCCATTGAGAAGCGGACCAACGTCTTACAAATGGACATCAACCGTCTGGACATTGACGAGGGTGCCAAGGCCATCCTTGACAGCCAATTTGAGGATGTCGAGGGTAGGCTAAAGAAGGCCCAGGAGTTTCTGGTCAATGCCGATTACGATACTCAGCTCAATTCGGAAAACGAGAAGCTATGGCAACTCGAGAGCGAGACAGAGAAGCTTGGTCGCGAATTGATTGAGTGCACCAGACTTGCCTCGGAGCGGGCGCAGTTGGATTTGAGAAAGAAGGAGCTGGCAGATCGCAAGCGGAAACTGGAGACCCTCACCAATACGTGGAAGCCCAAGCTGGACACGCTTATCGGTAACACTTGGCAGACCGACACTCTCGAGGCCCAGTTTCACGATGCTCTGAAGCGCCAGAACATGGTGGTTGCCGAAGTTCGCCAGAAGCGGGACGCGGCGCGGGACAAGCAACAGAAGGTTGACTTCAGACTCAAGAGCGCCAAGGATGTTGGTTCCAAGAAGACTGATGAAGCACAACGCTGTCGGAATGCGGTCGTTGGCGCTCTACAGGAGGTCCGAGACGGTGCAACAATTGAGGATTACGAGGAAGAAGTCAAGATGCACGAGGAGGACGTGGAGACATACACCACTGACATCAGCCTCCTTGACGCCTTGGCGGACTACTACCGCGGCTGCCAAAAAACGCTACAAGACAAGAACAAATGTCGGCTGTGCGACCGCAATTTTGATGACAAGTCCCATGTCTCCAAGTCTCGATTCTCAGACAAGTTGATCAAGTTCCTTGATCCTAACAAGAAGGAGAAGGCAGAGGAAGACCTAGCTAACTCTACCGCCCTCCTTGGATCGCTGCGAAAGGTCAAGGCGCAGTACGAGACGTATCGGAGGTTGATGTCGGAGCTCCCTCCTCTGAAGGAAGAGGTTGCTTCTTTCGAGGCCGAGTGTGAAACTCTGGGTCGGCAGCTCGAGGAGCACGATGCCGCTGTCAGCATCGAGGAGGGCAAGTTGAGCGACATTGAGTTTCTCAACAAGACTGTCATCAACATCACTCAGGTCTTAAGGGATATCAAGGACTCCGAGGCACAGGTTGATAGGATCATGTCTCAGCAATCGTCCGGTACCGTCAGCAGGAGTGCTGATGAAATACACGAGCTTCAGGCCTCGTGCAACGAGCAGATTCGTTCGATGAAAGCCAAGATCTCCAAGACAACGACGGATCGGCAGCGGATCAGGGACCAAGTGAACTCTCTCGAGCTGGAGAAGAGCGAGCTCCGGAACAAGCTGAGCAAGGCCTTGAACCAGCTTGAGCGCAAGAAGGACTTCCTGAACCAGATCCAGACTCTGAAGGAGGACCAGGCCCACCAGCGGGAGTTAATCAGTACTGCGGACCAGGAGTTGGAGTCCATCGAACCCGAAATCGCCGAGGCTAGATCAGTCCGGGACGAAACCCTGCAACGTGGTCGTGGCAAGGAGCGGGCTATTGCCGAGGAGCGCGACAAGATTGCCGACTCCGTCACCGAACTGAAGATGGTCGAGGGCGATATTCAGGAGTACATCGACCGCGGCGGCCCTTCCAACCTGGCAGCAAACCAGCGCGCTATCGCTAGTCTTGAGAAGTCGATTGCTGGTCTGGAGAAGGAGATTTCAGACTTGACCGTGCGGACAAACAAGTTGAAGCAGGACATTGATAATGGCGACCGCAAGAAGCAGAACATCAGTAACAACCTGAAGTATCGCCAGAACCTGCAGCAGCTTGACATCCTCCGACGAGGCATTGCAGAGCTGGAGTCTCGCGACGCTGACGAGGATTATAAATCGCTGATCTCTGAAGCGAAGCACCTCGAGAACCGCCACAACCGGCTTGTCGCCGACCGCGGTTCCATCATGGGGCAAATGAAAACCAAAGACGAGGAACTCGAACGACTCTTGGAAGAGTGGCAACAGGAATACAAGAATTCTTCCAGAAAGTATCGCGAGTCGCACATCAAGGTCGAAACGACCAAAGCTGCCATTGAGGACTTGGCTCGGTACATTTCGGCGCTGGACACGGCCATCATGCGGTACCACAGCCTCAAAATGGAGGAGATCAACCGCATCGCTGGCGAGTTGTGGCAGAGCACGTACCAGGGCACCGATATTGACACCATCCTCATCCGCTCTGACAACGAGAACGCGACGTCGGGCCGCCGCTCGTACAACTACCGCGTCTGCATGGTCAAGCAGGACACGGAGATGGACATGCGCGGCCGCTGCTCAGCGGGCCAAAAGGTCCTCGCCAGCATCATCATCCGCCTCGCCCTCGCCGAGAGCTTCGGCGTCAACTGCGGTCTCATCGCCCTCGACGAGCCGACGACCAACCTCGACAAGGACAACATCAAGAGCCTCGCCGAGAGCCTGCACGCCATCATCAAGGCCCGGCAGGCGCAGAGCAACTTTCAGCTCATTGTCATCACGCACGACGAGGAGTTCTTGCGTCACATGCGCTGCAGTGACTTTTGCGACAGCTTCTTTCGGGTCCGGCGGGACGATAAACAGAACAGTGTCATTACGAAGGAGAGCATTACTAGAGTTTTGTAACGATAGTCTTCGGTTCACACGGGCGTTTTTGATGATCAACTAGGGAAAATCTGGGGGTTTGCTTTGCAATGCATCATGGAGCAGAGCATGGCGTTTAAGAGGTTTACATCTTTTCTACTTTCCACCAATAATGTAGTCAGAGAGCCACATGAATCCCGAATTTGGCATTTGAGCAGGCAACGATGACATATATGCTCTAGGACGGTGTTCTACTCACCCATGCGGCTTGTAATGCTACCTGTAGCGTCATGTGGCCAACCCCTTTTTTCAGAATTTCATGCCTGACTGTGATCTCATTTCATGCGATACCAAAGCGCCAGTTTTACCCAAACACGTAACGATGCTTAGAATCTTCAATCATTAGAACAAGTGGGGGTTTTAGAGAGGGCGGTTTCTTGGTATCATGTAATCATTCGCAACACCGCTCAGTCCTTGGGCAATAAATAGACCCTCCTTCCTAAGCACTCTCTGCTTTGGCGGCGGCCTCCGCCTCCGCCGTAGCCTCCGCCGTAGTCTCGGCAGTCGCATCATCCTTCTTAGCCTCAGTCCCCTGATCTTTGCCTTCCTCCAACCCAGCCTCACTGGACCTAGTCTTCTCTACATTATCTTCCTTGGTGTCTTCCTTCTTGGGCGAGGTGGTTGTAGCATCCGTTGCTTCGCCCACCACGTCACCCTCGTGCTCCTTGACCTTCTTGGTTGCGAGGCCGTCGAGTTCCTCGTCTGCGTCACGCTTCGGATGCGACGTGACATTCGTATCGGATGCCGCATCGTCAACAACGGCATCGGCTGTCGCTTGCTCCGCCGCGGCACCCTCCTCCTTGACGCCCTCGGGAGGAGGCGTGGCGTGAGCCTGCTCAGCTTTCCTGCCCACCGCAGCCTCGACATCGATGCCTTGCATATCAAGGCCTGGCCCGCCGCTCACAAAGCTCGTCGTCTCGCTTTGGGGGCCGAGATCGCCGACGCCAATTTCCTCAGGTCCGCGAGCGTGCGGCGCCTCATTCTCGTCTTCAGCAGCGGCAGCAGCGCCGGCAGCTTCATGAGATTGCTGCTGCTCGTCACCCTGCTGCTGCTTCTCGGGGCTGCTGGCTCTGCCACCGTCCCCGCTTCGCAGGGCGGCGGCGTGTTGTGCTTCTTCTGCTTGTCGCACGAGTTGGTTGACTGGAACGACGCCCTGCTCCTGCTCTTGTCGCAGTAACTCACCTTGTGTTATCGCGCGGTTGCTGCTGCTGGCACCCATGGACGGTATGCCATTAACGCTGACACTGACAGTCTCGATGCTTCCGACGCCGTTGGGGCCGTCAATAGTCTCTGTCGACTCGGTACGGATCTCGGCCGGCCCACCCCCATTGGAGGAGGCCGGCGAGGAGGAAACGGGACTCGGGCGGCGTGTGAGCCATGGGATCGGGGTTAGTAAAGCGCCGCCGAGGGCTTCGTCGGTTCCGACGGTCGAGGCCACCGAGTTCGTCGAGTTGCTCCAGGCGACCGAGGCCGCTGGATTGTTAGCCTCCTGGCCGTTTGCGCTGCCGTTGGAGAGCAAGGTCATGGTGGACATGTCGGGTATGGCTGGCGGGAGTGGGTAAGTGTTTGCGCCGCTGGTGACGTGAACAACGCGGTCGACAGCATGAAGGTAGGATGCCAGGTGGCGGTAGTGGCGGCGCGGCTCGAGGACGAGCTCGGCGAGGCGCTGGATCGTGTGCGGCGGGTACTTTGGGAAGGTGGACAGAACAGAGTTGATCTCGACGAGCATGGCTTCGATCTGAGCGGGGAGAGATCCCAAGACGGTGGCAGGCGGCGCATCCGCGACAGCTGCGTCAGCGTCAGCGCCACTTTCGACGGGGACCTTGGACGGCGCGGCTTCGTTTGGTTGGCTGTTCTCTTTGTCGGCATCCTGTGATGACGGCCGGCTGCTGGCGGCATCGATGGAGGATGAGGGGAGCGGCGAGAGGAGTCGCGGTTGTTGGCCTGGCGCGTTAATGGGTTGAGGAGGAGGGGTGGGTAGGTTCGGAATAGGAAATTCATTGTGAGCGATCTAGACATTCGCGATGCGAACTGGTGAGCGCGCCCTAACGAGGAGTGTTTGTCTTTCAAAAATGGACGATGGTGGGATTCTCGGGCGGGTTGGACATCGAACTTTGACCAAGGACGGACGTACCTTATCTAGCCTCGAGATGATTCCTTGCGACAGGGCGGGCCAAAGACCGCTGGTGCGCCGTGCAATTAGCAGCTGAACAGGAAATGGATAGAGTTACCAGGGATTCAACTAACTAGTCCATTTCGCCGCCTGTCGCGACCGTCCGCAAGAGATCTTCGTCGACCTCGATCTCCATGCTGGCGGATTTGGAATGTTGGGGGAGTGAGTGGTGGTTGAAAGGATGAGCTTCCCACTGACGTCGCGTGCTTGTGAAAAGCGCGACTCTGGCTGGAGAAGGCCTTGGGGTAGGGTGCAATGCGTCTAAACGAGTTGCAGCTTCCTACACCGAGCTCGAAAGTTACTGGCGGTACCTGCAAAGTCAATGCTGCAAAAAGGGAGGAACAGAAGTTGCAACTTGCTGCATCTTCGACCACTGTTCCTGCTGCCTGCAAACAGAAGAAATGTCACAGCAGTCAGACACAACGCTGCAATATATACAAATTGCAAAAGTTAATGATATTGATCGATGCAGGGATCGAACCTGCGATCCTCTGCGTGTAAAGCAGATGCCTTAAACCGCTGGGCCAATCGACCAGATGCTTGTTGTTGAAAATGGAGCCCAATTGCACGTCTATGTTTCCCAGTCAGTGGAGCTGAGTCCACTTTGCGAGCTCTGTATCCGTACGTCACATCAAACGGTTCAAAATTGTGGTAGCTTCCAACAACCAACCAGCCAGTAACACAAACACCAGTCCACAAAGACATCATGCGAAGACTCAGAGCCCCCAATGTGCTCCTCAGAAGCGCCAATGGCATCCTGCCAGCTTCTCAAAGGTGATTGCCGACATCAGCTCAATCCAGGCAACTTCAATTGACTCGAAACAACAGCCAGATCCAGGCACAGCTCGCAGCTCGCCTGATGATAGCCTCCGACCTATCCCCGCAACACAGCACCGCCACTACCGCCGTCACCCCCGCGGCAATCCGTCCCTTCTCCCACTCGACAACCCTCCAAAAGAAGAAGAAGAATGCGTCCCAGCACCCGACTACCGACTCTCCCGCCGTCGTCTCCCGGACCTCCCACACGGCAGACGAAGCAGACCAAGACGACCTCCCCGGCTCCAAGCACCCAAAGCCTGACCCGACCGATCCCCTCAACTTTGCCGACGTCGCCTCCCGCTTCGCCTCCCTTGCAACCCACCACATCGAGATCCTCAAGAAGCTGCAGTCGGGCGATCGCTTCTCCCCAGACGCCATCGGCGCCCTCACGATCCAGCCCTCGCGCAAGGACCCCACAACCTACCCCCTCCGCGAGCTCGCCGAGATCGTGCCCCGACCGGGGGGCCGCACCGTCAGCCTCCTCCTGCACGACAAGGACTACGTGAAACCCGTCATGACCGCCGTCCAGGCTTCGCCCGATTTCAACCAGCAGCCCCAGCGCGACCCGGACAACGAGCTCGAGCTCGTCCTCAAGGTTGAGGCCACCAACAAGGAGGTCGTTGTGCGCAGGGCAAAGGACGCCGCTCAGGCGTGGCGGGACAAGATGCGCGTCGCCACGGAGAAGAGGAAGAAGCTGCATGCCAAGTGGGAGAAGGACAAGAGCATCGTGCCGGACCTCAAGAGAAGGGCGGACAAGGAGCTGCAAAAGGTGCAGGATAAGGAAATGAAGGTCGTTGATGCTGCTGAGCAGCAGGCTGTCAAGAAGCTGCAGTCTTGATTGAAGCTCTTGAACAAAACCAAAACATGATATTAAAAAAAAAAAAAAAAAAAAAAAAAAAAAAAAAAAACAAAAAAAATAAAAAAAAAAAAAAAAAAAAATAAAAAAAAAAAAAAAAAAAAAAAAAAAAAAAAAAAAGGCATCGAACTTCACCACCAGTTGAGCAGAAAAGCCATGTGCTGGCGACACTTGGAAGAGGAAGTGTTTACTTTTCCTGTGTATAACGGGGTGATCGCAAAACCTTCCGGGAAAAGAAAGGTTCAGTTTGCAGTGCAGAGTAGAAGAGACTTCCCGGATCTAATTGTACAATATGTATTTTTGGTTGTACCAAACCTCCCTTCCTCTATAATCCTACAAATGTCCCCGTTTGACTCTTCCTCCACCATCGTACGTGTGCGCTGTTCTTGTTTTGTTGATATTACAAACTTTTCGGACGCAAACCAGCTTCCGTTAAGCCCTCGCAGTCTTGCCTCCCTTGGTAGCAGCAGCAGCAGCACCGGCGCCAGGCTTCCCCTTGGCCACAAGAGCCGCAATCTTGTCGTCAAACTTCTTCATGTCGCCAGCCACGTACGTCTCGTTGTGCAGGTGCGACTCCCTTGCCAAGTTCACTGGATCCCGGCTCCCGCCCGCCACGAACTTGGGACCGACGTGCTGGCCCTTGACAGCGCGCTCGAGGATATACTCCCTCACGGCCCTCCCCGCGCCCTCCTCAAGCTTGAGCTCCCGCACGGCGTGAACGTAGAACCCGTCCTCCCCGACCTCGGTCGTCGTCGCCTTGAGCGCCTCCGCGAAGACCTTCTTCTCCTCAATGTCGCTAAAGAAATAAAAACCCTTATCACCCGTGTTGGCCAACGCCTCTGCAGCGTGCCGCACATCCCCCCACCTCTCGGGCGTGTAGTCCGCCGTGCCCGCGACATCCCGCAGCGACTTGAGCACCGTCGCCGCCTTGCTGGCCGCCGACGACCCAACAGCCATGGCAGGCCTATACCCAAGCAGGTCCCCGGCGCTGAGGCTCGGCTGGAACTCCTCGGGGAGCCCCTGATCGCGCGCCGCGACGTAGGCGTGCTCCTCCACGGTCTCGGGCCGCATGAACTCGAAGCGGTCGGCGGCGCCCTGCTGTTTTTCCTTGTCCCGGTCCTTGCGGCCCTCGCCGTCTTCTTCGCCTCTCCGTCCGCCGCGACCACCACGACCGCCGCGACCGCCGCGACCGCCGCGGCCGGCACCTCCGCGGCCTCTCATGCCTCCTCCACGGCCACCACCGCGTCCTCTGAAGCCTCCCGCACCTCCTCGGCCGGAGAATCCTTCTCCTCCTCCACCACCTCCCCGTCCACCACGAGCGCCAAGGCTGCCGCGGCCACGCCCGAATCCCGTGGGTACCTTTACAAAGTTGATTGCTCCTCCTCGTCCCGCGGAAGTCAAGCCGCCCTTCTCGTCAAGACCCCTGGGCTGGGCCGCAGCTGGACTCGCAGCGCTTATCGGTCCGCCTCGCAGGAGCTGCCCAATCTCGCTAGCCGCGGCCCGGGACCGCTCTCGTCCGGTCAGGGAGGGCCTGTTGTAGGAACGCGCAGAAGGTTTGTCAACATTGTTGCTATTCTTGTTCGATGAATCGTCCGTCGCGGGGCGCCATTGCGTCGTGGAGAAGGTTCGGATGCAGGTCTTGATGGCGACGACGTCCGGCCTGATGCGACTGCTCGCCGATCGCAGCGCCTGTTGATGCATTTTAAGGGCGGAAGTTGAGACGGCAAGGTCCGCGATCGATGTCTGTCGAAAGTGGTGAGCTTCGTTCCTGACCTGTTGATTGATCTTGCCAGGAGCTTGCTCTGACAAAAAAACTTCGTTACGTAAGCGAGTAGATGGTCTGTGCCCTGCTTGCCTTGGACATGGATCTACCAACAACCACCAAACCTGGAAGCTTGAGGCGACGAACGTGGCGTGGGCGACTTCGCAGCGCCCTAGCCACAAATGAGATGTTGACTGGATTTATGAACTGGTGTTCATGTCCAAAATACCAGCCGCGATCATCTGGGTATCTTTTCATTACAATACTCCGAGTCAGGAATACCAAAAAAGATACGCTTAAAATATTCATCAGCAGGGTCTGTTGCCCACGTAAATTCCAAATGCCCGTGACTCGTCCTCGCATCTATGTGCCTTCCCGCCCTCAATACTCCAAGTCTCGTGCTTCCGAATGCCTTGCTCCTCTCCAATGCAAATCTTATGCACACTTAAACAAGCCAATACCTTCTCCCAAGTCTTTTTAAACAGCTGCCCCTCCTTAAACGCCTCTGGCCGATCCTCTAGTATTATCATACCTTTCTGGTGCGATAGCGAGTCTTGGCAGAAAAGGAAAAGGGGAAAAAAAAAACAGTACCCAAAATCAGAGACCCCCCTCCAGCAGCTTCTATTCTTCGCTTTGAACAGGATCGCTTGCGATTCACAAGCTTCATAATTGCTGCTCCAACGGGAGCGGTTCTACTCAAGCCGTGGGTACGGCCCCCGTAGGTGGTGCGTTGTACTTTGTCACCAACTCTTTAACCTTGGGCAACAAGTCTGGAATTCTGAATGGCTTCGAAATTACGTCGTCCTATATGACCATGTTAGTGCAGTTCAGCATATGCAATCTGAGGCCAACTCACGATACCGGCGGCTTTCGCAGTCTCAATCTGCTCTGGCCGCGCGTAAGCTGTGACAGCGATAATGGGTATATGCCTAGTCAGAGTGCCTGCCCTCTCCAATTCACGGATTCGCTTCGTACACGTAATTCCATCCATGACCGGCATCTCGAGGTCCATAAGAATAACGCTGAGGTCAAACCCCCCAGCCTCATTTCCAGCCCAGAAACGGGACATTTTGAGCTGTTCGAGAGCCTCGCCTCCGTGATTGGCGACGTATGTGGTGTTGCCGCAGCTTGTGAGTTGCTTCCTCAAAACCCTCTGGTTGACGATGTTGTCCTCTACAATCAAGACATCGTACAGTGGTGTCGCAATGACCACCGGCTTCTTGATAGAAGCCCTCCTAGGCAGGGCTGTAAGTGGAGGAGTTGATGGTGCGGAAGTGGGCTCGCTCTTGGTCGGCTGGGCCAAATTGAGTGCCGAGAGAGCCGGTGACTCCAGACTTGGCGATTCTGTTTTGCGACACTTGACGTAAAATGCGAAGGTGCTGCCTATGCCCTTCTCCGAAACGACGCCGATCTGCCCACCTTGGAGCTCGGCAAGCATGCGCGAGATGAAGAGGCCGAGCCCTGATCCGCCGTACTGCACGTGGGTCCGGGGCGAAGCCTGAGAGAACCGCTGGAAAAGTAGTTTCTTCTCATCCTCACGGAGACCAGGCCCCGTGTCTTGGACTGAGAAATGTAGGTTGATTTCCTCACCGTTGCCCCAGTCCTTCTCCTGAGTCAAAGCTCGAACATCCTCTTTCTCTTTACGGGTCGGGAAGAACGAAACTCCCTTCTCGGTGACCTCGGTGATGTTTTTGGATGCGCTCATCTTCATGGTGATCTCGCGTTTTTCACGACCTTGGGTAAATTTGATGGCGTTGGTCATGAGGTTGATCAAAACCTGCCTCAGCCGAGATGGATCCAGTCTGACCCAGTCCACAGCATGAGTACGATATGCGTTATCTACCGAGAAATCCAGCTTGATCTCGTGTGTGTTCAACTCCGACTCGAACATCTTGATGACATGCTTCACTATTGTGACGGGATGCGAGTCGACGGGTGTCACTAGCAAAAGTTGCGAGTCGAGCTTTGAAAGAGTGAGCACGTCGTCTACGATGCGTTTTTGATGGCTGGCGCATAAGTTAATGGTGCTGGCGGCTTCGGTGCAGCCCTCCAAGAGGATTTCGAGTTGCGCGGTGTCCTGTGGTTGAGCGCGGTACTCGGTGATGCTGTTGACAATTTCATCAGCACATTGGAGAACCGCACTCAAGGGGTTCCGCATCTCGTGACTCGTGATGTCAATGAAGTTTTCCTGCTGACGTTTGAGCTCGACTGCCTCTTCTCTGCGCTGCTTCTGGAAGTCCTCGGCCCATTTTTGAGGCGAAATATCGGTGATGCAACCGAATATGCTCTTGAGATCGCCCTCCTCAGTCTGCTCTGGGAAAGCGCTCATCAAAACCCAGGTGTCGATGGTGTTGATTCCGTTTTGACGGCTGCACTTGAATCGGAACTCGATGGTGATGGCTTGTTTATCTTCGATGAGTTTCCTCCACGCACGTTCAACCCCCGATCGATCTTCGTCCCTCACACTTTGCATCCACGTGTTGACGCTGTCTTCCGCTTTGGGATGCCGCGATATTTGCCACCACATATCGTTTGCAAAGTTGATGAGTCCCTTATCATTAGCAATGAACATACCGACCGGTGCGAATTCTGCCATTCGTGAGAATTTGTATTCGCTTTCGACAGCCTCCTGTGTTCTCAAGTAGAGCTCCATTTGCAGTTCTTGACGATCCATTGCGGCTAAGCGGGCTGCCCTCTGTCCCCGTTTGATCTCCTCTTCGAAGAGCACGACCGATGCCATGGAGGTCGCAAGCTGTCTAGACAAGAGATGAATAAAAAGTTGATAATCATCATCGTATGGCCGGCGGGGGTTCGTGCCCAAAACGATAAAGCCAACGACAGACTCGCCGGCTGTAGTAGGGTGAACAGGTAGGATGACGATCGTCTTGCTTGGATCACCAAAACCCCTCCACTCCAAACCTTCAAGCAACTTTGTCGGCAGATTGCCAGCTTCGGCCGAGAGAACAATGGGTGCGCCTTGCATCGTCATCGACTGGCGCATATAAGGAGCGAAGCCATCGTCCGACGACTTGAGGTCGAGCTGGGAAAGCCCCGCCGGGTGTCCCTCCGGAACGCCCAAGCTACCTTCGAGGTGCAATAACGGTGGGTGCGCTATGCTCCCGGAGTGCATAGAAGACACTTCGCTTTCGCTATTGTCGTCTTTCACTGAGTAAATAAGAGCAAACGGCACGTCCAAATCGTTGAACTCCAATCCCTCCTTGACCCGCGGCCAGAAGCTTCTTACGTCCTTAGCAGCTGCCGTCTTCTCGCCCACCTCTCGCAATGTCAACATCCGGCGTTCGTTGACCTTGCGGCGGGTGTTTTCGAAAGCTGGATTGTACAGCCCCACCACTTGACCGTCGGATCCCAGTAATGGAATAATGGACCATGAGAAGAAGGTCTCTTCGAGGAATCCATGCCGAAGGATGAATAGCTGATTATCATTCTTCATGATTGATTGTCCATTTGTCCAGGCATTGTTGAACAAAGGCTCAATATCCTGCCAAATTTCTTTCCATGCGTCCTGATACCGCATGCCCATAAGCGCTGGATGCTTCTGCCCGGCAAGCTCAATGTAGGCTTCGTTGTAGATGGCGACATTGTCCCGTCCCCAGTACATGGCCGCAGGGTGGGGACTACCCATAACCATGTTGGCCATGGCCCTCAATTCCGAGCTCCAGTGCTCCAATGGACCCAATGATGTGGAGGCCCAATCAGTGTTCCGACAGAAGAGAATGTGTTCACTCAAATCCGGGGTTGTCTGAATGCGGGTCCAGTCGAACGAGGGCCTCATCATGGCTGCCTGGAATACCTGCTGGGTAAACTCGTCGCTGTGGTATTTCTCGCCACTATCCATCATGACACAGTCATCGCCGATTGGCGTGTCATCCATGTCGTTCGGTTCCCCTTCCATGTCGCCAAAGTAATCGGGTTCGTCATCCATAGGTACGATGGATGGCTGATTTGGTGTTGGCCCCCTACTGCGCTGCTCCAGTACCGCGGACTCGTCGGCCAGAGGCATAGGAGAGCCCGATGCCGCCGACACAGCACTGGCGTTGCCACTCACAAAGCGAAATCGTTTGCGCAACGTCGAGCATGTCCATGTGATGCCTCCATAGTTGTGGGAAGGAAGACACACGTCCAGGGACTCATGGTTCAAAACAAAGCTCGTGGCCCATGTTTTGAAGTGGGTGTAGTCGGGGTTGTTGACGGCATCATCACCCTCCACTGAAAGCAGTTCCAAGACACCGACCGAAGCCCTGAGTGCCGCGTTGGCGTATAATAAATGTAGTCCCGATTTTTGCGTGTTTACAGGATTTGCAAGATCGATGATAAACGTGGGACGTTCATCCTGTTCCAAAAGCTCGACCACGCCAACTCCTCTCAATATTTGCAGTCCTTGAGGAAGATGCTGGCTATTTGGGCTTTTTGAAGAGGTAAGGGTAGCGTCTGCAGAAGACAGGCTACTGCTTCCCGGTGTACTCCCAGACCTAGCTGCGTTGACGGTGCCGCGGGGCAGTCGAACGGTATGAACCCGGTCTTGGTCCTCCCTCAGACGAGCCAAGAGGACGGCCGCAGCGTCCGAGGGAGGGAGGGCAGCTGGTCGAGGCGGCATCTGTCGTTTGTTGTTGGAAGAGAAGAAAAGGGGGGAGACAACCCCTTGGTTGTGCCTCGCCAGGATGACGGACGCAGTTGGTTGTTTTGGCAACTTGATGTGCCCCGGCGGCCCCAATCGAGTTCGCGCCTTCTTCAGAGGGGACGGGTTCGGTCGGCCGTGTGCGTTTTCGTCGTCGGATAAACGCTTCCCGTTGGATGTTGAAGGTCTCGACAGATGGGTGGATTCTGTGAACGACCTGATAGTCGGAGAAGTCGGGTCGGACCTGGGGGTCAGAAGCGTTTTGGAAGCAGCGTCGAATGAGGGATCGCAAGTAGTGTCGCTATACGTCAAACCATACCGACTAATGTCGGGAGTTGTCCATGGCCCTCCGGAACTCAATACGGTCGAGGTTGGCGACGCGGGATGGTAACGAGGGTTGCTCGACTGTGGCTGTGAACCCGAGCGCTTGTGATTGACGGTCGTGGTGGGAGAGGAAACAGCGGCGGCGGTGGTGGCTACGGCCGCGAACGGGTCCGCCGTCGTCGGGTTGGTCGTCGTCGTCGTCGTCGTCGTCGGGTTCGTTGCCGTGGTCGTGGGTGCGGCGATGTGTCCGGGGGTGTGGTAGGGTCGGTGTGACGAGGACAATGAGGGAGCGAGGAGTCGTATGGTGGATTGGAGGAAGCGATCGTCGCCCTGCGGCATGAATGCGCGGGGGGAGGGAGTGAAGATGAGGTGCGGCCGAAAGAGTCGGTCCGGTCTGGAAATTTTCGTCTCGCGCCTCCTTCTCTATGATTGTCTTCCCCTGCCGAAACTAAAATGATGCCCTTTTAGCGACAGCGGAGACGGAGTGAAGCAAGTGCAGAAGTATGAAGTAACTGCGCAAGACAAGCACAGACACACTGGACAATGACACGGGATTTGCTGTGGGAGAAGGACAGGTGCTGCGGGAGGGAAAGGCCTAGGCGGGCACCACAACCTTAGTCAGGTAGGTAGAGGTCGGGTGTTCCCAGACGGAGTGGTGAGCTAGCAGCAAGAAAATTGAAGGAGAAAACACCGACAGGGAGATGCCAGACGAGACGGGCACTCTCTGCTTTGCTACCGTGCAGGTGGTTGGCGAGCGAGACGGGAATGGGAATCGAGATAGAGCGAGGGCTTGATGGGCCCGGGCCATGGGACAGGAAGGGAAAAGGCCTGCAGCAAAAAGAGTCTAGAAGGGACGGACACCTGGGGCAGGGAAGGGAATGAATGAATGACTGGGAGCCGGCGGGCTTGATCGGGGCACGCCTGAACAGGGTAGGCAAGGCGAGTTAGGGTAAGGTGGGATCGAGGTGCCAGTGCAGCGACTGGGGTGAAGGGGATTGGGGATTGGAGATGAAGGTCCCGGTTAGCCCTTAGGTACTGGACAGTGGAAAGTCGACAATGGGACTGCCACTATCGCAGCCACAAAGAGACGGCCGCAGCAGTAACCTAAAGTTGTTGGATAATGGACCCGGGAAACACTGAGGTGCCGTCAATCTGATAGTCCAAACTTTGAGAGGGACACCAGCACCGGCACGGCAGCCAACATTGGGAGTCATAAGAGTGACGGGCCACGGAAGAAGCAAGTAATCCAGCGCCGCAGCTAGAAGAGGGTAGAAGGAGAGAGAGATGAGTTACCAGGATGAGGTTGAATGCGATCCAGGGTGTACCTGCAATCTACACCACACACGAGGTGCGGTGTATGAGATGCACGGGCGAGTGTGATGGCTCGAAAGCTAGGTACCTGGGGCAGGGCGACGGGAGTTGCTGCTGCGAGGTGCCGCTGTAAATGTGCCTCTCAATGTCTTCGGGTAGGTCAGGTCAGGTCGCGGTACGACGAGGGGGGAAGGTCAGGCCCGTGGAAGTCGGGACGGTAAAGGCAGGCGGCCCGTTAAGCTGTGAGTGAGGCAGATATGAGGCGAGCGGCTGACGATGTGATGGCTCTACGGCTCTGCTGGTCTGCTGGTCTGCTGCTGCGCTGTTGCGGTAAGGTGATTGCGTTTCAGATGGTTGAAGCGATGGGTATGTAGATGGATGTACGGGGAGATCTGAGGTGCAGGATGGAATCGAGAAATCTCAATGTCGAAAGAGGAGTCAGTGCGAGGGCACGCCGTGTATTGGTTACTGTCGAGGAGCCGTCTGTCCTTCTCTCCTAGTATAGTCCGGTTCAGGACCTCTGGGACTTGGACCGGTTTGGAATGGTCTCGCAAGAAGGAAAAAAAAAAAAAAAAACTGCGATATGGCGCCGGGGGTCTGTCGGGTACTATAGGTCGGGCAAGATTATGCGAATGGGTGAGGTGGGAAACCAACAAACAAACTGCAGAGAACTCCGCAGTATACAAGACGTTGACTGTTTTTGGGCAGCTGGCAGAGACGGAAACAGGACTCGGGAGAATTGAATGCGCATGGAGCGGAGGGGAGCACTCGAGGCGGTATGACGATTTGGGGGTTCGGGGTCTGCGGAAGGGACCAGGAAAAAGAAAAGAGAGAGAGTGAATAGGTAAGGTAGGGTATCCGTACAGAGTACATTGTAGGTAAGAAATGAAGTTGCATGGCATTATCAGACAAATGAGCATAGTACCCTTCGTACCTTCCGCCTGGGCTAGCCCGCGGCGGGACTTCCTCCCTCCCGTCCATTCTTGCTAACCTTTCCTCTCCTTCCCATCATTTCCAATCTCTTTGATATAGCACAAGGTAAGGTACGGCATCTTGTGCTCCCGTATCCGTACTTCTTGCTAGAATAGCGACAATGACTGAAAGCTGCTAATAAGGTAAGCTTGGATGGGATGAAGGCTCGGGCGGGGGACTGGGGCGGAGCTGTGGAAGAAAAAAAAGAGGGCCTGCAGGCACGCCGCACGCCGCAAGCCGCACAGCTGGGGGTGTCATTGTGGATGGGCGACAGCGTGGTATTTTGGACCCGGGTCTAGAATCTCTGGATTTCTTGGGTTCTGCGGCTTGGCCAAGACATTCTCAGTCCAACCTTGGCCCGCTGCTTCCAGACATGAACACTCCCAGTTCCACACCAGCTACCTAGATACCTATCAGACAACCTAGCCTGAGTAGCCTACCTCATCTGCGGCCTGCCTGACCTTATGCCCATCCAGCTGCCGCCGAGGGATGTCTTCACCATTGGAACTATTCATCTCGAGTGTCCGTCTTTGGACCAATGTACCATTCCGCAGCCTTCGTCCATATCTCCACAGCCTCAAAGTTGTCTTGTTCGTTACAAAATCCTCTAGTCTCACCCGGCCATTACGCCAACGGCAAATTTCAAGCAACTTCACATCCCAGATGCATCCTATCACAAGGTTTCTCCCGTAGATCTCTCGCGAGGCGAAGATTTTCAACGTAACTTGGAGACCATGCGTCACGTGTACCCTGTCCAAAGACCTTGTTTTCTTCCTCTTTCTGTCCGTACGCATGACAAGACCGGGCAACGATTCGCGTGTTTCGCTCGTTCCGTCTACGAACACAGGAATGCACCCTGGTAAGGTAGGCGCAGCTTCCTTTGAGTCATCTGGAGACTAACCGGGAAGCAATGATAAGAGGGAAACCACCATTGCACACATTTCACAGGCGACAGGCCGGGGACCGTCCGCTTCTGTCCTCGCGGCCTCTGGCTTCGCCCCGTGGTCTGCGGCCTGCCTGCATATCCGCGCAACTGCCATATCCTTATTCCCTGTCGTTTCCGACCATTGGGGAGTGCTGGTGACCACTGACGGGAAAGGATGCAAGCTGCAGGCGGCGGCCAACGCTGAAATACCCAAGGCAAGATACTTGGCAAGCCAGGTACCCGCCGAGCTCTCCGTAACGCCCGGCACTTGGCAGAAGCCATACGTCACTCCGAGTCGTTCAGAGTCGCTCGGGTACGTTCCCACGATCAATGGTGTCTGCTTGTCTCTCCTTCTCTCAAAGGAAAGAAAGAGGGCTTCGCACTCCACAAGCGCAGCCGAAAGTGCGCCGTCGTCAGCAACGGCGCAGATGCAGCCAAAGCGAACCCCATGCAGCCCATGGTTCGAAATGACCGGATGGGAAAGAGCCAAGCATCCAATTGCATTGGTTCCGAGCATCCCCCACCCATGCCAGTGGAGGGTTCCACCCGTAGGTCTTACCAGAAGCCTGAGGGGAACCTAAGAGCCCTGGTCATCCGCTACCCCCTGTCGGTCTCGAACTGGCGCGGTCCAGACCGCGGTCGCCCCACCCCGAACTCGCCGATCGATGATCTCTACCTGCCACTCTCATTGGCCCCAATCCGGCAGCTCCTGTCAGGCTGTAAGTGTCAAATTGTCAAAATTTCAAGTCATTGGCAATTATTCTTTTGCTTCCAATCGTTTTTCTTCTTCTGAATGCCGCGGCTCTGTGACCCTCGGTCCGTCGACTACGACCCCAAATGTGCAACACTCAGATTTTGACATGCCAATGTTCAACTGCCTACCTACAACTCCTGTTGCCCTCTACAACACCAACGCGCAGATCAACGTTTGGCCGCGACATGGGTCTTTCAATATGTCTCAGTGTTTGATCGCATCCGGGCATTACTTTCGAAGTTTGATCGCCTTACCCCACACCCGAGCTGCCAGCTGGCGGGAGAAGAAGAAGCAATAGACAGTCAATGACTTGGAATCCTCCATCAACCAACCGCCTTTGACAAACACACCTCGCTCGCCCTTGTGCCATTCGAGAGAAGAAAAAAAAAAACAAGATAGCGCCTCTCCTCTCTCCATGCATACACCTCGCGCCTAGCGGCTCTCATGCGCCCATGATAGTGACGTCGCTGGCACCCCAAAGCAGTCATCATACCATGATGCCGAGCTTCTGCTGTCTGTGCCGGGTCCCGTGCGGAAGACTAAGCCGGCCGGATCCTATGTCTAACTGGCCCGGCACTTGGCCTCGCATTCCGTCATCGCGAAATGCTTTCTTGAACCAGACAAGCAGACATGTGGCTTACATACTCGCACTGAAGTTTACCCATTCGTACAGTGTTGATCGACATGCAGGGTGTTCAAGGGCTTCGCTATCTCCTTGGCGCCAAGAGGATCAAAAACCATGATGCCGTCGCACATGGTCCCCCCGTACGAGGCTAACGTTGAGTGTCAGCCTCTCCAAAGTCTCACCTCGGAGCCGGACACGATTTCGAGTCGCGCTGTCGGTGAAGGGATAACAAACTGCATTCCCAACCGTCGAAAATGCGCTATGCGTTCGAACCTGCGCGGGAACCCTTGCCTCTCAACAGCTCTCACAATGTTGTCTCGGTCGAGATACACAGTAACAGAGAGGGTCTTTCCTCCATGCATTTTTCAAGCCTTATTCCCGACATGTATCCCTGCCACGTCAAATGTCACTTGTCTCGAGGGGCGCTCCCATTGGATGTTCCGCCGCCAGGAGAAGGAATGCTTACCAACCCTCCGGACAATTTGTTCCGTTCCACGACCTGCGGACTCGCTCAATGACCAACCGATTGCTCTTATCGGCAAGGTGCTCGCAAACCTACAAGACAACGAGGCTCATGTCTAGCCTTTGGATATGTGTTTTCAAAAGAGTCGGATGCCACTGTTACCTTCATCATCCGATCCTCATCAACAACAAATGCCGCGTTTCCAAAGGTACTATTCTGCAGCCTGACCATCTATGCAAGCGCAGGCCGGCCATGTTCCGCGTGGTCTTTGGCAATTGTGAGAAGTACATATTTACATGTCTCTATCAAACGGCTTCATTCCGCTGGCTATAATGCAAGGAGAAACGGTATCAGTTACTTTCCAATGCCAGTCGGAGTTGCGAAGGTCGCAACCCTGATGCGAGATACGCAGCCACGCAGCTTCCTCCCACTTTCTTCACACATGCACAACACGCTCCGGCCCATCGCGAAGTGTCTCGTTTCAAACCTCCCTCTCTAGGTACGGATGGGAATCGCAATTCCGATCTAGCGACGAGGCGCCGGCTCCTGCCGAGTACTGTCTCGCGGGTGATCAGTTTAGCTACCTATCAGTGACTCAGGATGGTGATATGTGCGATCCCTAGAAAAGGTCTAACCTTGCTGCCAGATGTAGCCGCAAGTGAGGATGCAAAGAACCGGCTTGGAGACTTTTTAGCAGAGTTGAGCGGCCCGCACGGTCCGTCTGTGTGATCTGTTGACAGTCCGAACTACACCCAGGACCGGAGTCTACGTTAAACGGCACGATCGACGGGACGGAGAGTCGCGATATATGTTGGCAGTGAAGGTTGAAGCGCATGGCGGCCAAAATCCCCTTTCTCATTACACTTCCCCATCCCTCTGCCCCTCTATTACTATTCTTGGGGCGGCATCCTTCTTCACTGCCGGCAGATCAGATCGTCGCTCACATAAGCTCCAAAACAAAACCACCCCGCGAGCGTGGGATGCATCCACTCGTGCGACTGCAGCTCAGCCTGTCTTACACTCCGGACATCGCCACAGAGACAGGAGGCTTATTCTCGGTCGACCAGCTGAACAAGCTCATGCACGTAGTATGTAGCGCACGCTGCCACGCTACTTTGTATTTCGCCGCACTTGCTCACGTACACGGTTCATAAGGGTGCAACCTACTCAGGTCGATAGTTCTTCCAGCCGTGGCCACCACTCTCCTGACTCCTCAAAGTGCCTATCACCATGCCGGCTCCTCGAATCCGGCTATCACGAGAAGATCTCCCCAACGGGCGCTTAAGCCAACGGCCCCATGCGCGGCTCAGGCATCACAATCACGTTGTTGGTTTCGATATCCGGGATATGAAGCAGCCAACACTGTGTGCTGATGCAAACACTTTTGCTGACTTTATGCCTGGTATCCTGCCGCATCTGCTGTTGCATCGCACCAGCATCGCACGAAAAAGCTGATCTCACTTGCTCACCCATCCGTGCCATCCAACCAACCCCCCATTCACCGGCCAATCCCATTGGCAGTCAACAACAGTCCCCCCCTGCTCTCATCGAGGCGGGTAGTGTGCGCAACGTCGCATCTTGCCGCCCCCATTTGCTTGTCGCCCCGGGGGGCCGACCAATTGAACGGCCCCTCTCGAACCCGGCGCTTAGCATTCCTCGTCACCTCCGCTCCTCATTGGACCTCCCCGTTGTGACGGCGCACCGTCGGTCAACCACGGCACATGCAGCTCAGCGGCCCTTCCTCCCTATTGCTGCCCGTGAACCCTGGAGCTTACCCGGCCACCCAACCGCCTGACAGGCCCCCCTCTCTTCAGAGACGAATGGCGATGAATGAATGGTGCAAACCGGCGGGATGGGTGACCTGCAGAAAGGGAGATATGGCCCTTAAACTGCCACCATCCGGCCCGTCGACAGGCTTGGTTTTCCCTCCTCGGTCCTTACTTCACTCTTCTCTTCCACTGAAGATTGCATTTGTTGAAACGACGAATACGACTCTGAAAGCAAGTAAGCTCGAATTCCGCAACCTGGTTCGCGCGGCTTTCTCATTGCGCTTGAGTCCTGGGTGCTTGGCCAATGTGAAATCCCATTGTTTGCTCTGGCGAACAACTGTGCCTCGGATAAAAGAACTCATCTTTCCTCAAAAGTCTTGGTAAAAGAGAGAGAGAGAGAGAGAGAGAGAGACACCGAGAGAGTTTGGCCAAAGGTTTATCAGGGAGAGAGAATCGCCCCCGTCTTTCGCTTTGGAAAACCCAAGAATCTTACACAGACACAACATTGACGCACCCCGCATCATACCACCTACGACAAGAAGAAGGCGAAGAACGAACGAAAGAGAGAGAGAATATGGCGTACAAGATCTTGCACAGGAAATGGCTGCTGCGGCCATGGATGTGGACGCTCATGCCGCTCGAGCTAGCCGGCCTCGTCCCGCTCCTCGTCCTGTTCGGCATCGCGCAGCCGGACCTCTACAGGACCAAGCTCTGGGAGATCGGGCACGCATACGGCTTCAACTCGAACCCAAAGATGATTCTCTACGCGTACGCAAACTACGAGCCGTATCCCAAAGTCCCTTTTGTATGGACACGAACGTACGTTGCCCCACCGCCCTGGGTCTCCTTTTTATCAAAAAGGCCATGCAAAACTGACGTATTGGACCCTACAGACTCACAGACTTCAACGTCGCCATCTCCGTGATCACCCTCTTCCTACTCCTCACCAAGCTCGTCGCCTTCATCATGAAGTTCTGGCTCCCGGTCCTGGCCGTCTTCATCAACGTCGCCATGGCCGTCCTCTACACCGTCTCCGTTTACGGCCAGATGGGGCCCGATCACGCCGACCCGCGCTACCCTTCCTCCATTGCCTGGTATATCAGCAAGTCGTGCAACTACGCCCAGCCTTTTAAAGCCTACAAGAGCTGCCAGCTCGCAAAGGGCACCTTTGCCGTCACAGTGTACATGCTCGCGCTCTACCTCGCCAATCTCGGCATCGCACTGTACGTCTGCTGGCCCAACGCCGGGGACAAGGTCGACGATGAGGATGAGGATGGAAAGGGTAGCGATAGCGGGAGCTCGCCGGTGGACTATGCCAAGGAGGGGAGTGAGTGGGAGATGAGGGATTGGCATGCCAAGGGGCCTGCGAGCCCGAGGGTTGTGCCATATACGCCGAGGACGCAGGCGTTTCATACTCTCGATAGGAAGTTGCCGTTGAGGCAGCAGTATAATTAAAGGAGTGTGTGTATGAGGAAAAGGTGAGAATGAGAAGATGGAAAGAAATCAAGACCTTATGGGTGTGCCTGGTGGCGGGAGAGAAATGTCCTCTTTTTCCCCTTCTTTTTTTAAGCTAGAGGAGGCGCTGGCGTGGTATTATTTACTACCCTACTATTGATTTTATTCAATACTTGTTGTCAATATCCTTGTCGGTGAAGCTAAATGTCCAGAATCGAGGAGACTAATCGTTTGGCTGTGGACTCGTCACCGTTCTCAAGTGCCGTGGCTGATACAACGTCTACTCGAATCACACCAGGCCCCATACAGGATATTACACGATTAACTAGTTTACCTCTCTACCCAACGTGATGACTGTCTGTCCATGGTTCCAGACATATATTACTTGTAACCACTCCAGTTCCCCCAAGGATGTACTTCCGCGTTTTTCCGACATCTAAGCTGGAGAAGCAATGACTGCCTCGACTACCTCTCAAGCTGCCCTGAAACCAAAAGTACAAGCTTTGTATTCGATTCATTTCAAGCAGACAACGGGAAGTGAAATGTTATTACTGGAGCCGCTGAAGCTCGCCCAAGTTTTCATGGTGTGTCTACGTCTCAAGGTTTGCTAAGTACCACTGACTATCTGCTGCCCTTTTTTTTTCCATCCTCGTCACAAAAGCAAGAGTTGGAGAGGAAAAAAAAAAGGAAACTGGACTGTAGGAGGACGAACATACGTTGGCGCTATCAGGTATTTCGACGCGATCTGCGTCGACTTCAGTATTTTTTTTTCCTTCGAGCTCATCTTCGAACGACATATTCGTGACCTTGCGGCATTGCTCAAGCTGTTCTATGTTGGTATGGGTGGAGGGATTTCGAAGCAAGTGGACGCGTGAGAAGTGCCTAGCTCGGCTGCCAGTCCACACACCCTTGGCAAGACGTTCACCAAAATCAGCTCTTTGTTGTTCAGACAAGCAGGAGCTTTTGTATTCAATGTTTCTTTTGAAAAGGAATCATATCCTTAGTCAATACCCCCCCATTCGCCTGCCTCGCTGTCATCAACCTTTCGGGCATGTTTCATCCTCTGCTTGCTCGCGGCGGTAGCCCCCTCTCTATTCGTATCCTTACGCCTCTCCCACTTGCTCTTGGACGAAATCATGGCAGCGCCGTGACTCCGTCTCGCCTCAACGCCCTTCTCCTTTAGCTTCTTCTTGTCTTCCTTGCTCACATTCGGCAAGGCATCGAGGAGCCACTTTTGCACATTGGCCTCCTCGCCCTTCTTGCCGGCCTGCTTCTCGCTGGCGGCGATGACGTTGGCGACGGTTTTGACAAAGGGTATATCGTCCGTCGTATAGAACGTGACGGCGACGCCGCCCTCGCGTCCGGCGCGACCCGTCCGTCCGGCTCGGTGGACATATGCGGCGCTCGAGCCTGGGACGTCGTAATTTACGACGCCGTTGACACCTGCAAAGTCCACGCCTCGAGCGAGCACGTCCGTTGTGATGAGAATCCAGACCTCACCAGCGCGGAAGCGGCGCATTATGCCCGCGCGGGCCTTGTCGGTGAGACCGCTGTGCAGGGCAGCGATTCTGGTGGGACCGCCGGCCGCTAGAGGGATGTCGTACTTCAGCTCCTCTTCCAGAGCAGTAGCACGCTCAATGGTCTGGGTAAAGACCAGGAATGGAGGTCGAAGGGGTGGTCCTGAGTCGTCTCCTGCTGTCGGGTGAAGAAGCTGGCGAAGGCCCAATAGCTTTCCCTTCTCAGTTGCGGTATAGACCAACTTGTGGGTAACGTTGGGGACGGCGGTGTCCTTCAGACCGACCACCAGGCGAAGCAACGGTTTCGATGCCGGCCTCGCCGACTGCGCCTCTGTAACCAAAGTCTCAATATTGGATCCGAAAGTCGCCGACCAGAACGTGGTTCTCAGCTCCGGATTAGGACAGGCGGACCAGATCGCCATTGTCTGTTCGCGGAAGAGGGGGTCCAACAGCACATCCGCCTCGTCGAGAATCAGAGATGTGACAGTCGGGACTTTGCGATCCGTCTTTGACGTTGCCGTCAGGAAATTGTAGAATAGCGCCGGTGTTGTGACGAGAATGTCAGCTTTCACGACAGACTTTGACTTGGCCGGCTCGGTCTCGCTGTCCTCGTCATCGTCATCGTCTGACTTTTCGCTCTCTTCGTCCTTATCATCTTCGCTTTCGGCTTTATCCTCCTCCTCGACGGCGAAGCGCATGCCTTTCTTCATGCCGGCGATCTTGATACCAGAGTTCAAGGCCAGCTTGCGTCCCTCATTCACAATTTGGAAAACAAGCTCTCTTGTCGGCGCAATAACGATCGCAGAGAGATCATGTCTATCCTTGTCTTCGCTAGACTCCCTCTTCTGCATGATGGAGTTGATCGCGGGTATCAGGAAGCTGATGGTCTTTCCGCTGCCTGTCGGCGCGACGGCAAGGAAATCCACCCCCTTTGAGACATCCCCGAGCTCCTCGTTTTGAGGCACCTCTTTCAGTGCAAGATCTGGCTTCAGGAGCAGAGGTAGAGCGCCCAGCTGCACCTCAGTCGGCACCTTGTATCCCTGGTGAGCGAGGTTGTCCGCTAGCAGCGGCGCAATATTGTAGTTCGTCCGAAGCTCGCGGAAAGATGTCAGAGGCTGCGGGTATAGCTGGTTCGTCTCTTTCTCGACCTCGACGGAAACCTTCTTCTTCTTGCTTTTGGTGACCTTGGAGGGTTTCTTGTGACGCTCGGAGAGGAGCGTGAGCTTCAGTCGGTGGGAGCGAAGGATCTGTCGGCACTCGTCTTCCGGGAGCAGAGTCCGCTTGACAGCGGACGCTTTGTCGGCCTTCTTGGCTTTGGCAGCGGATTTCGTGGTATTTTCGGTTTCTGTAGGGATTTCGGGCTTGGGTGCGAAGAAGTCGACCTCGGGCAACTGCTCCTCTTCCTTCTCTTCGACCTCTTCTTTGCCTCTCTTCCTCTTATTGCCCCGCGCTGAAGACACCTCGTCGTGGAAAAGTTGAGGGTTCGTTCGGTTGCCGGCGGATGGCAGGTTTGCCGCTCCTTTGCTCGCGTTTTTGGCGCCTTTCGCAGGCTGCTTGATGCCGCGCGACAAAACTTTGAGAATATCCATGGTTGGTCTTGGAGTTCCCAAACAGAAAAAAAAAGGCCTGGAGACTTGACTGCAGATGCGCCTGGCATATAAATTTTAAAGTGGGGTTTGCGAACAGTTCCCGCACAGTGTCTGCCCTGTGCGGCGACAGGGAAGCTTTGACTTCCGGGTTGGTCGACCATAACACATGGGCGATAACTTCAATCGTATCCAAGCTTGATCTTGCGACCAACCGCGTGTAAGAATGATCCTGGAACTCACCTTATGAGTTGAGGTACAGGACATCGGCAGGCTATTGCCGGACTATGGATAATTGGACCGCTGTTGGCCACCAACTAGGTTACTCCTCTATGAACAATCTGGCGCTGGCGTGAAGACTGGCTTCATTTCTCATCTGTTTGCAAATAATTAATTTGGCATTCTACTGCGTGCTATGAAATATCAGTCTGAGGGTCTTGAGCACACGGGGGAGGGTTCTGGTTGAGTTCCACAATCTCTTCAAAGAGTTGAAAATCCTCCCGTCTTACCCCTCTTGCAACGAGGAAGACAGACAGATGTTTACTCTGGGCTCTGAAACGGAACCTCCGAGCAGCAAAATTTCAACGGGGCAGATAAGTGTCACAGGAGACCAAGGGAAAATCTAAAAAATGGAAGCAAGATGTCATCTTCAAGTTCTGCAGCTCGGGCATAGATATAGAAAGACTTCTCCAGCGTCGATTTCGCTTTACAAGCTCATAGTCATGTCGGACGGTGTGGTAATTCGACAGCTTCCATCGCGACCCGTAGACGGACGAGTAAGGACGGGGAATACTGTATTTTAGTTCTCGCGGTAAGTCAAAGAGCTTATATTCCAGGTAGCCTCAGCTTCGAGCAATGGAATCTAGGCCTTTTGAAAAAAGGAGGAGGGGTGGCACTGGTATGAGATTCTGTAGCTCCCTAGGTCTACAGCACCTCTGATTAGCCCCTTGGTCCAGAAGTCGAAATACTTGTCCAGGGCATGTCTATATTTCCAGCAGCCGTTAGATCCTCGAGGACCACCGATCAATCTCGGGCCATATTATCAACATATAGGCGGCAATGGGCGCTTTCAACCAGTCGATGGGTCTGTCTAATGTTTCCAACATTCAAATTAATGCAGGAGTTTTATATCAACGCCCTTCACCCATGTAATCGTAATCAAAATATTTGTTTCGAGACGAGCTGAGGAGTTCTTCCCGCTGTAAACAAGGAAAAAAACTCAAGGACACAGGGTATACGTTTTTGTATACCAGCGGTGCTTCGTTAGGCATTCAGTGAAGGAATAGTAGTGATTATTGTACCGGTCTCTTCCTTGTAGAAGTTAGCAACAGCATTTCCTGCGGGTCGCAGTATAAGAGAGAAAAGGCGCATCATACGCTGTTTGCCAAGACCTCCATGGACTCTGGCCAGGAGTCCAGGTCTGAATCGGTTCATTTTTGGATTCAATGTCTCGACAGCCTTTGCACGCCTATCAAACTATGAACAACATCGCTCAGCCAGCCCGGGCTATTCCTTCGGACGCAAGACCCAGGCTCATTGGTTGATGTCTGCGGATCCAATCCATCCTTCATCGTCTAAGGCATTTTCGTACAAGCTGAATTACAAGCTGGGGACAGTGCTAAACGCAGGATGATCTTTTCTATCCCTTAGTCGCATTAAATATATAGCTCTAAACAATAACGGCAACCAGGTTGGGCGCTTTAGCTGCGTTCCGCTCACATTTATATGTGACCAGAAGTGCAAAGAGAAGCGAGGACCACAAGAGGGCGGTGACGGTAAAACTGGGATGGTTTGGTTATGCGGATATCACTTATAACGAGCTGAAACTCTACGTATGTAGAAACAAACCGGGCTTGCTGAAGGAATACTCTTTTCCTTCCCACCGCTCTCCTCCCCCAGCACATCTTATACAGCCCGAACAGTGGTCGCGATACCAAGCAATTGGGGCCCAAGGACAAGGCCAGCTTGCTCGACAAATATTCACGGCATGGTCACCTCAGCCAAGCAGATATCGAAAGTATACTTTCAGTCAAGCCAAAGTCCTGAGGCGTTGCGGGCGTACATTGGAAATGAAAACCGCATTCCAGATCAAGGGGACCGTTGCTTCCCAGATATGATGAGCAAGGCGGAGACGCCATCTCGCACAAGCGTAAGTATACCTTTGAGAATTGTGCATCTTCCATGCGGGCAGGCTTCAGGCACAATGGCTGACAGCTCTCAGCGGCCTTTGCCTAACATCTACAAGACGAGAATCAGCGCATTTTAAATCAACGACAATAAATTGACAAGTTAAAAGAGAGACGCCTGGCTCAAGTCTAAACATGGGAGCAAAACATTTCAACCAAGCGCTCCGTTCCTTCCGGGCCAAGAGGATACTTCAACGGCCTTGACAAGGCCGGGCTCGTTGATGCTATCACCAGACCTGACCCATCCGACTTTGAGCATCATGGTTTTTGGCGCTCTTCGTTTCTCGTCGCACATGTACCTAAATCGAGGATAGGCTGGCGGCCAGCCTGTCTGTACCTAGCCCATTAGCGGACAACAATCGCCCTTGGCGTATTGGTGCAAGCTATGTCATGAGTTGGGGGCAATTCCAAACGGAGGAGAGTAACATCTTGTCTAGACATTGATGGGAGGAAGTCAACAATAGAGTGGAAGAAAAGTACCCCGCTCGCCGACCATCTCAAAGGACAAGAAGGATTGCCTCTACTCATCGGCTTCGCCACAGAAGTCCAGAGCAAGCAAATGACATGAGTCTGGAGCCAACACCCTTTGACACCGTAATCATTGGACTTGTCGGAACTACAAGGCAACTAATACTACTGCGAGTGGGCTCCAACGACGTGAGCTGCAGATGACTGTCCCTTCCCAAGTACCATCAATATTCACCCTTCGCAACGATCTTCGACCAGGACCGTGATGCTCCAAACCCCTTATTGTCTCTCAAACACCTCAAAAGCAGACGTTATATCGTCGTCTCCGACTATTTTATCACCTTATTCTGCGCCACAGATACCAATTCATATTTCCACACCTGCAAACAGGATCAAAGGTCCAAGGTAAAGTGGAAAGCAAACCCACATGGCTTTTCTCCACCACTATGTACAAATAGAGAGTCTAAACTTGCATGTACCGACCCGCTCTGGCAATGTGGGTATAAGATTCGCGGCAACTTTACATCCAACTTCAAACCTTGGCATCCCGGCCCGCCGTAGTATTTCCCAATCTCTGTACACAAGTCTATATCGCACGATCCACGAATTGTTCACAATTTTGAAAGAGATTTCTTTTCTGCGGATGTTGATTGGTTGAGGTGTTTGAGCCTGCCTCTGAATCATTCAAAGAGTGAGACAGACTAGGGGATGTTCATCCGTTTCATTCGAAAGCTTTGCCATCTTACCTTGGACTGTGCCCATAAACGTACTATCATACCGTATCAGAAAACGGGGGAAAAAAGGGGGGGCCCTATTGCCTCTGGTCATAGCAAACACCCAAGTTAGAACAGTTACGTAAACAGAGTCTCGAGATTTGACTTAGAGATGAACTTGATCATAGCACCCCGCGACATCACGAGACACACGATGAACGCTGCCAAAGTTAAGGGGGAGTGACAATGTACGGTAGCACAAGCCCGCCGTTCATCCGCCCTCGGATTCTTCAGTCCAATTTCGCCCCCAAAAACCCAAGTTGAATAGGAGCCAGCCCGGTACCAAAGCTCTTCCAAGCTCCCAGACACAACCCTCCCGCATCATCTTCACGAGTCAAAGGAATGGCCTCGTACACACCGCACGAGGAATAGCCCTGAGCTCTTCCCCTCATCCCTAGGATCCAACCCAAGGACCTCCCCGACTCAGCCACCTCCAGCACATCTCCAGGACCACCCAGTAGGTCAAGGCCTTCAGAATAGAACGCTGTACTGAAGAAGCATAAACCGTCTAAGCTCATCTCTCTTACTTTGGATGCCCTTGCACGCCTCAAAGAATACAAATGTTCTTTGCAACGCTAGGTCGCATCAATCAAACACGCGAGAACGAGCCTACCTCGCCTCGTGATCTCTCCCTACTCCTGTTTTTCAAAGATCAAACCCAGCCTCAGTGCCTCGCATATGCGAATACGGCAAAACGCGGCCAAAGTGACATGCTTCGAATCCATGCGCTGAACTCGTGCGAATATACAATAAGCCAGACGAACCTGAGGCGCATGCGGCCTCTGCGAGAGGAAGTAATCTGTCCGTCCGTCCGTCCGTCCGCCTCCCAAAGACAAGACGCTGACACGAGGCCAGACGAAGAAGCGCAACGCTTGCGCCGTCCTTTCAGACCGATTAACTCCCCCTCCTCACATCCCATCTCACCTTACATGCGGTCCTCGTTGTAACCCCACCCACCCACCTCATGTGATGCGGACAAACGCAAGGCACTCGATCCAATCTGCCTTGCCATTCATTGCCCGTCCCTTGCTCTGACGCAAATTAGAAACCCGGGGTACATGACGGTGGACGCAAACCGTAGCGTTGCAACCGTTTCACGCTTGTTAACCCTTCTGGAACACGCGTCGACAACCTCGATCGGAGCTGCCGTGGTGCAAAAATGGGGTAGGGAGTTTGCTGAGCTTGGACCTGCCTGCTCGGAGCTACATCACCTTGGATAGAATGACTGACCGTTTTCGAAACTAGACTCACGTCAAAACGTCGAGGACGCGGACAGGCTTGAGAGACTTGACTTACGTGTACAGACGCTTGAGCGGCCCAGACCGAGCACAATAACTGACTCACATGTCACAAGTGTCGAAGGGCGAACGTACAGACAACTCTAGACAACACGCAACGAGCTTCTATTAAGTATTAAGTGAATGCGAACGAGCTGACACCAGCCCTAGTGGCCAGCACAGACGGTCCCATGCAGTCTTTTTCCACCAACAGCATCTCCAAATTCAAATCTGACGATTCCTAATCCTAGCCCGATTTGAACCAACACAAGAGGTCAGTCCATCTTGTCAGACCAAGGTGCTTCGATTTTTTGTCGTGGGTATTTTCTTTTCGTATTCTTGTCTGGAGCGACGGGTATAACTGGGTATCAAAGCACGATACTTGAGAAAATCAAATCAAAACAAAAAAAAACAATGACGGAAATGACTTCGAAACGACTGAAAGTGGAACGGAATCACCTCCCGCCAGTTTTCGCCTTCCGATGCGTGTACTGTAAAGAGGGAAATAGGAAAGGGTATCAGGTAGAACCAGTCTTGACGGGGTATCTTGAAATGCAGATCCGATTCCCGAACAAACCCATCCAAGTGAAATGAGTTGTCACGTGATGTTGCTCTTCTTCCGAATCTCGATCCGATGCGTGTGCACTTGTTTTTTTTTTGGCGTTTTTGTATTTTTTTGCTTCATTCAGTTGATTGTGAAGACCGAGACTGTCCCTTCCGACGAAGTGACAGCGTACCCCATTTCGCATTCTATGCGGCGGCAGTAACGGGAGCAGGAGTGGAAGAAGTAACGTTCTCGGGCTTGTTCTCGGGCTCCTCAGTGGCCTTGGAGGTCTCGGCGGCGGGAGTCTCGGTGGCGATGACGGGGGTCTCCTCAGGCTTCTCCTCCGTCTTCTCGAGCTTGTCGGCAGGCTTCTCAGTCTTGCCACGGCCCTTGATGGTAGCACGGAGCTTGGAGAAGGCACTGGTCTTCTCCTGCTTTTCAGCCTCCTCGGTATCGGAGTGAGCAGGGGACTTGGCGGGAGACTTGTCGCGCTTGCCGAAGCCGAAGGGAAGGGAAGACTTGCGCTTCTCCTTCAGGTCGGGGCGAGACTCGCCGTTGGTAGCAGGAGTGACCTCCTTGTTCTCAACGGGAACGGTGGCGGGGCTGACAACATCGACGGCGAGAGGGGTGGTAGCCTCAACTGGAGGGATGACAGGGGCGGACTCCGCGGCGGGAGTTACCTCAACCTCCTTGGCCGGGGCGGGTGTCTCAGCCTCAGAGGCGGCGGCAGCCTTCTTCTCCTTCTTGCCAAAGACACCGAAAATGCTGTTGCGCTTGGTGGGAAGAGGCTTCTTCTCCTCCTTGGCGGCCTCAACGGGCTTATCCTCAGCAGCGGTCTCAGTGGCAGCGGCAACAGGAGTCTCAGCAGCAGGAGTGGCAGGAGTCTCCACAGCGGGGACCTCAGCAACAGGGGTCTCAGCGGCAGCAGGGACAACCGGGGTCTCCTCCTTGGGGGGCTCGGCGACAGCAGGAACAGCAGTCTCCTCCTTCTCTTCCTTCTTGGACTCCTCCTTCTTGCCAAGCAGGTTGCCGAAGATAGAGGCACGTTTGCGACTGGCGGAGCGACGCTTAGGCTCCTCCTTCTTGAGCTCCTCGTCCTTCGGGGTCTCCTTTACTGCTTCTTCAGTGGCGGGGACCGCAACTGTCTCCGTAGCAGGAGTCTCGATAGCGGCGACGGCCTCAGTAACGGGGGCTTCGGTAGCCTTCTCCTCTTTCTTGGCAGGCTTGAAAGCCTCAAGAGCAGTCTTGTAGGCCTCAGTCTCGGTGACGGTGGTGGCGAGCTCCTTGGCCTCAGCGACCTTGAGCTTCAATTGGGAGATCCAGTTGTCACGGTCCTCAGCGTTGGCGGCCTTAAAGGTGTGCTTGTGGCCCTTGGCGGTAAAGTGGAACTTGTTTGCGCCATCGGCAGCAGGCTCAGAGGCATCGGCCTAGGGAGCAGTTGTTAGCGAGTGGTTTGGTGTAAGTCAGAATCAGTCACCTACCAAGTTGATGACACCCTGGGGAGCGGTCTTGTCGCCGAAGAAAAGAAGACCCTTGCCGGTGTGGGAAGCCCAGGCGGCGTTGTGGTGGGCAGTCTCGGCGGACTTCTCGCTCTTCAGGTAGGAAGACAGGCTCTTGGACTCGACGGCATCGGATCCGAACCAGAAGAACTCCTTGGAGTAGATGAAGTTCCTACGCGATAGTTATTAGTGTATGCGACGCAAACATCTATAGGTGCTCTGTAACTCACTTGGGGAAGTTGATGCCCTTGTGCTCGAGAGTACCCTCCTCGACGGGGACAACCTCCTTCTTGGCCTCCTCGATGGGAGCAGCAGCCTCAGTAGCGGCGGCCTCAGCAGGTGTCTCGGTAGCAACGGTGGTAGCAGGGGTCTCGGTGGCAGCTTCGGCGGCGACAGGGACGACGGCGGGAGTCTCCGTGGTCTCGACGGGCTTCGTCTCGGTGGCGGGAGCCTCAGCAGCGGTGGTGGCAGGGACAGTCTCCTTGGGGACCTCGACGGGCTTCTGTTCTTCGGCCATTGTGTATGATGTGTGGTGTTGAGAAAGGGGGGATTTGGGTATCAAAAAGTCAGGCGGTAGACTTGGGTATCACAATGAAAAAGGTGTTAAACAAAAGCACTACTAAAAGTACTGTATTGGTCGTGTCGAGGGGTGATGTGATCTCTTGGGTAAGAGTTCAAGAATAGAACCTCTTTGGGGAATAATGGCAGAAAAAGAAGAAGACCTGTAAATGGTGGCAGAGGAGAGACGGGAAAGGGGAAAGAAATCAAACGGGAGGTCGAGCGGGACGCTGGGGGTACTTATTTGCGAGAGGGTGACGAGAAGAGGCTTTGCCCTTGCCAGGAGGCCTGGGATGATGGAGGCTCACACGGTCCAATTAGTCCCTTGCGAAGGAGAAAAGGAGGCTTGGGCCCGTTGTGAGTGGCTACCCCCGTAAAGAGGTATCTGAGGAAGGAGGGAGGGAGGGAGGGGTGGGCAGGTAGACAGAGAGGCGAGAGAGAGAGAGAGACCGATGAGTGGAAGTGTGTCAGTGTCAGTCTAGACGGCGGCACTGGCGTGGGAGGTTGATGAGCGGTAGCTTGGACGAGAACGGTGGGAATGCGATACGGTGCGGACGGTGGGTACGACCAGACCGTAAAGCGAGAGTGAAGGGGTTGCAAAGGGCCAGTCAGAGTGCTCGTCTGATCTTAATGAGAGAGCCCGGGTAAGTGCGACGAGGATGAGAGGTCTGCTGGTCTGCTGGTCTGCTGGTCTGCTGGAAAGCCTGGGCGCAAAGAAAACTGAACGCGAGATCCAAGGTGTGGGAGTGGTGTGTGTGTGAGGTTCAACGAGCAAGGTGCGATGAGTAACAGGGGTCTGGGAAAGAAGCCGTTCCAAACGGATACTTTTTAGTGGGTGTACTTTCCCTGTCAGTATCATTCAGCATGGCGACCAGTCTGTGTCAAACGGCACACTGACCTTGCGTACCTATAGCTCGTGAGGTGGAACCTCCTTTTCTTTTTCTGATGTGTATTGGGGGTTTTCCCGCAGGAAAATTCTTTCTTGCCTTATGTTGTTCGCATCTCGTTCCCTATGATCAAGCGCCGCTGCTGTGACCTATGTCTTTTTGTGCTGGTTTGCTACGGGTGATTGAAAGGTGCGTATATCAGGAATTGGATGTACACTAGAACACAATGAAGGCTCGACGTAAGGTACGAAATGCCTTGAGGCTTGGTCTAGCGAGAGGAAAGATACTTATTCGTCGCTCAGGCTCCACCGCGTGAACCAAGACCAAGTGCCTCCCTCTCTGCGACAATGTACTTTTACTTGTACCTTAAAATGGGAGGTGGGGCATGACATTCACCTCAAGGTACGTAGTAGTAGCGTAGTAAAGTAGCTCTTCCCCTGTCGCTATGATTTTGGCGTGGTCGCTCGCTCAGTTGCCAGGTAAGAGAGGAGACTGGACATCGCGCGCTGGCCCGTGCAGCGCACAAGCGAGTGGGAAGAAATTACAAGACCCGTACGGAATGCCTTTAACTGCATGTGCGTGGAAGCTGCAGGCTGCATGCGTGCTGCTGCTGCTGCTGCATTCTTCTGCTGCGAATTGAAACGTATCCGTTGAGAGACACACGCAGAGAGTAGATGTCGCGGCACGTACCCAGCCGCGCTTGCATGGGGGCCAGGAAGAGAGAGAGTGCAGGACGAGCAAGATGCAATGACGGACAGGGGACCCCGTGGCAGACGGGGACGAGCCTTTCCACACAGTGGCCAGCGTCAGGGGGTCCTTGACTGCCTAGCCCCTGTTGCTTTGCCGGGAACATGCCATCGATGACCCACTCCCGCCGCCATTCCCAGACGTTAGTGGCTGTCCTATTTCATTTTTTAATCTTTTATTTTTGGTCTCTTTTTTTGCTTCTTCTCTCTAATACGCAGCAACGAGCCAACCTGGAGAAAAAAAACCGTCTGCCGGTTGCCCCTCCGATGCGACAACGCTACAGGATACTTCTAACCACATGTTCTTTGTACCTTTGTCTATCCGTAAGGGAGAAAGAAACTGGGAGAGAACAAGTAAACGGGTGAATGATTGTGGCATCTGTTGAAACATCGTAGCCGCCGCAGACTCCCGCTCGCTTCCTCACACCTCCTCGACGGTCCGGCAATGGTTTACCCGTTTCCCAGACCTATTCGCACACGATCAACAATTTGTTCCTTCCATTTCACGGTGGACCAGAACGAGATGGCTGGGTGATTTCGATACGCGCTGAACCCGGACCTAAACCTGGACCCGGCTGGGCCTCTTCTCCAGCAAACGTCCCAGGCGCTCTCCATCCAGTCAGATAAGGTAGAAAGAAACGAAAAAGGGGCGCCCGCGGCCGCCTTTCACATTCGCAGTTTCCGCTGGTAGCTGACTCTGGTTCTGGGCTGGAGCAGCTCTCGCTCGATCTCCTCTCACCGGCGGGATGGGTAATTAAGTCCTTTCCTTCTAGTAACGTTGGGGAGACCGACAGTGACTCAAGTGGCACTGTAATTTTCAAGCCCGGGCTTCTTCTCCGGATACCGCTCCTTGCCCTGCCCTCCCTTCGTTTCTGGCTCACCGTCCGTATCTTTGAAAGTATCCATGGAGTATGGGAACCGTTACATTCGATGGCCAGGATCCGAGGCTGTGACGATCGAAAAGTGGACGGAACTGAAAGCTGGCCGGACGAATTAAAGGATACGATGGCTCATGTGGTTCCAGACTGTTTCGTTCTTCACCTTTCCCACGGAACCATGTAATTAAAACGAAAATTGAAAGAAAAAGAAGTAGACAAACTGTCCAGGCCAGAACTCGCGTGATGTCCTGCAGCCAGCCCATGATGGACGTCATATTGCGCCCTCGAGGGATGCCGTTGAATCGCTCCATTTTCGTGCATTGCAAATGCAGAGCAAGCTTTTTGCAGGGCAACCGCACACACAAAGGTGTTCCCCCCCTGCAACAACAACGCATCTCTTCATCCCACCACCACCACCACCACCACCATCTCAGAAAGCGGGAGGGTAGCAATGAAACAGCTTCACGGCTGGTTGGCCCCGATACTTGCTTGGTTAGGTAGTTAGGCATAAGTAGGCACATTTTCACCGTAGGCACACAGGCCGGTCGATCGTCTCTGCCTATGGAAGGAAGGTCATACTTCTGGGAATCTGTGTTCGTATGCCATACGAACCGGCCTCTCTGCCCTACACGAACACATGGGAACGTTGTGACCAGCGGCCAAGTGCCGGCATGGCTGCGCAGCCGTGGCGGTCTCTCAGGCGCCTTTCGCCTTTGATATTCCGCCTAGACTATCTTCCGTATGCTCCAATCGAACCACCGTTTTCAGCGCTCAATCGGCCAGTGCCGTTCCTTTAACCTCGTCCACTAGTCTCTTCCATCGCTATCGCTAGAAGTTCGACGGTTTACGCGTCGTTGGAACTTGGGACGCGCTGCCGGCTGCAAAACGGGACTCAAAGGGTCTACGCTAGCTCTCGCCATTCTGCTACACGCGCCTTTATCCTGTCAGGTCATTTTCAAAGGGGGCGAGACATGGCCGTCCTCGCTCCTTAAACCCTTGGCGCTAAGATCCACATGGTCAAAGAGGTGGGTGGTGGGGCGGTGGGCAAGGGACAGGAAGAGGAAAGAACAGGAGCCAAGGTGGTCCCCTATTAAAAACGACCACGCCATAGGGCCACGATGGAGAAAATGGGGGCAGGACGCTCTCTGGAGATGTGCCGCTAGCTTGCTAGCTGCATCCTCTTTAAAACCATGTGACTCAGGCCAGATACCATCTAAGCAAGATTTATCCAGAGCGGGAGTGTCGATCAGTTTGCGCACCTTATCCCGAGGCTTCATTGGACTTGTCGCATGACAACTGACTGGCTAATGGGGGGGCATCCTCGTATATGGGTGTGAGAGAGACGGTGCGTGGTGTGTGTCGCGTCAATCATGGCCTCGATGGCGCCCTCCTTCACCCATGGGTGAAGCACTTGTGCGCAGAAGGAAGCCAAGTCAGCCGGGCAATGAAATGCGGTGGCCAGCCTGAGGGCCTTTGCGCCTGCACCTGCGCCTGCAAAACTGTGCAGAGGCGGCGCCATCTATTTCCTCTTGTGTCCGTAGTAGACAGCCGTACTGCGATCTGCCTGTCCTGCCCAGTCACCGTTGGGCTGTCTCTTGTCCATAGGCATTCTCTTAGGTTCTTGTGCTTCTCCTTGAATTTGGCAATGAAGGGTAGTTACCCAGATGTTTCGCACTCTGCCTCCCTCCCGTAGCGCGGTCTTTGTGCTGTTCGCCGGTTGCGCCAATCGTATCTGTATCTTGCACTTGGCTGGTGTCCGTTGAATCTTTCCTGTGAGGCGTGGCGCCATTTGGCACAGAATTAACTCTCCTTCCTGGGGGGCGCCGCGTTGTTACTGTCGTCGCAACGGTAGCGGACCAGAAAAGGACAAGTCGTTCAAAGAAGACTCGTCTGAGGCCGGCACGATGGATCCACCGTAGGAGACGACGAGAGACCATTCTCATGACAATCAAAAACAACAGCCGCCCGACACTGTGCAATTGTCATTCAATCGGAGATCCACAAACCCTTGACTCGGACCCACTCCGCATATTTGATCATGACAATCCTAGCTGCCGCCAGGCCTAGTCTTGGTCCTCTTGGGTAACAGACAGGGACTAACAAGGATGTAGGGGGCCGTTCCCCTGCCTCTCATGATCACAGGCCACATACGGGGATTTTTTTCTTTCCTCTCGAGATTCTCAGGAATGCAGCATAAGAACAGGATAGATTAAATACCCTCTACCGCCCGTCCGGACAGATGGCCTGGAAACAGGCGCATCGTGCCGACCCCGATTGCGTCCTCAACCGGTCTATCAGAAGATCAGACGCCAAACGACATTCATCAAGAGCTCCATTTGAGAGCGTGCCCGTCCAGACTCCAGACCTGCCAAGAGGGCCTGCGGCTGACTCCGGCCCGCCGGCTTCCCAGACCAGGCCTTAAAGTTCAAACACAGCATATCCCCGACGAAGCGAGGTCCGTACGAAGTACCCGCCATCACTTGGACATTGATTGCTGCTTGATGAGTGACCATCCGTAACGGGGACCAGATGCAGATGCGCAGGGACGGCAAATTACGGCCACTGCCGAGCTAAAAATTGCTGACGGACACGGCCTTCATTTCAACAAAGAGCCTTGCGCCGTCCGAGTCGGCCACTATTGGGTCCGGGGGGTTCCAACGCGGCGCTACCATCGCGATCCCATTTGACCACTTAGCCATTCTCGCCTGAAGCATACCTAGCCTGTAAATTAAGTGATGGATGGTTGCGCCCCAAAATCTGTACCTGATCTTGAGCAAACCATGACAGACGACCCGAGCTGGCTGACGGGCGACAGCGGACAGCCCGTCACGGACAACGAGACCGAAATCAGAAAGACTAAAGTTCGGAGAGTCATGCTTGACCATTATGCGGTGCCCCTGAACGGCGCGATCATGTCCTAGTAGCTAGTTGATCGACATGCCTGATGTTGTTGGAAGCCTGGAAGGCAATCGGGAGGTCAACCGAGTCTGTCTGCTCAAGGTTGCCGACCGCTTTTTCGACCAGTTTGCCGGTTGGGAAACGACTTGGGCAACTGGGAATTCCATGAAATACGGAGTAGGTTGGCTTGGAATGAGGGGGCCACCCGTGGATTGCGATTCGATGTCCAGGGTGCCCATGAAATGAAAGCCGAATCAATATCGATTTATGCCGTCAGATGCCCACCACCAAGCCCTGTCAGGTGCGGGCTGCGCGTACCTCTCTCAGGACTGTCCACCGCAACCCAGTTAGATGATCCCTGAACCATCTGCTTTGATTTTGCTTCCCAGGTCGACAAGTCGCACTTGTAGCGGGTTTCCATGTGGCCCCACGTACCTTAGTAACCAGTCATACTGGCAGCGGCTCCAGGGAGAGGCCCGGCAGCCGGAGAACAGCTCAATGCTGTGGGACGGAGACTCGGAGCCGGGCGTTCATTGCCCCTCGAATTGAAGATACGCGATGGTTTCTTGTCGCCCAAGTGGGTTTTTGGGCAATCAGGACGATAGCGATCAAGGTTTACCCAGATCCCCTAAGACTCCAAATTGGCAGTCTAAGGCACCATCTAGACCAAGGTGAAACAGAGTTGGACGATGGAATCTTTGGCGGCCTGCGAGTGCATTCATCAGACCACGTACACTACAGCCATGCTTGGCTGAATCGCGACATCGTCATCTTCCCAATCTCGCTGTCTCCCTGATCTATATTGACGAACTGCAGCATCGGGCAGCCGAATGCCCTGGTTTAAACCGGGGTTGTGGTTGCAGTCTCAGAGATACACATGACCGGAGGCGGAGGGGCATGGAAGGTAAAAGGTTCTGGGTGGCCTGGCTAGGAATGGCGTCGATGAGGGATGGTATCGTGTCGGATTGCCTAGCGTGAATCCTAGAGGGAAGCTCGAAGATGGGCGTCGTCGAATCAAATACCCGAGGTGGTTTATGTGTGTCGACGGCTCGAGATAGAGGGTTTGGGCCTTGTGAGTTGTCGATGATGATCTTGCACCTCGCCGCCTTAGGTGAGGATCGTGATTGACGTCCATGTTCACTGGCAAGTGCATTACATAAGACAGGGGAAGTATTGACTGCCACGGTGAAGGCAAGCACACCGCACAATGGGTAGGCAAATGAACGGCCGCCAGGGAAGGAATCTGCCGGGTTTTCGTCGCGAAGGACGTAAGGCAGGGACGGATACATCATCCCACCCTCGTTCTTGCCATATGTTCTGGGCCAAGGCAAGCACCAAGTAGATGGCGCCTTCTTAGCCCACGGCGACGGATCACAACAGGTCTTCTCTAGAATCTATTCTCGTGCGTCTTCCATATGCCTCGACCCCGGTCCAAGGAAGGCAAACTCGCCCACGGCCACCCAGCACCGTGACGACCAACCCGGATGGATCCGTCGACTGATTTCCTATCCCTGGCTTATTCTTTCCGCCTCCTGTACGGATACTTGGGGCTGTGTTGGCAGTGGCCCAAAGAATATGCGGCAGATCATTCCCCCCATGCCTTTGTTGCGTATGCGCATGATCGTACGTACTTTATTTCCTTTTCACGCAGTGGAGATGACCGTTTGAAATGCCGTCCTCGGTCCGGCCATTCTGCGTCATCTGTCATCTTGTAAACCCATGTTGCCACAGCCAGCAAACGTCAGTCACACACGTTCGGCGGCATGATACACTCCGCACAGCTGTACAGATTGTCAAGGGCACAAGACTCTGGCATACAATAACTAGAACAAGGTATCTACATGTGAGCAAGCACTCGATATCTGGCATCTAGATATGCCTCTGCCGCTGGTTTGATGGCCCGCTCATGCCATCGTCTAACATCTGAGACAGACGGGCTGGGGGTAGCTTACAACGGCTTTGGGGAGTGAAACATTGACACACCACGGAAGACTGCAACCACCACCGCAACACGGCATCCACAGCTCACGCTTCCTGGATCTCTAATGATCTTACTGGCCGACATAACTGCGTATTGGAAGATGCCAACGATTTAGATATCCTACACCGGCTCGCCCGGCTCGCCCGGCCTCGGACTTACGTCCCGCCCGTTTGCAATGAGGAATCTTGAGAATTCACACATCTCCCCGCGGTTTTAACTCTTGCGACGTTGATCACCCGAGAATCAGATTCAGCTTTGACAGCGCTGTCCCGGACTGCGGATCCACGGGGGCCTTGCAAACGGGACTGGTCGGAGTATATTAACTCCCCTCCCGCGTCAGGCCACGCATTTAGTTACCACGACTGCGCAGTTCGTCGGAGCTCGATCGGATGGCCGACAGTGATGCTCTCTCTGGTGTGTGCGATATTAGCAAGCACACCACTTCAACGCTGGAATCCGGCCACTCAGGCGCATTATCGGACGCCCTTCGCCAGCTCAGCCAGCTCAGCTGTTGCTTGCTGATCCACGAAGCCCGCAGGTGAAACAAACCCGTCTCTCGTTTGATGCAGGTGGGGGGGGCTTGATTGAGACACACGCAGAAGGGCAGGCATTCCGCCGCAGTAAAGCGATGAGGCCGCCAGATTCAGCCCGAGGAGGCATTTGAGATAAGTTAGCTCAGCTTACTGGCAAGGTGACCCAGGTCTATTAGAGCTCCTGTGCCCGAACCTCTTCGTTTCCCCAAGCTGAGATGGCTTGTCGTCGGTCAGGGTTCCGGTCACAATTGAGGGGCAAAATCGAATTGAGGATAACAATCTGATGTCCGTTAGGCCCGGTTATTTACCATTGTCGACGATAAATGAGGTAGTCAATGGGAGTATCGATGCCCAGAGTTTCCGCATTCCTGATTTTGCCGTTGGCCGCATTGGGCCTGATTTTCGGTCTCCTTCATCCACACGAACTTGCGGTGACGGTCTCCGACACTGGCCCGCCTCGGGTTGTGTGGTTTGTACACCACCATTCATGTGTTGATCCTGATTGTCTACACACCACGGCTGGCAAAGCCCGGCACACAGAAAAAACGTTCATGCAAGCCCCGCCGTTGGCATGCACATGATGCATTTGGTTTCTCGGCTGTCTCCCCTCACCACGTTCTAGATCCCCGCGCACCATTGCATGTCTCGCACCACGACGAGTCAAGTGCCCGCCATCAAGCAATCGGAGGGTCGCGCAGGTCGCATTGCTCGACTCCTCGACGTCAGCCGTGCCACAATTTTGAGTGAAGTCTCTATGCCGTTATCACCGCCGGTGCCGCGACTCCCTAGACGCACCCAACCGTGCCAACCAGCCTAGGGGCCATTTTTGGCGTCATCTGTGAGATGTTCTGGCTGATGATTCATGCTGTACTTCCAATAGGGAATGTAGCTCTTATCACACCGCATGTGCAAAGTGTCAAGCCACTTTTGAGGCAGACTTGCAAAGGACATGCTTTGTGGCTTCTGAGGTTCCTCGTCCGTGGAGGTTTATGTTGCATGTCATAGGCTTTACGTCGGCTGAGTTTGACTTTCGAGGGGAGCTCTGCGGAGTTCCTTGCAGCTCTACGGTACCCGAGTCTCACGTCGTCTTGTCGGACCACCCCTCGGTTTTGAATCGACTCGAAACTTTGTTTGCTATCATGTCTTATTTCCAAACATCAGTCTCGGGTTGACTCTCGATAATGCAAAAGGCTCGCTAGTATTCCGACTAGTCGCAGAGGCCAGGCACGTGATCATAGCTAACGACATCTAACCTGGTCTAGTGTCTACACTCTTGCATGCTAAAAAACCAAGAGGGCTGCTTGCGTGAAATCCTTCTAGAAGCGCTTCAGCAAGCTTTTTAAGAGTCTGGTCCAGTCGTCTCGTGATGATTTGCTCCCTATACTCACAGTATCATGATGGAAGAGGAGTTCGTCGCTAGATACAGCAGAGATGTGTCTAGTAGTGCTCTTAATATCCTGCTGGAATATCAGTATCCTATGGATTACTTATACCATTGGTAACCACTGGGTAACTTCTGCTTCGTGTATGGACTAAGTAAGGACAAGTTTCTAGTTGCATCGGGAAATAAAGAACATATCTCGCAACAACCGGAGACATAACTTCAGAGAGCATAGCGCGGTTGATTTCGTCGGCTATACCCAAACATCGAGCTTGATATGCTGCTCAAAGCACCGCCGTGACATCACCCAACAGAAATGACTGATGCTGCAGCTCCTAGAATCTGCAACTCATGGCCTAATTCCAATCTTCTAGGCCACTCTTTCTGGAAGTTATTGTTCAAGGCTGCTGCTCCTGCTGCTAGTTGGTATCCCGAGGTCACACGCGGAACAAGAACCAAGAGCGACATGTTCAAACAGCCAGCTTGAGCAAAGAACCTGCGTACAACGGAAATTAAAAAGCAGCTGAAACATGGCTGCAGTATATACCTTTTTTGAGCTCATAGTAATTCAAGAGTCCACTTTTTAGATAACTGCCTCTCAGAAAGACACTTCTTGAGGCATACGTTGACACGAAGCACCACGCCACGTACTAATGTAGCTATGGAAAGAAAGTGTCAGCTAAATAGGTTGGTCTGGCTCTGAAGGTGCTAAGGCAAAATAAACACGTCGCTATCTCGAACGCTATAATTGGAGCCTGGCCTAGCACGAGCTGAGACGAAGATTCTGGTTAAAGGGGCTTGTCTCTTGTGATGAACAAGCTTGAGAGGCATTAACACAATTTGGCCCTCTGATCAAAGATGGGAATTAGAGATCTGCTCCTTTCAAACCCAGAGGAATCATAAGAGTTCGTGAGAACATGTGAGAAGTCGTGAAGTTTATGAATAGAGCAGACCCTCAACGGACTCATTTTGGCTGGGCCCAAAGGTTCGAGAACTGGAAGGGCGTGGACATCCGCACTACAGCCTGGATTGATCGAGGAAGGTGGGATTGATGTCCCTGCTCATACAGACTATATTCTTTCAGGTTCTGTCTCCAAGACCAGCCATAAGCTGAGCCCTATCAACATTGGGTCCTCCAAGTAACATGCAATATCACATACTATCATCACCGTCAATGTCGAGATCATCCTTGCCTCTGAAATCCGACCAGGATACCGAACAGGATAGCAAAATCGCTTCATAATGTATTTTACTGTCGTATTAGTAGATATCTCACTTTCACTGAAGTGCTGAAATAGCTCCTTCCTCGTGGGAAAAGTACCATCATACTTCTCAGCTTGTCAACTGAACCTTGAACTGTACCGTTACAACTGAACCTCAGCAGCAAGCTGACAGAGCTTGCAAATGATAGCATGAACCTTTGCGGCTTGTATCCAGCTTTCTACCACATCAATGGTCTTTTATGAGCTCTGAAAGCTCTCACCTCCGTAGCGTGATCACCCTGCACGTTCCATTTTTCATCCTCATGGTGAAGTCCATCCAACCAGCCAAAACTCCCACGACCCTGTCACCTGACAGCACCACCAGCAAACAGCAGACTAAGCCTGAGCAGGGTAACAAAAGATAACAAAAGAAGAGAAAGGAAAGAGCCATTTGAGCTGCCTTCCATTCTGGTTTCTGCAGCTTTCGGTATTGTCTACTTTTGGTTCACTCTACCTTTGGTCAACTTCACCTTTGGTCAACTTCACCTTTTGTTGATTCCTTATACCTCCTACCTCCGTTACCTTCACAACCTTTCCCGCTCTCGCTTTTATTTCTAAAGCAAATTAGTAGCAGTTGCTCTTACTCAACTTCTACATCTACAATCTCCATCTTCCCTACACAACACTCATTGGAAGCCTGAAGCCACCTGGACCTCGCTTTCATAGCCTTGTTCCACTTCTTACTTCTTACTACCTTCTTTATTCTTTCCAATTGGTAACGTGTCTTCCTATTCACCATTATCGCTCTCTACTTCGGCTTGTATCAACTTGGCCGGAGTGGAGAAAGGCGTACGCAATCCCTAAACGCTTTCCTTGAGTTACCAAGGATAAGCCCTAAATACAACACAATGGCGCCCTTTCGGTCTTACCGTTCCAGCAAGATGGAGCTCATGGTTCCCGCAGACGGAAAACTCCATGCAGTTGTCGGCCGTACTTTGGAGGAACAGAGCCAGCACCAGGTGAAGCTTGTCACAAAGCTACTGGCCGGTCCCAATGGCTTTTTAACTCATCTTCCCTCGAATCAACCCCCAAGCATTGCCTTCTGGAACAAACTTCGGCAAGGATACCTCACCGGCGCCAGAGTTCTTCCACATCAATCTGATCAGTCGACTTCCAGAGCAGGTTCTGACAAGCCAAGCGATATCAAGGCAGAGAAGACCAACACTGCTCTCGAAAGGCTCTTGAAGATGATTCCTGTCGGCCGCGAGATCATTGCCCATTTGTGGCTGGTCCACACCCCAAGCGTCGGAAATTTGGCCTCGACCTCGAAGGGATGCTCTGATGCCGTTGCGATCTACGTGGTGAGCAAACCTTCAAAACAATCTTACCTACATAAAGCTTACACCGTCATAGTCCAGATTCAATCTGCCCTCGGGCAGTTACCAGGACTGCGACTGGCTTCCGTCTCAGCTGAAGTGCATGGACGAGGCCCAACGTGCAACAATTGGCATCGGTGGCATCGGCCGCAATCTTTTCGTTCGAGGCAAAGACCCAAACGTTGAAACCAGCATCAAAGGTTTTCCCACCGCTTGGGCCAGCATTGTAGAGCGTGAGAAACTGAACGAGCTTGCGGAACAAAACAGGACCACCAACCACCAAATCTACATGGCCTTCATTCCATTCCTCATGGCGGACAAACTACTCAACGCGGTTGAGGAGAGCTGGAGATGTCGTCATGAGGAGATAGGCTTGTCTCCTACTGACACAAATGCCGTCAGAGACACCTACCTGAGAGAGATGAATTACAATATTCCCATGTGTGAGTCCTTCAACGCATGCTCATGGTGTTTCGTGAAGCTAACAGAAGAACAGTGAGGTCTCTCTGCCAGTATGGCGGCGCACTCAGAGCTCTTCAGCTGCATGAGGTTCCCATGATGGACCTCCGGATGGTCGAGTTGGTCCTCTCGGCATGCCCTGTACTTGAGGCCTTGGGAATTGTCAAGTGTGAGCTCCTCCACGTCGCCGACGTCAATCCACTTCTCGACATACTCTATCGACGCTCCAAGGAGACGGGTAAGAAGTGGAAGAGTCTCCAATTCTACCCCCGATCTTACATTGGTCCCCTATACAACCGCACAGGCACCCATATTGTTTCTTGGGATCCTCTCAGCACCAACGTCGAGACCAGTCTCCTCATCACGGTCTTCTGGGCAATCATGAAGGCCATCCCCCTGGGAATTGACCTCGTGTCCGAGGGTCAAGCTTTCCGCAAGTTTCTCGATCTGGTGCCAATGGTGCCCGGCGAAATCGCAGTCTTCCTGCATCACGTGCACTCATGGCTCGACAAGGCAAAGAGTTCCGAGACCGATAACATCCTCCCTGGCATCGCCGAGTCCCTTGAAGACCAGGTCCTCCTCAGTATGCTCCTGGGTACCAAGGAGAGGAAGAGAATGGAGAAGCATCTGCGAGCGATGTACTTCAACGACAAATACGAATGCTGCCGTTGCGGATGTGAGATGCTCGCGATCCTGTTTCGGAGCGAGATGAAGCTTCGCGCAGCAGGACATCGCGTCTGTCGCATCTGCGACCTCCGACTCGAACTCGATGGAGAGAATCATCACCGACTCCATGATAAGAGGACAATGATGGACCACTTCCTCAGCTCGCCAAAAGATACTAGGGAGAAGACCGCGCCTACCGACAAGGAGCTCCTGGAGGTCTTGGCCCCTCCTCACCGCAACCCTTTCATCGCTCCTCCGTATCTCGAGAGCATCTGTCGTGCCGAGGCTATTGTTCACTACCGAAAGCTCCCTAAGGTCCAGGACCTCATCGATCCGGATAGAAATTTCGACATCCTCGGCGCCTCGGGACAGGCTGCAGTTTTCGATGCCGATGAGAAGGGCAGCCAACTGTGCGGGATTTACCTTGATCACCCGACCCTGACCCAGCAGACACTCTACGCGGATCTGGGAGTCCAGAACATGGCCAGAATTCGCAGCCAGAGCTGGGAGCATGTGATCTGGAAGAACTACTTCAAGGACGCTGGCTTAGCCGCGCACCAAGAGGCGGCGCTGGCCGCCGGAGACGAACCGCCCAAGCCAGCCGGCTTCTGGTGAGAGCTCTCGAGAGCTCTACAGGACAGACTCTACTACATTGACTTGCCGCATTCCTGGAATGCATAAATAGACGGCATCCCTACCAAACATTATTACCATTGGTAGACTGGCACGAACAGTCAGGATTTACAGAAACAACAGACGGTATTCCGACAACATTTCTTAACAAGAAACTTCTCGGCATCTCCCTCCTGCGGAGCATGACAAGATGATATCGGACTTGAAATGTGGAAGACATTGGTTGCACTTTGCAAGATGGACTGGAAAGATATGAGGGAGGATTTTCTGCGTTGCTTCGCAACACACTATTAGACGGCAATGACCGCTGTCTATCGCGAACTCGGTGCCATGCACCTCCACCAGAGTGGAGGCAGAAGGAGAGAATTTCCTCTCTATACACCACGCTATGGCAAACGAGAGAAAGGGATATTGATTCGACAGTTGCCTGGTTTGGTTTTGCTCAGACGGTTCAGTTGGTTTTGCTCTTTCTGGTTTTTTAATTCGGTTTGTTGCTGCCAAACTCTACTCTATCGTTCTCGAGGAGTAGGCTTAATTGGTTCAGGCACTTCATAGCAGTAATGGCCATTCAGTCTCATGGTCTTGTGATATGCACGGTAATCTACCGCGTGAAGAAAGTGCCCGATACTCTCTAGGATACCGAGCCGGTCTTGTTCTACAGTGTGATGCATCTATGAGTCTCCGATAATGTACAAAATTATTACACGCTACCCATGCGTCCCAACTCCATCTGACATTACAAAGCCAATGCAAATAAATGACCTTGATCGACAAACCAAGCGGCGAGGTGAGAGAGAGGGATGTGTGCCGCTCAAGAAGACTCCGAGCGGTTCTGTGGCGCCTCAGCCGATAACCCAACCACATTCCTCAACGTGCCAAAGCTCAAACAATCGCTGATCCGACTGGCGCCAGAGAACAGCATCACGAGCCTCTCGACACCGCAACCCCAGCCGCCCGTGGGCGGCAAGCCGGCCTCGAGCGCCCGAATGTAGCTCTTGTCGAGCGGCGCGTCCCGCAGCGGGTGCGGATCGTCCGCCTCGAGCGGCGCGGCGTCCTTGCCGGTGCCAAAGAAGCGGTGCTCCGCGAGCTTGCGCGCCTGCGCGGCCGGGTCGTTCTCCTCCTCATACATGTTGGCCAGCTCGCGGCCGTTGACGAAGAGCTCCGTCCGCGCCGACACGAGCTGCATCGTCTTGGGGCAGACGAAGCTCTTTGCGAGCGGGGACATGCAGGTCGGGTGGTGTGTGATAAAGAGGGGCCCTTCGAAGGATTTGGGCTCGAGGTAGACGGCCGCCAGGCGGTCGAGGAGCTTGGGCATGGTGGGCGGGATGCCACCGGGAACCTCAATCTGGCTGAGGGCCAGTACGGCGACGAGCTCCGAGTAGGCGTCCGTGCCGGTCAGCTTGGGGAGGCGGAAGCCGAGGGCCTCCTCGAGGGCCGGCACGAACTCGAGCTGGCGGAAGGGGCGGGCGAACTTGGACTGGTCGATGGGCTGCAGCGAGGTGAGCTTGGTGTCGATGAGCTCCTGGCAGTGGCGCGCCAGGCCGGCGAGGAGCTCCTCGGTGCGGTCGATGAGCTCGGGGAGATTGGTGTAGGCGCTGTAGAACTCGCACATTGTGAACTCGGGGTTGTGTGTGCCGTCGATCCCTTCGTTGCGGAAGGCTGGGCCGATCTCAAAGACCTTGTGGACGCCGCCAACAACGAGGCGCTTGAGCCAGAGCTCGGGCGCGATACGGAGGGAGAGCTCCTTGGAGGGGAACTCGGTGGCCTGGGTGGTGAAGGAGCGGGCGACGGCGCCGCCGGCGTTCTCAGCGAGGATGGGCGTCTGGAACTCGAGGAAGGACTGGTCGTGGAAGTAGTCGCGCATGTACTTTGTGATGTGGGACCGCATCCGCAGTACGTCGGCGACTTCGGGGTTGACCATCATGTCGACATGGCGTTTCTGGGCCTTGGTCGCCGGGTCCGTCAGTGTCTGAGGGATCTGCTCCATCGCGGGGGATAGCAGCTCCGGAAGGACGATGGCCTGGAGTGTAAGCTCGCCGGTGCTTGTGCGCGTGGGCTTGCCGGTGATGGCTGCATTATTAGTCTTAGCATCATGTCACCCAGCTGAAGTAGTAGCAGCACACAGGGCTTACAGATGTGGTCGCCCTTCTCGATCAGTCGGGCAAAGAGCTTAAAGGTATCAATGTTCATGTCAGGGACGCTGCCGAGGTTGCGATAGTTGATCATGCCCTGGATCTTTTCGAACTCATTGACAATGGTGACGAAGACGAGCTTGTTCCCGTGCAGACGAACAGATTGGACGCGGCCTGTGGCCTGTCAGCGAAGGGCCGATGGTGATGGTGGTTAGGGACGCCGCCGGCCACAAGCTGCTGCTGTTGCTGCTGCCCTTGTGGAACGACGACTTGTATTTCATTCTGCGTACCATACAAGGTGACGACCTCGGCGTTGCTGGGGTCATCTAGCTTCGCATCTTTCCAAATCTTCCTAAAGGCAGGGACCGACATGGGCTTCTTGCGATGGACCAGCCGCGGATGCGTCTCCTTAATCACACCCCTCTCGCGCACCTCCTCCAGCGCCTGGAGGCGCATCTTTTTGAACTCTGATATCCTAACTTCTTCACTCTGCACAGACTTGTCCTGCTGATGCTGCTCTGCCTCTGGTGCTACCCTATCCTTCTTTTGCCTCTTTCCCCCGGCCCCATCCTGAACACTGGCGCCGCTTGGTCGCCCGACGTGGAAGGACTGAGCTAGTCTGGCGACTGGTGTGCGTGTTGCCGGCCGCAAAAGCCGTAGACTCTGAATCAAAGCCATCGCGTCTGTTTGCTTCCTATTAGTTTCGTTGTTCTTCCAAGAACAATGTGCTGTGAGGCAGGAAACAGGGTAATAAATGTAGGATGTCAGATAATAGGCGGTTTAAATCAACCACAACAAAAGAGCTGTGTAAGTCGCAGCGGTTCTGAATTGCTTGCAATCATCATATGAGGGAGAGAGAAAGAAAGAAAAAAATGCATAGCGAAGCTGAGACTTACCACCATAGTTGCCCAAGAAGATTCTGGCTCTTCTTGCTGTGGACAAAAACAATGTTAAGGTCGCTGTGCAGAGAAATTTTGCGACGGCGCAGTTTTATCGTTGCAGGAACGGGTCCTTGACGTTATCGATTAAGCAGCGCGGGACAAGCCGGCCCGAGAAAAGGGTCTAACAACTTAGCGATGATTGGACAGCAAAGGTTCCAAGCGGGGGTCAACTCCCTGTTCACCTCAGGCGAGCTGAACTGGGCTGCGGCGCGCATAAGGTAAGGTAAGGTACCTTAAGGTAGGTGGTAGCTGACACACGATAAGATAAGGCAAAGGAGCTCTTCGTAAAATCTCGACTCTGCGACGTCAAGCAATCTAGCTATCCCCAAGTCAATAATCGTCCCCTTTGCCGCCGCATCCCACTAGCTTCGCTATCGAACTATCATCACTTCGCTCTCTCGGATTTCTCCAGAAAAACTAGAAACACCACAACCGCCAATATGTCTTTCTTTGGAATGGGCCGCCCCAAGCTGTCTTCGGACGAGAAGATTGCCATGGCTGAGCAGGAGATGCGTCTGCTGGCCGATATGCACAACCGGTACGTCACCATCACGCCGAATTCTTGCTTCAAAAACCCTTTCGAGGGCCAAACCCAACCCAAAACGAGCTGGCGGATAGAGAACAAACTTGAGGAAAGAAGGGGGACTTAATCTATCAAGACACAGCTATGCTGACATGCGTCATTATAGCTTGACCAAAATCTGCCAAACCAAGTGCCTCCCCGACTACCGCGAGGGCGACCTCAACAAGGGCGAGTCCGTCTGTCTCGACCGCTGCGCCGCCAAGTTCTTCGAGGCGCACATGAAGGCGTCGGAGGTGATGCAGAACGAGAGCCAAAAGAGAGGCGGCGGTGGCGGTATGGGAGGCGGCATGTTCTAAGTCGGCAATGGAAAAGAGACCCTAAATAGGGAAAGCCTGATGAGATGTTGATGAGGTCAACAGAGGGTGCCCGGATACGACACAGAGACGGAGAGCGTATCGACAGAGCGAGCTAGCCTTCGGTAGGCTGGTTTTGCTCTCTGTTGCATATGCCACCACGGAACAGTATCTCGGGGCGAGACAGGGATATGGATGGGCGGTTATCGGCATAGCGTCGCAAGCTTGCGCAAAGCTTGGGATACAGGAACATTCGGATGTATTTTTGAGAAGCGAAACCTGCGCCGGGAGCTTCGTGTATAACATAGGGGGACTAAGGCCAAGTCCTATCAATGAGAAGAACTACACTCACCTTCAGCTTACATTCCGGCAAGTGGGCGATAAAGATGTAATATATATTGCCATGCTTTACAACAGCCATTCTCTCGTACCCCTCAGCTCGTGCTTTGATACCTAGCTGTTTTGCCTTTAAACTAGATTACCACAAATGAGAGACGTCTCAAGTTGTGCAGTATTAGGATTTGAACATGTTCATAGACACCAGCTCTCATGAGCTCGTTAATAATAGGTAATGTGTATCAATCCTTGGGTCACCCACCTGCCCGGCCCATGACTGCCATTCAGCAATTTGGCACGCGATGTTATCAACCATTCCCGCCTTCAGAAAGACGAGTAAGAGCTGCGTCAATGTTGCCTGTAGCAACGCTACAGAGGCCCTGCATCTCACCTGAAGTAGAATCGGGGGCTCTCACAATTGCAATTGACGTCAGGTGTTAGCCCCGGATTATCTCGTTCCTATACATGGTAGATAAGTTGAGGAATCCAGATGTGTAAAGCAAGGGTAACGTCTAGTGCAAGGTACTCTGGAAAACGTTCGAAGGTTCTTTCGGCAAGACTATCCAGCGCCAATACTTGTATTCTTTTGTACAGACGTTGGCCACGTGATATATCTCGTATTAGGATGCAAATGATTGAGCTATATTACTCCATGAAGGACACAGTTGGCTCGCCAGACTCAAAACATTCGACAACGTAAAATCACAAGAATTGTGCGATTTGACAGGCCACAGCGGCAAAGCTGGCGGAGGTTACCCGCATCAAACTACTTTGACGGCAATCAAACAAACCCGCGGGCCCCGTTCATCCGTTTTAGGCGAATTATAGAACATACTATTAGTTGGTTGTGACCTTGGGGGAGCATTCTTGATAAAAACTTCGCTGGCGTAGCAGCGACAAACTCCTTTTTGGCGAAAAAAGTATCCAAAACGCGTAGCCATCGTCATTGTTGACGGCAATCCGTAGCCGAAAAATATCGGGATTCAGCCTTGGCCTTTGTATCTGCAAGAAAGTCTGCCTCGTCTTCCTCAAATGCTGCCTGGACTCACGACGCTTTCTTAGCAGCTCGGCGCCGAAGAGCCAAGTTGGGTACATGCTCGGCGCCTTGGGCGCCTCCGAGGTACCGTAGTTTCAGAATGTCCTGCGTGGGTGGTTCGAAGTGGTAGCTTCCGGCTTTCCGCGCAGATTATATTTCGCGTGCGGACTTCTTCCTGGTACCTGGAGTGGATTCGAAAAGAAAAAGCCCACAAGATCTCCGGTTGCCCGCTGGTCCCACGTGATGCCACGATGGTCTTCGTGGCCGAATGACAGAGTGGATTTTAGATAGAATACCATTGAACAGCCTCGGCTGAGAAGACAAGCAAGACATTGAGTTATTGAGGCAGCTGGCACGGCTCGTAGATATTGGTCATGCTTCGAGCCCGTCGGGAATATGTAGCAACAGACTAAGTAGTGCGTCGGGCCCCAATTGATAGACATCAATTAATCAATGTGAAATAAATGGAGCAACATTGGTCAAGTTGTCGGCAACGATGACATCGGGAAAGCTAAATAAATCATCCGAAGAAGATGGGAATAATTGGTAGAAAACAATAGTGTTCAGCCAGGGGCACACGCTACACTGCAGCAGCGCAAAAGCCCGCCTCTGGTGCCAAGCAAATGCCACAAGAGCCACCCAAGTGGAGGGTCATGTTCGTACATGACTCTCTGTCACCTAGGGATTCACTGAGCAGTGGGCAATGGATTGCAGGTGTCAATTCGTCGACCGCCTTTCCATGTTACCCCAGAAACCAGGGGGTGTTCAACATTACAAAATGAAGGACTCCTTTCGTAATGTATACGAAAACCAAAGAAATGGGGCTCTTCCCGGGAGGTGTTAAACACAGAATCGAGAAAAGGAACAAGATTCCCCTGTCCCGTAAGGTTCCTCGGAGGAATCCAGTAGGCGAGATTGTCAACTGGACCTTTGTCGCCCCCAAAGTAATCACACAAGCCTTGAAAAGTTGGCCAGGTCTAGGCTTTGGAGCCTGATTTGCTCCTTGCAGAGGAAGATGCAGAAAATAGAAACGGACATTCTGGTAAGGCAAAGCGCAAGGCAGTAAGAAGGCTGCGGGTGCGACAAAGTTGGTGGCCGGGGAAGCAATGCCGGTTAATGTACCGCGGGCACCACCACATGGTGGAATGGGGAGTGATGCATGTCCCAACTTTGTCAAGCAACTCACACCCGAGAGCTTGGGGCTCTGTTTGTCGACTCGTTTAGATCTGCGACAGGGGGAATTGGGGAACGGGCATTGGACGGGCAGCGACGAGAATATTCAAGCCAAGGATTGGACGTGCTGTCCCGCGCTGGGAAAGTTGGGCAAACTCAGGGTTTTGAAGGAGAAAAGGGAGAGTGACGCTGTTTCAATAATTCGGATGAAGACGAGAGAATTGGCAGGCCTGGCGTGTGTGGTGCGCGGCTCAGCCAGCATTGGGCTTGTTTCGTGCGCATTGACGGGCGGACCGTACCAGATATTAGAGGCGCACGAGAATCGTAGGGCAAGGAAGGATTGAGCGGATGAGACGTTGACAGGAATTCCGTTCTCACTTGAGTCTGGTGAAAGGAAGCCCGTGTATGAGTTGACGGTGAGAGAAGGTCTTCGCGATGGTGGTTCAGTCGACGGAGCCTCAAACCGTGGTGCCGCGGTGGAGTACCCGGCGTGGCTTAGCGGCTTTCCTTCTGTCTGCCGACTGCATTGTTACTGTGTTCTGCACAAGGCCGATCATCATCCTCTCTCTCTTAGGTGCGTAGGTAATCATGGTACATTCCCCGTGGCGGCGTTCACGGGCGGGTTCTAGTGGGGGGGGAGGCTCTGGGGTCGGAGGCCGTGGGTCCAGAAATGAAGTGCGCGGGTGTGGACGTAGGCGAGGCATTGATGACTGAGGGTGGGAGGGATGTATCTGTAGCGAGTGCGGGAGTGCAACGGTGGCTGGCGGACGGGTCGTGGAGATGATGGTCTCTTGGTTTGGGTCGAACTCACGTAGCACGCCTTAATGGCTTTGGCGACCCCGGGAATGAGGGCAGACGGATACTGTAAAAAACAGGCGCATAAGGTAGGGAGGCCTCATCTTAGGTTGAAACAGAATATTGGCCGTAATGGATGTTGTATGTCCATGTCGGTATCCGTTACCTACGGATAGGTAGCGACTAGCGAGAGCAAAGAGACACGCATTCTGCCTTTGCTTATTTAGTGCTTTGCAGAAGAATTATTGTATTTCGAGACTGGGCAATTGGGAACCCATAGCGGAAGATGCCGCAAGCTTCAATGGTTGGTTCGGAATACGGACCAGGAATCGGAATGAGATGAAAGCAGAACAAAAGCAAACTAAACAATGTGATGGTAATAGGAATAGAAAGCCAACTCAGCCATCTGCACGATCAACGTCTCTGGTGTTATTTTGGTCGCGAAGCTGGTATGAGTGGCCAGCCTCTTTTCATTTCAGCCCTTTGACAATGGAACGCCAGGAAATGCGCTCCTAAGCTTAGGTAAGGTTGAGACTAAGGTTGGAATGTGCGCCTGGCGTTTGGGACGGTTCGCCGAAGAGCCTATTTTTTTGCCTGAGGAAGCCATGGCGTGGTCCGGCTGGACAGTCTCGAGGCCGGGATTTGCCTTCCCAAGACGATAGGAACAGCGGTGGCCAGTCTTGGGTCAAAAACTAGAAGTAGAACAAGGAAAAAGGTTGGTGAGAATGTGGCTGTGAGCCGGCCTCATCTCATCTTCTCGATCTCCCCAATCAACACATGTACATTACTATGACGGTCACAGATGCCAACAATAGGGTGCAAAAAGGCCACTCGCTGGCCAGAGGTAGGTTCCCGGGTCTATATCATGGACGGATACACATTTCTAAACGTAAAGGTAAGTGCAAATAAGACCCGGTACCCGTAGGTCGTGTCGGCCGTTGCTGTCAATAAAGTCGTGCATGCTAAGGGGACGAGGCAAGGCGGCGGGGTCGCGTGTTTTTCGAGAGCGGGTTGACTTGCAGGTCTGCAGCAAGCGGTCCACCAGCGTACCTTATGTGCTTAGGTATCTCACGGCCTCGAATGTTAGCAGAGGCAGCACAAGAGGCAGCCATCGGTCATTCATCCAATGTTGTGCGCGGTGTGTCATGGTGTGTGTGCACTAACAGAGTGGACGGTCCACGATGCGGTCGATACCCACCACCCACCTGGGGCCACCATCTCCACGGGCTGTCCTATTCCTGGCGCAGCCCGCTGCAACCTGGAGCCCGGGTTCTCTGCACAGCCCTACTGTCCCTGGCACGCCTAGGAAGAACCAGCCTCTATCCTTGGTCGAGGACTCGAGGTGGCATTGGATCGGAAGTCTACGTAGTACGGTACCTAGCAAAAAGCCTGGAGAGGGGACTGGCTTTCTGGCTGTGCTATGCCGGCACCAAGGTAGGTATTCCAAAGACACGGGGTCCGACATTAGGTTGGATTAATCGAGAAAAGCGCACCTGTTTTGAGGCCTCTTGCTGCCGCAATATTTCTACTTTATGAATCCTTCACATGCCGGCCCTTCCCTTTCGGTGTGCATCTTGTCTTCGTCCGCAGCTCTTGATCGCCAAACGCCAAACGCCAAAAAGCCAGTCGCTCAACGCCGTACTGTCGACCGGTCGACAGTCAGAAAAGCACTAATACGAGAGCAGGAGACGGCCGAGTCCTGCAACCACGCAACACAGTATCAACTCCGTACCTAATACCAAGAAAGTCTTCCCAGCCAGGCCACGAACCACTCAATCCGTGTCTGATCGATCCATTATCGGCCAGACCAGACCGCACCGGCCACCCACCCGCCTTACATGCAGCCTGCAGCCGGCGCAAGACAACAGCTCACGCTCTCGAGTCTCACCTCAACACCTCATCACTGCTGTCGGAAGAGCCACAGTTTGATCCATCCACCCATTGATTCGACCACCCACAATCCATCACCAGCAGTTGATCGCCCAGTCGGACGAATCGAAGCCCACGCTGCTCCTTGGAAAGCCCCCAAGCCGGCCCTCCTATGCTGAAGGAAGAACCATCTTACCTCACCACGCATCTGCGCTACAACGCACGCAGTATTTGCAACAGACATCTGACATCTGACTTTGGGCCTGGCAGTTAGACTTACAACCTACGGATACAACAACCTCCGTCTACCTACGCCTTACATTGCCGCTCTTTTCCCTTTTCACTCCTTATCAAAACTCACTCGAACCAAACACTGGACTGCTGTCTTCCATTGCGTCTTTCTCAAAAGCTACCCAGTTTATCATTGCTTCCCGAGTTCCGTCGTCCGCTTCCCTGCTCCTTGCCCCCTTCTGGTCCTTCTGGTCCTTTTGATCCTTCGTCCTTGGTCCTTGCTCCACTGCCGCTTAGCGTCTCTTGGACTCCACCCCCCCTCCCCCCTCGTCTCCTACCCGGCTCACGCTCCTGCACCTGCACCTTTCTTTCCACCTGGTACCCCCCGGTTCAACCACTGCCCCCCCAAAGCCCGTGGTGTTCCGTCCTGGACTCCTGGCTGTCTTGGTGCACCTCCAGTGCCTGCTGCCTTCGCCCCCTCCCGCTCCCACACCCAAGTCCCTACGCACTGCGCCTGTCAAATCCAGAGACAGCGACAAGCAGAGGAGGGAAAAAAACGACAAGAGCCCTGTCCGTCTTTCAACAGATCAAACTCCTCGTCCTGTTTCAGCTTCGCACCAACAACAACCTTCGCATTCTTCCCTTCTCCAACAGGTTGCCCCTTGCTGTCAACCAAAACCAAAAACCCAAAAAAACCCTTACCGTCGTTCAGGGAAAACCAAAACTTTATCCCGTCGCTTCCTCCCTTTCTTTTGCTTTTCTACCTTTGACCATTCGCGCCTGATTAATTGATTACTTTTCGAATTTCCCGCCGACGGGGTCCTCCCTCGCTCTCCACTCGCTTTCTATCCCTTGACGAGACCACTCCAGACCCCCAAAAAGAAGGTCTCTCATTCGATCCGACCGTCCTTCTCCGGCCGCTGACGCCTGCCTTTGTGTGTCCTATCTCACATACCAATCGCCCGACCGACCTACGACACATCTTCCGGCACGCAAACACGCGCCCACCCAGCCTCCCTTCCCATCCGACGCCTTCCCACCACCTTTAAGCATCATCTCATCTCGACTCCTTCCGGGGAGTCGCCAATACCGTCGATCTGGCTACAAGGCTAGACTCCCGCCGTTCTCTGCTCGGCGGTGACCCGAACTTTGCCGGCTTCGACCAAGAACTCGCCGCTCGACAGTACGCTCAACAGTACCAGCAACAATACCAGCAGCAATACAACCCACCACAAACTTCAAGCAACCAAGGCTACGCTTTTCGCGAAGGCCTTGCTCCATCCACGATGAACGGATCGCGCCCCAGCAGTGGTGCCAGTGGGCCCCTCGGCTTTGGCTTCATGGGTGCTAAGTGGCCGAGAATCTTCTTCCTCATCACCCTCGTCCAGGCTTTGCTTTGCTTGGGCTTTGAGTGGTAAGCCGACAGTCACATCGTGGCATTCGAGTTTGATTGATGCTAACTGTGTGATCTAGTTACGTCTTCTGGAAATTCCAGACCGGTTTGACCGACCAGGACCCTCACCAAAGTAAAGATACCGCGGATGCCACAGACTCACCGAGGCGGACGATTCCGACATTCCTGACCCTCTTCATCTTTGGATTCTTGTATGAATTGGTTATTGTCTGGGATGCACTCCGGGCGAAGAACACTATTCAGGTTATTGGAGTGTGTATCGCCAACCTCGCATTGCTGGTTTACACTGCCATCCAGGTTGAACAGATCCAGGAGGCTGTGCAGCAGTTGAAGGACAACAATGCCCTCAAGAACCCAAACGACGACATGTGGGCCGACGTCAAGCCTTACCTGGTTGCGAGCCCCTGTGTTTTGGCTTTTGGGACCATTACCATGGCTTTGACTGCCTGGAAGCTCTACCAAGTATTCGCTTGGGATATTCTGAAGACTATAGGAGCCGATTACAGAATGAAGAAGCGTTTCCTTCACTACCAGGTACTACTTTTTTCTGGACCGCTGACCTTGGCTTCGACGCAGCTGACATATAAGCCAGATTTATATCGCGCTCCTGAAGTTCGATTTCTTTTTCTTCCTCGGTTTCACGGTTCAATTCTTGGTTATTGTCAACGCCCGGACCGACGCCGAATTTGGTTTGACCATTGCTGCGATTCCGATTACCATCGCCATTCTGCTTTTGGCCGCATGGTTCACCAGAATCGAGAATAAGGTCGGCATGGCGACTGTCATCGTCCTCTACTTTGGCGGCCTGAGCTATTTCATCTTCAAGCTCGTCCGCATCTACCAACCCCGCACGGCCGAGCAGTATATGCCAGTGCGTAAATCGCTTACTGCCTTCACTGTTATCACCATTCTCCTCATTATTTGCACCATTGCCAACTGCATCGTCTGCATGCGCAACTTTGGAGCCGGCCTTAAGACCCACCTGCGGAAGCCGTCACGCGACCTCGAGAAGATCCAGGACCTCAACTCCATCAACCTTCAGGATGTAAAGCCACAGATTGCGAGCAGAATGACGATTGATTAAAGAAGGGGTGGAGCTGGCTTAACCCGACGAGGCAACGCACGATCAAAGAGATGCCGCTCGATTGTACAAAGAAATGACTAACGAAACAACGCCACCTTTCTTATCCCTGCAAAACCCGCTACGGGATCGTGGACGGACGGAACGGTGGACACGCGGGGCCGGGCGCGTGTTGGACTGATTGAGATTCCCCATCATCGGCTGTTACTATTTTTTTCCGTCTTTTGACTTTCTTGTGTGATACACACTGTATGGCGTTGACGATGCTTGCTTTCTCCACCCAGCGAGGATGAAGAAGCCTGGCCCAAATGGCGGAGTTATGGAACTGTTTCTTAAGTAAAGTCGCACTGGCGGCGAAAACCCGTCTGGGATATCACGATGATTTCGGGAGCACCTGAAAAGAGATGTCTCCAATGCATTCACGCCGTCGAGTTCACTGGACAGCGAAGTGCAATCAAATACCTTTCCTTGGTGTAACTTAGCGTTAGCATGAGGTAATTAAAATACCATGAAGAAAGCCATTGTTTCATTCAAGACTGCTTCAGTTGTTCCTTGACCGCTACGTATTCTGGCTGTCTTTCTGAGCGAATCTTTACAACGCGACATGAAATAATCACATCAGGCAGCCGCTGCCGTCCCGGGCGTCCTGGTACCACTCCTGTCCTTCCACTCCGGCCAGGTCCTCGTCAAACTCCGATTTCCGATTTAGTAGACGGTTCTATACCTAGTGGTAGCCACTACGCGAAAATATATAAATGCCAATTGTATTCGCACTGATCATGTAGGTCACATACGCTTATATTGGCGCTCGTCCTATCCTACCTACTCAAAACAATACCCAGATCGCTGTACCAAACAAAGATGTGATCGAAACCTAACGCCACTCACAGAGAGAGAAACGCCCTGCCCCACCGTGCTTGAGGAAAGCTTTGCCCGTTTAACGTCAACCCACAACGCCTGTTGTCCTGGCTCCAGGCCTCCTCGTCTCACCTAGCAAGCATGTGGTGACGCGGTTTGGTTTGTTCCAAGAGTCTCCCGCCACGAAATGACCAGCGCCTCAATGAGATGTCTGAGGTGTTCGCATCTGCTCTCCAACTCGAAGCCTAACTCATCCTACAGCTTAATCTCCCGAGCATCTTTGATATGGCCCTCATTGGGGCAATATGGGCACTTGAAGCGGGAGCCTTTAGTCAGGCGCTGGAGCGACTCTTTACAAATGACGTGGCCGCAAGGCAGCATCATTGGCGGATTCTGCTCTGTTGTTTGCTCTTTGCTCACGGGACAGACGAAGATGGGGTGGTAGACCATGCTACGAGGTAGCGGCGTCTCGAACGCGAGCTCACTCTCCGTTGTCCATTCAGTGCGCTTGGCCTTGACGTATGTAGTGTACTTGATGAGCTGGGGCAGTGCGATGGCGCCAGCCGTCGCGGCGACGTATAGCGGTGATTCAGCAGAGAGGCCGAGGAGAGAGCAGAACTCGCGCGTGAAGGATAGGGCGACGTCGTCAAAAGCGGCGGATGTCTCGAAGATATTGGCATAGGGCGACTGGCCGATATTGGAAGCGTAGACCATGGCGCAAGACAGCTGCTGGATCTCCTTGATATGGCGAGTCTGGAAGCGACCAAAGTGTTTTTGGGCGTAGGCGAGGGCACCTATCCGGCCGTTGTGCTCGTCATCCGGCAGGCCATTTATTTCGGGGCCCTTGAACAGCCAGACGAACTGGAGCTTGCTCAGCTCGAACTCGAGGTTGGAGCCGCGAGCTTCCAGCTCGTCACTGTTGAGGCGCGCCCACTCTATGGCTGGGACGAGTTTCCTGTTCTTGAGCTCGTTGAGGATTTTGTACATGCTTGCAAACTTGTCTTGTAGCTCCCGGGACTGAAGAGAGTGTATGTCTGCATCGAGGGTTGGGTTGTTGGCAGAAAGTGGCGGAGGTCGCTCGTGGGCTTCGCGGAGAAAAGTCGAGGCTACGCTGAACTGGCCCTCACGAAGCATGTGCATTGCTACGGCGCGGTTGATTAAAGAGGGATATGCGGCCATTGCATCATAATCTGTCGAGAGAGGCCGGAGGGGGAAGGACTGGGGGAGCGGGTGTAAGCCAAGGTTCGTCGCGTGTCAGAGGGTGGTTCTTGAGACGCATACCTTATCAAGGGCCTTGCCAAAAGTCTTTTGGGCTTTTGAGACCTCTTTCAAGTCGTTATTTATTGCGTCAAAGCCCGCGGTAACGGGATTTTGTAACTTGGTCATCGTCAAGCTTGCGCGGTGCGGATCAGATGCTGCGGTGCGGTATCACTGTGAGCACACGATCTGGGACGGCAGCATGGAGCGGGGCAAGTGACATACCATTGGCGACTTGCTCCCTCGCCTGAATGAGGAGTTCGAGGAGCTTGTCAGCGTCCTTGACGGCTGAGTTGAGTGTCGCTCTGCGGAAGCGTGAGAGCTCCGTCTGGAGAGTAACCATGGGGTTTTGTTCTGCCATAGTGGAGGCAGGACTGGCGGGGAGGAGGGTGTATGTCGTAACAAGTGAGTGTATGTTGGCTTGCGTGTAGCTCGAGTCTCGCGAGATTATGACGGGAAGATCATGGCTACGAGCTCCCCATAGAAGCTCAGGTTGGCTAAGGGAAGACTCCTTCTACTGCTCGTCCGGAGAGGGTGCGCGGAGCAGGTCTGGTGGTCCGACGGTCTTGCTTTTGGGGGTTCAAGGTTGAGGAGGTTGAGTGATGTAGGCACAGACGGGCGTCACCGATAGTGGAAGCTTCCTCGGCTGGCGGCTTCACTGATAAAGCGTCGGGCGGGCACCTCGCTATTTGGTACTTGGAACCTCGCAATGCGTAGTGCCTGCTATAGCCGGGCCGCTGCCACTGTCTTGGAGCACTGGATCGAACTGCCGGCGAAACAGCGGCCCGGGAATTTGAGCGTTTGGTTTAGCGAGGGGAGGCCTGGAGCTTGGAAGCATGGGGGGTCGGGGAGGTCAGCTCGGCAGATCTGGGCCATTACAGACGTGGGGACGGGGAATCTTAGTGTCTACCGCTCGATTTCGTGCTACCCTTTCAGTACTGGTCGTGCAGCTCTCGGCCCAATCAATCGACGCAAGCCACGACAGTGACGGGAGGACATTGCGTCACATGCCGACCAGCCTCCAACAGGAGAAAGACACAACCCAACGATCGAAGCGGCAGAACATTCGAGGTACGAGCGAAGCGACCTATAGATACGCCACCCGAATCACATGCATTGAATCACTGGGCTTGCCTTTGATTCCGCAGGAAAACCATCTTTAGGCCACCGATTACGACGACGATGACTTCTTCGTATTGGAGATAGTCGCAGGCGCCTCCATAGTGTCGTCGATGCACCGAGTTTCACGGCCGCACTCCTGCAAATGGAGATGTCATTCCGTTTCCCCTTTCCCGTCAATGACCCGCGAATGCATCGCGAGGAGGAACTAACTCTGGCGAGAGTCGCTTCTCAGCGAGGCGCCAATGGACCTTCTCCCCTGGGCACTCCCCTACCGCTTGAGGCGCGAAAGGAGGCCTCCACTGAACCTACGACACCATCCCCCTTACCGACGACCAAGAGGAAATGGGTATTTGCCGACCCTGTGGCCTTTAGGTGAGCTCTTACAGTCTTGGCTTCGAGACTTATCGTCGTGCTAATCGTCTATTCACACAACAAAAGATACCTAGAGAGCGATCCGTCGGTCACGGTTCTCGAGCGGCGAGGAATATTACAGGGATACGAGCTATACTTGGTCGAACAATGGGCATGTTCACGGAAATCGCCAACGCTGGTCATTGTCACATACACAGGTGACCCGAAGCATCAGGTTGTCGTTGGGGTGCTGGCCGTCCCTGCGGACGAGAGCATGTGGTCCGACCGCTTGCGATTCTACTTCAAGGCCATCCACCAGTATCATGCCCGTCCGAAGGAAACGCCATTGGGCGACGTGATGGTCACGAACCTCAGCAGCTTCCCCTCAGCTCTGACAGTCATACCCGTACCTGAAGGCGACATTCGCACACACCGCCAGGCCTTCATCGTCAATGAGAACCTAAAGCGACTGGGATGCTCTGGGCGATCTGGCATGAATCTTTCAGACCCCACACCTGCAACGCAGGCCAAATTTTACCAGCTGTACAGGACAAGCGAGAAGGTTCCCATTGCCCAGTCGGCAGTGGAGCTTGTCAAATTATGCCAAGTCTCTCTCTTCATGTTCGGAAAACTGGACATGGAGTACATTGATGGTTTACTCTGCGACAAAACTGAGGAGTCCATCGGAAACTGGTGGACGGAGATTGGCGCCGAGTGCTACAATGTTGAGCCTACAGATGGTATTCTGGGGCCGACGACAACCGCAGCCCTACTCGGGCTGCTCATGGGCGCCAGAAATCGACTACACTACTACGGCGCACCGGTTTCCAAGGACGTGTTCGATATTGAAAGTACGAAAAGGGGCATCGGTTACTTCCAAAAGGCGTACAAGCTTGAGCGGACGAGACGGCTGGATCGTCCGACAATTCTCAAGCTTCATTCCGTCACAGCCAAAGCTGCTGCTGGTGAAGGCTGGGGCGTGCAAAAGGCCGTCAAGTCTACCGTCGCCGAAATCGGCGGCAAAAGGGGCGAGCTGGTCATCGGCATGGTCGGTGGGAAAGACAAGGCCGGCATAGCTGATATTGAGACGGTTGACATTGACAAGTTCATTGCACTGGCTTACGGTGAGCGCGCAAAGTGGCTCTGGTACGGGAAGCCCAGGAGAGCAGCGCCAGAACTACAGGAGAAACCAACAGACGTGGCGCAGCCGCTCTTCGGAAAGGATGAGATCGCACCGCCGTCTAGCAAGCGAACGCAATCGTTGCCGCTGGAGGAGGAACTTCAGAGACAAAAAGAAGAGTCACCTGGCGTTTACTCAACCCCAGCGCCTGCTTCAGCTGTTAGTGTGGTTGACGGCTCGGGCGAGAAAGACGCGCTTAGGAAGACAGTCTTCAAATCGGTTGCTGGCAGAGTCAGTGATGCCAAGTCTGGTCTGGGGCGCATCAAAGATGTTGTCGGTACTGGCCTGAGAGGCCACGCGAGTCGCCCTAGTAGAGACGAGTTCGGCGAAAATGGCTACAACAGCGCTCCCGGTATCTCGGCTTTGGCGCAGTCTTCAGCAACGTTGTCATCTCCAGTCATGGTTGGTAAGGCCTTCACATGGAAAAACAAGCCGGGGGAGTACATGGATGCTTTTAAGAAAGAGGCAGAAGCTGCGCAGGAGTTGCGGGAATCATCGCAGGAGCTTGAAAAAGTTCCTGTGACTGCCAGGCCTACGCGCGAGGCATCAGACCCAAGCTCGACGCATGTCGAGACCGAGAAATTCTCAACACCCCCCAATGGCCCAATCAAGGACGAGGCAGATCGGATACAAACATCGGTAGCCGGGTCTGTGGTTGATGAGGCCGATCTTCATGGCCCCTTTGAAGCAGAACGAACTAGCAACACTGCTGTTAGCTTCCTCCAACGGCGACACAGTGTCGCTGTTTCCAGACTCTCGTACAAGCATCCCTTGAACGAAGCTCGCTGGCCTCGGCGGCTGTCATTTGGAGATGCGGAAGAAGCGGTCCTAAGATGGGAGGAAATCACTGGATTATATGACGATAAGCACTTCTCTACCGCCGACGCATTGCAGCAGCAAGCCAGTCTGGCCGAGTTTGCCCGAAGCTTATACGATTCCATCGCTACCATCAAACGTGAGGTCAACCCATGGGTTGAGTCAAAGGTCAAGGCCGTAGATGCTTTAGACGAGCACTACAGCCGCGAGCAAGAGGATTTGCAGAACCTCTACTACCAGCTCAGCGAGGCATATCACCGCGTCAAGCAGAGCTCGACAGAGCTCATCGCCGAAGAGCGCGCGCACATCACCGAAGCTATTAAGGAGGTCGAGGTACTCGTGGCACGACTCGAATACGAAATCAACGGACTCGTGAGCAAGGTAGACGATGTTGAGGACGGAGTCAGGCTATTCGAGAGACAAGTCGAGGATGTGGAGAAGCGCGCCGAGGAGCTGAAGTCGACGCTAGAGACGGAAAGCTGGGCGCACTGGTTCGTACGGACGCTGACGGGTATCGGTACGGGGCCCAATATCACGAGGGGGAGGTGAGGAATGCTAGATCTTAACAACAAGAAGGAGAAGAGAGATATGCGGTGGTCTGTGGGCTGCATAGCGTGCTTCGTTTTTGGTTCGCATCGGGAAAAATACCCAGCTAGGACTCTTTTTTGCATCTTTGTATTCCGGCAAGCTGTCAGACGTTGTACAGTCAGGCGCAGATGACACATGATCGCCGGCTTGAGGTTCACTGTGCTACTACTAGGGAAATATCAATAATGTCTCGGCCACTTGTCAGTTTTGTGTTATGCCGTTTGATGTACCCCGTCAGAGGGGGCTGAAATTGCAGTGAACGTCTCCTTTTGGCAAACACCCCCTCACGCACGTAACTATTGAACCGACCTGGATTTCAGCATGATTCATACAGTTGGCCCAACGTTGCTTCCCTTTCAGTTATGAAGGGGCGAGAGCTTGCCTCGATCAGTACCTAGTTCTTCCAGAGCTTGATCCGGTATATCATCTCGATCCCACTCTACCGAGTAATCATTCGCACAGTATGCTGACGTCTGCGTTTTCGCTCAGACTGGCTCGCTTCCGTGTCGTGTAGAGCTCTGCTGACATCAGTCACCACTGTATTTGCGCACCTACCGCTGTCTGCGTCGTCTGAATGCGAAGAAATCTAAGAACCCCTGCCAAACTGCCGTCCACAACGTTCGTCATTCACGCAATGGTCCCTGAGCTTCGGTCCAAGTTCGGGTTGACTCAGAGTTAGATGATTCGACACGCTGAAGCTGGAACCTGTGTACAATTGGTATCGTGTCCTCTTCTGTCACATCTTTGAGATATGTTACAGACGTAGAAGAAGCGATGGCTTGTGATCTTCTAGTGGTGAGTTAGGAATCTGGCTTCCTAGAGCGGTCTTGGTGTCATGAAGACTCATTACTCTTGCCGACGATGTCTGGGATACTGCCACGATTTCAGAGGCTTTTCCGCCAGAACCATATCAGTCTTCCTCCGCTGTTTTTGCTATTATGACATTTACTCACTCACAGCATCCTCAGAATCCTACATCTGGACGTTCTGCTGTGTCGCTGCACGTCTCATCCGATTTTGTTGCTATTGTTGTGTTTTGCTACTATTGTTAATAAACGAGGATTCCACGGACAGGATGCAGAAGTTTGTGATGATGAAAATTTACAGAATAAAGACGCTAGACGAAGGAGGGGGATAGAAGACGAAGATGGCAAGTTCCAGGATATAACCGTATTACTAGCGGAAGTCGAAAAGACAAGGAATGCTCATAGAGAGAACGAGTCTAGTAGGGTAACTGGGGGGTTTACGGTGCTATAGTGTACAGGAGTAAAAGGAGATCATCACCTTACGACGCCCATATTAGTTTCATGACGAGAAACAAACAAACAGAAGAGTCTGTGTTTCATTCTTGACCTTTAATCTTCCAGAACTCTCGAAGCAATCATTGAGTTGGCCTGAGGGAAGTGTCTTTGGCCAGGAAGATGATGATGGCTTCTTTGGTCGCTAAAACATTTCTCAGCCTCAATAGGAGTCTGTTGATCTGTTTCCCGGAACATGTTCCGCTCAGAATCATGGAAGAGACCGGCAATTGACTGAATATACGCATCAATTCTGGCATCTAGCCGGTTGATACGACAAGACGGACAGGTCAGGTGTGCCTGAAACTAACAATACTAGACATCACAAGCCATCGGACGATAACATTAACTAATACGCCGGGCTTCCTTATATATACTTCCGCGAATACTACCTGTCCAGGATAAAGTGGGAAGGGGTTACAGGGACTAAAAGCACCTCAACTGGTAATAATAAAGACTACAGGGTTGAGATGCTAGACCAGGCAACTACCTCAGTGATGCTCCCAGAGTGCCATAATGTCACGGCCTTGACTTTCACTCACTAGGTCTGGACCATGTAGAATAATAGTTATTAGAGACTTGAGCAAGTGAGTATAAGATGCGCCTAGGCAACGTCGAATTGCCATATCTTTATCACCCAATCTGAGCCATGTACAATGTCTGAATTCCGAATAAAGAGTTTGCTTCCAGTCTTCATAACAAGGAAAGCTCTAGTACCCAAGATTTACCCGGTTCTTCCCATCCACTGTCAGTGAAGCCTATAATAGTCTTGTTAAATATTCGGACAAGCCTCCTTTTCCATGAAGCCCCCTATCAGAGAACGCTATAGTATAGGAAAGTGACTGTTTCGATTATCTCTCCAGTTTATTTCTCGGGGTTATGGGAAAGAAGGAGTTGGAAATTAGAGCATCGTATCCTTAAGCTTTCTTTTACTCTGAGTATACTCCTTGTCGTCGTCTTGGACCAAGTGTCACGAACAAGGATTACGGCAAAACTAAGGAGGGACTCGAAGTGGAAATTGATCTAGGCTCCTGCCGATCGAAGGCAACCAGATACCTGGAATACGCAGTACCTTGCACAAGGAAAGAAAGGTCGGTGGTCGGCTGCCAAAAGGCGCAGGATACGAAGCAAGGGCCGGGTGGATTGCCTCCTTCCTGAGCCAGTACAATTTCACCCGGTCGCTCGACCACCCGACTCTTTCCTTACGTTTCTCGTCATCGTCGTTCCTACCTGGAAGAGACGTCGAACCAGAAGACAAAACGTCAACGGCGCTTCTACTGCCACAATTGCTGTAGCACTTCTCGACTTTTGACCATCAACATTTCCGGTGCTAAATCGCAAAGAAAAAGCCCAGGTTACAACCCCCCTCACCTCCCCTCGCCGAACACATACACACACGCAGCCAGCCATGGACGAAGCTCTTACGAGCCCTCGACGCCGGTAAGTCACATAACGGAAATAGTCCAGAAGTACAAATCGTGCACAACACTGACTTTTGGAAAAAGAAGTCGCTTCAGAAACTCCACCATGATCCTCATGGGCGCCACCGCAGCCGTCTTCGCCATCCTCCTCGTCGTCGCCCTCGCCTTCACAGACAAGCCAAACCGAGACCAATCCAACGATTCACCAAATAACAGCGACTTCGGCACACCCGTCGCCTACCAGGTACACACCATTATGGTGGCGGCCAATAACGAGGAGCTTCAAGGCCTTCCCAAGGTCATGGAAGCCACTATTTCAGTTTCCCGCTGCCCCTCCGTGGTTACCCATCCCTCCGTGGCCCCGGTCAACACGGGAGACCAATTCTCCTTTCATGTCGCCCCAAAGAATTTCGCACAACGCCAAACATACGACCGACGTAGCGGCCGAGAACGCTCTGGGAACCTCGCAAGCATGTGAGGCACAGAGTGTTCGTGGAGAGGGTCGTGTTTGATGGGAACGGTCTGTGTAATCTTCGTGCATCGTGGCCCATGGCATCATTTTTTTTTTTTTTTGCTATGGGGCTAAGCACGGCGGAGGATTCTGTTGGCGCGACAGGGGAAGCGTTTTCCAATGAGATCACCGGAGGACTACACAACGGAGAATGCAAGGCGTCCTGATTTATGATGACAGCAGTGTCGTTGCTTCATAGATGACTTGTTCCTACGATGGCTGTAAGAGGCAGCTTGCGCCGGAGAGAATTTCACGGGGTAGCAACCCATAGCAATGCTACAAGCTCTTGTGAGTAAGCCCAATAGTAAGGGGCATGATCATTAGAAGGTATCACTAGGTTCATCGTACCATCAGGTATCAGCGGCATCGACGGTGTTCTCCCTTGAGGCGATTGCAACTAAAGTTTTGATTTTCCCTCTGCACCGCTTTTGCGTTGTTTGTCGACCTCTCTACCTCTGAGTTGCATCTGACAGTCCTCGAAGCTCAACTTTTCTCGAGGGTGTAACTACAAGTGAACGTGGCATCCCCGCGCTGCATGAAGCCAAAGATAGCAAGAATCGTATTCCTCCACCTCCATTTCAACGAGCCTCCAGTCTGGCTCAGTAAAGATTCCATGTTCGCTCCATTTCGTTGCTAATCCAGACCCTTAGCCCTCTGCCTCATAGGCGTGAGACTTGTGCTTGGGCTGGAACGTAAAGTTCGTGTGGGCGGGGCCGAGGAACATCTCACTGTTGGACGAATCAGCATAAGCCAGCCTTTAACAAAAGGTACACAGCATCTTGAAGATATGCAAAGAAAAGCAAATCGTCACATACCTAATCTTAATCCAATCCTTGTAATTCTTACTAGCAAGCAGCGTCTCCAGGTCGTCGCGGCCGCGGTACGCCGGTGGGCGGTCATTCAGATCGGGCGGGAGGTGCTCAAGCAGGCCGAGGGGCACGTATCGGTGCGAGAAGCTGAGCCACTCGAGCAGGAACCGGCGCGTGAAGCCGATGCCCAGCTCGTCGGTGCCCCAGGCCTCCATACCGAAACGGCAAAACTTCTCCACGTACGCGAGGCGCTCCGTGGCCGACTTGTCGAGGTACTGGCCCTTTTCAATCTCCTCAAAGAGCCAGGGCTTGACGAGAGCGCCCCGACCAATCATGAGGGTGTCGACTTTGGCCTTTTCGACGTGCTCAAAGTACTCGACGTGGGAGTAGCAGTCGCCGTTGCCGAGGAAGAACATGCGGCCGTCTTTGGCGTTGGGCAGGGTGGACTCGTCCGCTTCGCGGACCGTGTCGGTAATGCTGTCCTTTTGCTCGTTGTACGCTTTGATCATGGCGGCGCACTCGGCGATGTAGCCCCAGTCAGCCTTCTTGGTGTATCGCTGCTCCCTGCTGCGGCCGTGGAGGGTGATGGCGGCGCAGCCGGGGGCACCGAGTCGATCGCGGTTCTCGCGGGAGCCGAAGGCGAGCTTGCCAAGGATGGTCGTCGCCGTCGGGCGGTTCTGCTTGACGCCGGTGCGGAGCTTGACCGTGATGGGGATCTCGCCGGACACGGTGTTCATGCCGCGGACCATGCGCTCGAGCTTCCCGTGGGCCTCGAGCAGGGCGGAGCCGCCGCCCGACTTGAAGACCATGTCGATGGGGCAGCCGCAGTTGAGGTCGATGAGGCGCAGGTGGGGCACGTAGCGGTTGAGGAGGTCGGCCGACTTTACACAGTGCCAAGCCTGGCTGCCAGAGATCTGGGCTCCAAACTTGAGATCGAGTGCATTGTCGTAGCCCTGAACGATGTTGCTGTCCGGGTTGACCCTTGGCGGGCTAATCTCGGTCTCGTGGGCCTTCATGAGCGCCCAGTCGTTCTTAACACCTTGAACCAGGGGCATGCCCAGGGCCATCTCGGAGTAGGTGAGCTGAGCTCCGAGCTCGACGCAGAGGCGGCGGAAGGGCAGGTTGCCCTGGGTGGTCAGGGGAGCCAGGGCGGGCGTCTCTTTGCCAAAGTACAGCTTGCGCTTCTCGGACGGCTTCAGGGGCGGGTCGACGAACTGCGCGCGCAGGTCCTCCTGGGTGCTAATCACTTGGTCCTTGCGGCGCTGGTGGAACGCGTCGCCCAGTTTCGCCTCCTTGTTCATCCAGGAGATGTACTTATCCGTCTCCGTGAAGTCGATGCGCTTGCGGCTGAGGTCGATCTTGAGCTGGTTCTCGGTATTGTTGTAGACGCCGGGCCTGAGATCTTCCCGGCCAGTTTCGGCAGGCGCCTCGCTGCTCGTCTTCTTCACTTCCTTGGGCTCCTCGACGAGGACGAGCTCCTTGCGGCCATCCTCGTGGTCAATCTCCCTCATGTGGCTCTTGACGAAGCGGCACTTCCAACCGGAAGAGCAGGCCCCAAACTGCTCGAATATGGGACACTTACCCTCAAAGGTCTCGAGGTCCTCGCGGCGGCCCTCCTTGAGATATTTGCGCAGATCGTGAAGCATGTTACACCTTTCTCCAAATTTGCACTCACGCGGAGAGAACTCGGGGGTGTAGGCGCGGGTGTTGCAGAGGCGGAGGGCGTCGTCAAAGTGACCGAAGCTGCGCTCCTTGTTCTGGCCCTTCTCCCGCTTCTTCTTGTCGCGCTTGTCACGGCTGTCACGACTGTCACGACTGTCCCGGGCATCGCGAGCGTCGCCCTGGTCACGACCCTCGGCCGCATCATCGTCGACGACCTCGTCTTGCTCCTTGGCTTGGCCCTCCCTGTGAATAAGAAACCTAATTCACGCGTCAAATTCGCAGATCTGTTGAAAGTCCCGAGCCATACTCACTCAGCCTTGATTGGAGCCTGGCCGCGCCTCACGTCTCTGGCATCTTGCTTCGGCGGCGCAGTTACGCCGCCGTTCTGAGTGTTTGCAGGTGCCCCCTCAGCTGGCTTCTCGGCAGCAAGTGCCTCACCCATCGGAACATCAGCCTTCTCAGCCTTCTCAGCGTTGCCGATAGCAGAGACTAGCTCCACGCGCTTTGGAGCCTCATCAACTGCAACGCGTTCCTCGGCAGCGTGGACCTCGGCGGGCTTTGCAAACTCCTCAGTCTGCTGCGAGGAATCGTCCACCTTAAGACGTTTCGCTGCGCGTTGCTCAGACCCGTCCATCTGCGGTGCTCGGTTCTCCATGATGCCCTGTTTCTTTCAGTCGGGTGTTTGACAGATGGAAGCAGGCGTGGAGTTACACTTCCTAGAAATGAGATTGTCAGATCAAAGGTCAGCCAGCGATGTGATCGGGGAAGGAACGGTGTGGGCCGGTCAAGGTGAAGAGTCCCAACCAAGGTGGTGAGAAAGAGAGTATGAAGAGGGCAGGAAAGGTAAATTTTTACCTCTTTCCTTCTGCCGACTTGACCTAAGGAAGTCGCAACTGGTCTCAAGAACAGAGAAGGTGGGTCAATTCGATGTGTTGAATTTGGTATCACAGTTTTTCAGTACGCTATACCGAGAGACTGGCAATGAATTGAAGTATTCGCCGGTATTACAGCTTGTTCGTCTCGAGGTCGCGGCGTGGTGAGAAAAAGTTGATGTCACAGGCTGAGCTCAGGACGCAAGTGGGGCTACTTCATGGAGGGGCACATCCCGCGCGAAGCAAACGCGGTGCATACCATTACACGCAGGCGCCCAGCCCAGCATTCATTGTCACGTCGCCTCACGCTACTCAGCTCAGCTTTCTTGTACATATGGCGCACACAGCTCCTCTTTTGAATGGCAGCAGCAGTTTACCGCCAAAACCCCGTGAAGCAATTGAAGGGACAAGCGTACAAAATCAAATCCTGGTTACACTACCTAACTACCTTACTGTATAAAGATGATAAACCCCGCTGGTCGATGCCTTCATCGAAGAACATTCGTAAATGGACTGGATGTACGCAATATCTCTAGCTCGCGGTGCGCCTGTCCAACATAGGCTGGCAATCGAGAGTTCTCCTCAACCAGCATCCACCAGGTTCGGGGTTGCAACCGATGCCTGCCATCGCCCTATCGTATCAAGGAAATCCACAAGATTCCCAGCTGCGTCCTGCTCTTGCCCAAGCCGTTTCTAGAGATCGAATAACGAACGACACCTGCTAGAGTTTGACACTGCCAAGTATCCCAACCTGGCCATCACTCGACTCGGCTATTACGCCTTTCGCAGGCATCGTCCGTCATTACAGGACTCGAGTAGGCGCTCATGTCCTTCGGGGAATTCCACCTGCCGAGGGTATTCGTGATGCCGCCGGAGCTGCATGGTTCGCCTAGTCTGTTCTGATCTGAAATGTTCTGCCCGGTTGCCCGACTGATTGTAACTCGTAATAATCCATCAATGAAAGGAGGTTCTCTGTATGTCCCTTGTCTTCCCAGCGTACCTCCTCATCAAACGCTTCGCGGCTCGACATGTGCAGGCTGTGCCGACGTTAGTGACTGCGCGATCTTGGTGGTGAAAAATCCCGAGATCTACTCACCGGACTGTTGAGCATGCTCTGCCTCTTGTTCCTGCCCTTCTTGATGTGGCTCTTCAGCGCACTCGAGTCTAGCGGCTTAAGTAGCTCGAAGCTGCATAGCAACTCATTCGAAACGGACATGACGGCACCCCAGTTATCGAACTCGCCACAGTACTGTGGTCAGGTGTTAGCGGAGCTCGTCGCAATACAGCGTGAAAACTTACGTTGGGGGCACTGAAGACTGTTACAAGGACTCTATCGTTGAAGAATTCGTACCCGTCTTCAACCACCATGTGTGCTCGGCAAATCAAGTCAAAGTCGTGGGTCGCAAGGAAATCCAATATCACTCTCTTGCCGAAGCAGTAGCTCACACCCCTTTCATTGGCCTCCCAATCTTGCTCCATGTCAGCTGGATCAGACCACAGAAGGTCGTTCAGCAGGCCGTAGTCGGGAACATCGGTGGGTCGAGCAATGTTGCGAATGTCGTCCATGTGGCTGAGCGCGGGGGAAAGACCTCCGTGCACACAGAAGATCTTGCCAGCAACAATG